TTACTCTGGCACTTATTCCAATTGAAATTTTCAATGATCAATTTTTTTCTATGAGAGCTTTAAAGGTTTTCAGGGGGAAGATATCTAAACATTTGTGAAATAATAACTATAATTGTGGGATCTCAAATAAATTACTTCACAATTTGAAAACTGATATTCATGCACATCTGTATAATTATGGAACACACTTAATTTGAAAATTTGGGTATCATGGTATTCTTAAGAAAAAAATGAATTGATTTTTTATTGGTGCTAGAATTTCAAATTTCAATACACTTTACCTGAAGAAGAATCCATGGCAACAAATGATGAAGTATCTTTTGGCACTAAATAGTAAAAAAAGGGACCGTTCATTTGATCATCGATCGTTTGCGATCCGTTTATAAGATAGTCGTTTAAACGAGCAGTGCGAGTTGGTTATTTTGTTAATTAGCACTGGAGTCTAATATTTTTTTAAGCGATATGATGAAAAAAAAAGAATATTTTTGAAGGCGATATAATGAAAAAATAATATTTTTGAAGGCGATATGATGCAAAAAAAATATGGTGTGATTAGCATCTGGCTGGATTTATCATAATTTATATCCTTATATAAATAGTGTATTTCAGAAGACGTTGGGAATAATTAATCACCTGTGGTGCTTGTTGCTTGAATTTGTATCACCGATGAATCCATGACAACGAATGACGTAGTATCCTTTTGCACTAAATTGCAAGGTAGCAAGTTCGTCAGGAATGATAGTAGTTTCAACGACCATTGCGAGGCGTTAATTTTGTTAAATAGCACTGAAGTCTAATATTTTTGAAGGGATTGTGATGCAAAAAATATCCTTAAATATCCTTATGTACGTGGTGTATTTCTGGAAACGTTGAAAATTTATTACCTGTGGTGCTGGTCGCTTGAATTTGTATCGTCGATGGGTCAACTATTACGTCAAATATGCAAGTTAGTCCGTGAATAGAAAAACGTTTCAAAAAAAGTAAAAATGTTTATGACAATTATTTGGTAAGTAGATATTATTACTTGTAGGGCTGCTTGCTTGAATTTGACTGGAAGTTAGCCCTGTTGCAGCTAAAAACAATAAAATAATATGCGATTTAAGATTTTAATAACATTTTCTTGCTTTTGTAGGAGAGTGTGAAGGGTTTTTAGGGAGGGGGGGCCAAACATTCTCAAACATACGTATGCATCATGAATGTATATGTTATTTATATTGTGTATTCCGAGAAACATAGAAAAAAAAGTTTTACCTGTTGTGCCTATTGCTTGAATTTGTATCGTCGATGAATAATCTATTATGAGATACATGTAAATAAGATTCAAAAATCAAAATTTCCAGGGAAAAAAATTTTTTTGTGACAATTATTCATCAAATGGTAATTTTTCACCTGTGGGACTTGCTTGAATTTGTATCGTCGACGAGTCTCCTATTACGTGAAATATGTAAATTAGTCCCAAGAAAAGAAAAATTTTCAACAAAGAGTAGTTTTTATGGCAATTATTTCCAAACGGACATTTTTACCTGTGGGGCTGCTTGCTTGAATTTGACTGGAAGTTAGCCCTGTTGCAGCTAAAAATAGAATAATATGCGTTTTAAACAACAATATGATGTAGAAAGCACCACAAAAGACTAGATTTTTATCGGTTCTAGGTTTAAAACTTTCAATACATCTTACCTGAAGAAGAATCCATGACAACGAATGACGTAGTATCCTTTTGCACTAAATAGCAAGAAAGCAAGTTCGTTAGGAAAGATAGTCGTTAGAACGACCATTGCGAGGCGGTTATTTAATTAAATAGTACTGAAGTGTAATATTTTTTAAGGCATTGTGATGCAAAAAAATATTATGCTGCGATTTGCATATAGCTGGATTTATTATAAATGAATGTATATATCCTTATGTACGTTGTGTATTTCTGGAAACGTAAAAATAATTTATCCCCTGTGGTGCTTGTTGCTTGAATGTGTATTGCCGATGAGTCAACTATTACGTAAAATATGCAAATTAGTCCGTGAAAAGAATAACGTTCCAAAAAAGAAATAATGTTTATGACAATTTTCTGGTAAATGAATATTATTAGCCTACCTGTAGGGCTGCTTCCTTGAATTTGACTGGACGATAGCCCTGTTGCAGCTAAAAACAATACAATAATTTGCGATTTAAATTTTGAAAAGCATTGTCTTGCTTTTGTAGGAGAGTTTGAAAGGTTTTTAAGGGGGGGGGGTCCCTAAACATTCATGGAGAAGAGCTTTGAATGTGCGGTATAACAACTTACTTCGCAATTTAACTGATGAAATACATTCAATTTCTATGGCAGTGTATCATGGTAGTTTTGAGTAAAGAATAAATTACTATATACGTATGCATCATGCATGTATATGTTATTTATATAGTGTATTTCTAGAAACATCGGAAATAATTTTTTACCTGTTGTGCCCGTTGCTTGAAATTGTATCGTCGATGAATCATCTATTATGTGAGATATATAAATAAGATTCAAAAAATAAAATTTCCAGGAAAAGAAATCATTTTTGTGACAATTATTCATCAAATGGTCATTTTTCACCTGTGGGACTGCTTGCTTGAATTTGTATCGTCGACGAGTCTCCTATTACGTGAAATATGTAAATTAGTTCCATGAAAATAAAAAAGTTTCAAAAAAGGAAAGAATTTTTGTGACAATTTTTCGCAAACGGACATTTGTACCTGTAGGGCTGCTTGCTTGAATTTGACTGGAAGTTAGCCCTGTTGCAGCTAAAAACATTAGAATAATATGCGTTTTAAACAACAATATGATGTAGAAAGCACAAAAAGAGACTAGATTTTTTATCGGTTCTAGGTTTTCAACCTTTAATACATCTTACCTGAAGTAGAATCCATGACAACGAATGACGTAGTATCCTTTTGCACTAAATAGCAAGGTAGCAAGTTCTTCAGGAAAGATAGTCGTTTGAACGACCATTGCGAGGCGGTTATTTTATTAAATAGCACTGAAGTCTAATATTTTTGAAGGCATTGTGATGCAAAAGAAAAGCTGCGATTTGCATATAGCTGGATTTGTTATAAATGCATGTATAAATTCTTATGTACGTGGTGTATTTCTGGAAACGTTAAAAATAATTTATCACCTGTAGTGCTTGTTGCTTGAATTTGTATCGTCGACGAATCAACTATTACGTGAAATATGCAAATTAGTCAGTGAAGAGAAAAAGGGTTTCAAAAAAGAAATAATTTTTGTGTCAATTATTTGATAAGTAGATATTATTACCTGTAGGGCTGCTTGCTTGAATTTGACTGGAAGTTAGCCCTGTTGCAGCTAAAAACAATAGAATAATATGCGTTGTAAATTTTTAATAACATTGTTTTGCTTTCTTTGGAGAGTGTGACAGGTTCTTAAGAGGGAAGAGGGGAGGGGCAACATTCATGGAAAAGAACTCTGAATGTGCGGTATAACAAACTTACTTCGCGATTTAACTGATGAAAAATATTGAATTTCAGTGGCAGTGTATCATGGTAGTTTTGAGTGAAGAATAAATTACTATACACGTATGCATGTAGCCTATATGTTACTTATATAGTGTACTTCTGGAAAAATCGGAAATAATTTGTTACCTGTGGTGCTCGTTTCTTGAATTTGTATCGTCGATGAATCATCTATTACGTGATATATGTAAATTACATTAAAAGGAAAACCCCAGGTTTTTTAAGGAGAGAGAGATATTTCCTGACAAGTATTTTGATAATTAAAAACCTTTTACCTGTAGGGCTGCTTGTTTGAATTTGACTGGACGATTGCCCGGTTACAACTACAATTAGTAGGTCAACATACATTTTAAATAGGTATATTTAAATATTTTTGGTACTTTTTCCAATTAAAAATTTTAAAAAAATTTACTTTTGTGGTTTTGAAGAGTTTCTATTATTTATGGTTTTTAGGGTATAATGTTTGGCTAATTAGCGCTAAAGCCCAATTATTTTGATGGTATAAATTAATATTGTGTGATTAGCATATAGCTACATGTATGTATTCATGTCAATGAACTCAAATAAGACTGGAACGCTCACTCTCTGACTTTCCCTTATTAAGGAGTGCACCCAAGATGGCGGATAATGAAGCCTTTCTTGTAGGCATGATCCGTAATGTCGAAAATTTTAAAGGTAAAATCATAATTGCCGCCATTTTACCTACCAAATCTCCGCGTGGAGGCCTGGATCATACGTACAAGAAAGGCTTCAATGCCGCCATCTTGGCTTCAAACGTCCGACAGAGTGAGCGTTCCAGTCTTATTTGAGTTCACTGATGCAGATAGTATAAACATTTGGAAACAATTGGGATAATTTATCACCTGAAATGCTTGTTGCTTGACTTTGTATCGTCGATGATACGTCACCTATCACGTGAGATATATAAATAAATATAATACAAAGGCAAAAGTCCTATTTCTCCATTAGAATTGATATTATAGACATTGCCCTAAATTTACCTGTGAAACTGCTTGATACGATTTGACTTGAGGATAATTCTGTCATCACTACAAAACGTTATGAGAAACATCCTAAGATATTGAATGTGAAATAATTGCACAGTATAGTAACGTAGCTCATGATGATTTCATGAATCATCAATATAAAACCTAACCAATATGTATTGTATCCATGCAATTGAGTGTGAAAACAACCTATTTATTGACTATGTAAACAATTAACGGTAGAAAAACTCGGGAGAACCTTGTAAAGGTTGCGCGAAAAATGTTCTTCCTTTTTATCTTGCATTTCGCATAGTTGTAGCCACTATGTATACCCATGCGTAGAAAGCGTGTTGCAATAAACAGCGTAAGTAAAAAAATTCTATTCACCTGTGGCACTACTTGCCTGCGTTGCCATCATTGATGTGTCTCCTATTACAATGTATTTCGAAAAATCAGGTGCAAAAAGTTATGCAACAAGCTAAGACAATCAACATTTTTTTGTTTTTCTTAAAAATTTACACAAGTTTACCTGCGGAACTAGTAGGGTGAATTTCACTTGTAGACACAACTGTAGGAAACACTATAAAAGTAAATTTGCGTGATCGTCTGAAGTGCTGTCATTCTCTTCAAACACAAAAAAATAAGGTGGGGAAAATTTAACGAATTGAAACATTTCCTGTTCAGCCTATTCTCCAAGCATAAAAAATAATCGATCGCTAATTCAAATTCATTTTACCTGAAGAAGAATCCACTGCAACAAAAGATGAAGATAGCATTTCTAAATTTGAAGATAAAAGGGGAGTTAAGGCGGTGTCAGGCAGTTATAGTCATCGCGAATTGAAACATCGCGAATTACGTATTCTTTTCTTGTAAAGCGCTTCCTCTACGTATAAAGAGGTTAGATGTTCTTTTGCAGTGGCGTAGCCAGCCTGACGATTTAGTCATGCTATGCAAATTTTATGTTATTATCATTATTCATTTCTTTAGAAATTCATTGTTTTCACAGTCAATGATCACCAAAATATTAGCACAGCATGACTAAATTGTCAGGCTGGCTACGCCACTGTTCTTTTGTATTCATAAAGTACACATTATTATGAAAAAACAGCAACAAAGACTCGAAAATGACTGTTTACCTTCAAATATTATCAAGCAGACCCGTTTTAATTCATTTAATGAAGTTTTGAATAAATTATATATCAATAAGAAATTTTTCGACCAAAAATCACGGGGAGTATTCTCTAGCTCGATCCACTTACCACTGGTGCTATTCGCTATCGTTGATGAGACGCCTGTAACATTCAGTTTCAATATGTTAATATTTTTTCAAGGTCTGCTCGAAAATTGTACAACGAATTTTCTAAAAGGTTGATCAAATTTATACCTGCGGAACTGGTTGCTAAAATTTGAGTGGAAGATAATGACACGACTATAAAAATGATAAGGATTGAAATTTTTAAGCATTAAGAAACAGCGGATTATGAAATTTGAAGAAAGTTATCTTATTTTATGATTCTGAAACGCTTTCACAAATAATGCACGTATTTGTACCAATCATGCAAATAATGCATCCAATATATACGGAAGAATTAGGCATAAAATTGTAATGAGTTTACCTGAGGAACTGTCCATTGTAATAAATGTGGTAGACGATTGAGACACTATAATTATGTGTAGTAAAAATCGTTATCATAAGGATGTGATTTAGATAAAGATAAAATGATAAATGCTGCTTTCAACAAAGAAATGCACCCGCGATATTGGAAGTGTGCAATTAACATGCAATAAGATTAAAAATAGCAAAATTTCGGCAATTGATGTATTCCACTCACTTTCCTGAAAGTACGATTAATAATGTATTTGGCCGAATTATTTACGTTGCGTTACCTGTGCAGTTAAATCCATCTCCAGTATATCCAGAATCACATGTGCAAATATAAGATCCATCTGTGTTATTGCAGGCAGCTTTGGAATGACATGGGGGAGATGTTTGGCATTCGTCAACATCTGAAAGATAGCAGTTTCAGTACATTTTTTCATTAACTGTGTTCTCCTCAAAGATTTAGTAAATTAAATTATTTACGTCGCCTTACCTGTGCAATTAAATCCATCTCCGCTGAATCCAGAAACATGTGCAGATATAAGATCCATCTGTGTTATTGCACGTAGCATTGGTATGACATGGAAAAGATGTTTGGCATTCATCTATTTCTGAATTAGCAGGATCAATAAAGCTATTTATTTTCAGTTGATTCTTTTCGGAAGATACGGTAAATTAAAAGATTTGCACTTTCTTACGTGTACAATTGAATCCATCTCCAGTATATCCAGAATTACATGTGCAGACATAAGATCCATCTGTATTATTGCAGGTAGCATTGGAATGACATGGCGAAGACGTTTGGCATTCATCAACATCTGAAAGATAGGAGTTTCAGTACATTTTTTCATTAACTGTGTTCTCCTCAAAGAGTTAGTAAATTAAATTATTTACGTCGCCTTACCTGTGCAATTAAATCCATCTCCGCTGAATCCAGAATTACATGTGCAGATATAAGATCCATCTGTGTTATTGCACGTAGCATTGGTATGACATGGAAAAGATGTTTGGCATTCATCTATTTCTGAATTAGCAGGATCAATAAAGCTATTTATTTTCAGTTGATTCTTTTCGGAAGATACGGTAAATTAAAAGATTTGCACTTTCTTACGTGTACAATTGAATCCATCTCCAGTATATCCAGAATTACATGTGCAGACATAAGATCCATCTGTATTATTGCACGTAGCATTGGAATGACATGGCGAAGACGTTTGGCATTCATCAACATCTGAAAGATAGCAGTTTCAGTACATTTTTTCATTAACTGTGTTCTCCTCAAAGATTTAGTAAATTAAATTATTTACGTCACCTTACCTGTGCAATTAAATCCATCTCCGCTGAATCCAGAATTACATGTGCATATATAAGATCCATCTGTGTTATTGCACGTAGCATTGGTATGACATGGAAAAGACGTTTGGCATTCGTCTATTTCTGAATTAGCAGGATCAATAAAGCTATTTATTTTCAATTGATTCTTTTCGGAGGATATGGTAAATTAAAATATTTGAGATTAAAATATCTTACGTGTACAGTTGAATCCATCTCCAGTATATCCAGTATTACATGTGCAGATATAAGATCCATCTGTATTATTGCACGTAGCATTGGAATGACATGGCGAAGACGTTTGGCATTCGTCTATTTCTGAATTAGCAGGTTCAATAAAGCTAATTATTTTCAGTTGATTCTTTTGGGAAGATAGGGTAAATTAAAATATTTGCACTTTCTTACGTATACAATTAAATCCATCTCCAGTATACCCAGAATTACATGTGCAGATATAAGATCCATCTGTGTTATTGCACGTAGCATTGGAATGACATGGCGAAGACGTTTGGCATTCGTCTATTTCTGAATTAGCAGGATCAATAAAGCTATTTATTTTCAATTGATTCTTTTCGGAGGATATGGTAAATTAAAATATTTGATATTAAAATATCTTACGTGTACAGTTGAATCCATCTCCAGTATATCCAGTATTACATGTGCAGATATAAGATCCATCTGTATTATTGCACGTAGCATTGGAATGACATGGCGAAGACGTTTGGCATTCGTCTATTTCTGAATTAGCAGGTTCAATTAAGCTAATTATTTTCAGTTGATTCTTTTCGGAAGATAGGGTAAATTAAAATATTTGCACTTTCTTACGTGTACAATTAAATCCATCTCCAGTATACCCAGAATTACATGTGCAGATATAAGATCCATCTGTATTATTGCACGTAGCATTGGAATGACATGGCGAAGACGTTTGGCATTCGTCTACATCTGAAATATAGCAGTTTCAGTATATTTTTTCATTAACTGTGTTCTCCTCAAAGATTTAGTAAAATAAATTATTTACGTCGCCTTACCTGTGCAATTAAATCCATCTCCGCTGAATCCAGAATTACATGTGCAGATATAAGATCCATCTGTGTTATTGCACGTAGCATTGGTATGACATGGAAAAGACGTTTGGCATTCGTCTATTTCTGAATTAGCAGGATCAATAAAGCTATCTATTTTGAATTGATTCTTTTCGGAGGATATGGTAAACTAAAATATTTGATATTAAAATATCTTACGTGTACAGTTGAATCCATCTCCAGTATACCCAGAATTACATGTGCAGATATAAGATCCATCAGTGTTATTGCATTTGGCGTCTGAGTGACATGAGGAAGCTTGGCACTCGTCAATGTCTAGAATAGAATTTTTTCTATTAAACTAATTAGTTTAAAGACTTAAGGATCTTTCGAAACACTGGCTTTTCCCGCAAGAGCAAAACAGCCTATGAATTGTCGTTCCAAAAAACAATGCCCGCTTCGTCCGAATTATACGTCCGAATGGTAAAGAAGACGTAATATAATGGAAAATCGTCTTTGGTAAATTAATACTTTTATAAGTTTATATCCCCTTCACATATAATGAAATTTATCTACGAATAATGGCTCCATTCATTACCATTAAAGACATTTGGGCAGTGAACTTAAATTAGACTTTATAAATTAGACTTTATTTTACTAAATAAGTAAATCAAATACAGTGAACTCAAATAAGACTGGAAAACTAGTTCTCTGACTTTCCCTCATTAATGAGTGAAGCCAAGATGGCGGATGATCAAGCCATTTTTGTAAAATGATCCAAGTAAAATAAAAATTCCGCTTTTTACCTGTGAAATTTCCGCGTGGAGGCCTGGGTCATACCTAAGCCTTCATGATCCGCCATCTTTGCTTGAAAAATTTCACAGAGCTATCGTTTCAGTCTTATACGGGTTCACTGGTCAAGTATGTCTTATTTCAGTTTACTGCATTTGTGCACATTTTAATGAGATAACCTCTCTGTCATTTGGACGACTTTAGATTCCTCTATGTTCTGCAACGACAGCCGGGTGTAATTCCTAATCTCCGGGCGGAATTAGTACCCTCGAACGGTGCGCCGCACAGGCTCGGCAATTATGAATTACCCCTGAGCAATAGGGAAAACCGATATTTATACATTCTCCTACTCCCTTTCGGCAAAAATATCGTGAATAAGAATATCTCCGCCGGCTTACCTGTGCAATTAAATCCATTTCCAGTATATCCAGAATAACATGTGCAAATATAAGATCCATCTGTGTTATTACACGTAGCATTGTGATGACATGGTGAATATAATTTGCAATCGTCAAAATCTAAAATTACAATTTAACCAAACAATTATTTTGAAGGATTTAGGATACTAAATTTTTCCCCTACTTACTTGTGCAATTAAATCCATCCCCACTATATCCAGAATCACACGTGCAAAGGTAAGATCCATTTGTGTTATTGCATGTAGCATTTGAATGACACGGGGAAGATGTTAAGCATTCGTCAACATCTAAAATGGAATTTGTACCATTTTTATTTCTCCACTTACACACTGTGATCGACTCAAATATTACGTATTTTAAATTATTTTCGTTGTCTTACCTGTGCAATTAAATCCATCTCCAGTATATCTAGCATCACATGTGCAAATAAAAGATCCATCTGTATTATTGCACATAGCATTGGAATGACACGGCGGAGATGTTAGGCATTCGTCTACATCTGAAAATACCAGTTGTAGCATTTTATTTTTCCATTTACTGCATTGGACTCAAATATATCGTAAAAATATTATTTCTATTCAATAACGTGTGCAGTTGAACTCATCACCAGTATATCCAGAATTACATTTACAAATATAAGATCCATCTGTGTTATTGCACGTAGCATTGGAATGACATGGGGGAGATGTTACGCATTCGTCAACATCTGAAATGGCAGTTGTAGCATTTTTATATTTCCGTCACTATTTTTTCTCAAATATTTTAAAAAATATTATTTCGGTGTATAACCTGTGCAATTAAATCCATTTCCACTATATCCAGAATCACATGTGCAAATATAAGATCCAATGGTGTTATTACAGGTCGCATTGGGATGACATGGTGGAGAAATCAGGCATTCGTCAAAATCTGAAATGGCAGTTGTAACATTTTTATTTTTAAATTTATTGTGTACCTCTAAAGCACTTGGCAAAAACATTATTTAGGTTGTCTTACTTGTGCAATTAAATCCATCTCCAGTATATCCAGAAATACACGTGCAAGTATAAGATCCATCAGTGTTATTGCACGTTGCATTGGAATGACATGCGGAAGATGTTAGGCATTCGTCAACATCTGAAATGACAGTTGTAGCACCTTTATTTTCCCATCTACTATTTTTCTTTAAATATTTACAAAAAAAATTATTTCCAATGTAAAATAATAACCTGTGCAGTTGAATCCATCTCCAGTATATCCAGTATCACATGTGCAAATATAAGATGCATCTGTGTTATTGCAGGTAGCATTAGAATGACATGGCGGGGATGTTATGCATTCGTCCAGGTCTGAAATGGGATTTGTCGAATTTTATTTTTCTATTTCCTCTTTTTTAACTCAACATTTGGCGGAAATATTATTTGCGTTGTCTTACCCGTGCAGTTGAATCCATCTCCAGTATATCCAGTATTACATGTGCAGTTATAAGATCCATCTGTGTTATTGCACGTAGCATTGGAATGACATGGTGGAGATTTTAGGCATTCGTCAACATCTAAAATGAGAGTTGTAGCATTTTCACTTAACCATTAACTCTTTTTCCCTCAAACATTTGTTGAAAAAATTATTCCAATGTGTAACCTGTGCAATTAAATCCATCTCCAGTATATCCAGAATCACATGTGCAAATATAAGATCCGTCTGTGTTATTGCACGTAGCATTGGAATGACATGGGGGAGATGTTATGCACTCGTCAACATCTGAAATGGCATTTTTAGCATTTTTATCTTTCTGTTTCCTCTTTTTTACTCAATACTTGGCAGAAATGTTATTTGCCTTGTCTTACCCGAGCAGTTGAATCCATCTCCAGTATATCCGGAATTACAGGTGCAAGTATAAGTTCCATCTGTGTTATTGCACGCAGCATTGGAATGACATGGGGAAGATGTTAGGCATTCGTCAACATCTAAAATGACAGTTGTAGCATTTTCATTTTTCCATTTACTGTTTTTCACTCAATTTTCAAAGCTCACTCGGTACGGGGAGCTGTCACCTCGGCAGCAGCGAACGCGTCAGTTCCTCTAGAGGAAATTTTGAAAATGGCTAATTGGTCCACCGCTTCTACCTTCTAAAAGTTTTACTATACACCTGTGATGAACACTCAATTTGTCCGTGCTGTCCTAGTCCATACATGTGAATAATGTTTAATCGGTTCTTGTTACAGTTTAGGTTCGATCGAGCGTTGAAATAAAGGATCTTATTCACTTCAGGAGTGTGTTGTGTTAAACTCTGCCATTTGCAATCTATTATATTTCGAGCGGAGCTCATGAAATAAAATTCCAATTATACAAGGGCTGAGGAGCCTGATGTATAATTCGGGTAATATGAGTGAAAGAAGGGAGAAATATATGAGTCCCTCCAGTTAGTGTTCTTGGGACTCACCCTTCCTATAACTCTTTGAATTTCTCCCGTCTTGTTTGGTGTTAAAATGGTCGCTGCAGGATCATGGAACACCGTTCCTATAGCAACGGCGCCGAAGCGCGCGATTTCACTTTCCTTCTCACAGGGGGTACCCTGGTGTTAAAAAAAGTGGTCCGAAGCATGGTAAAGACGAAGTCTTACCATTTGTAATCTCATATATTTCTCCATTCGTTCACTGATATAAACCCAATTATACATCAGGCTCCTCAGCCCTTGTTTAATTGGAATTAATAACCACGATAACACCAAGCCTGTTCCAAGACACTTTACCTCTGGTAATCATTGTGTCACGGATCATAAAATTTAGAGCCCTCTGACCCATTTCCGGTACTAACGATAGCCGTAATCGACAAGAAATGCGACTCATCCGCACTCTTGGCACTCTCCTTCCCTCTGGCATAAATGAAAGACTCTCTTTCATTTAAGCCACTTCACGCATAGTAATATGACTTCCATTTCTTTGTTTACATCAAAGCATGTTGTAATATGTTTTCGTTGCTGATCAGGCTTCCCTAGTTGCGGGCTATTCTTAGCCCACAATCAGGCGTCTCTTTGGCAATGCAATGTATTCCAATTTGTTTTGAATTTTTTGTTTTCTATTGCCAATTTTTATCACGTGTTTTGCCCCCATAAAAACCTGTATTTTCCCGTATTTATTTTCATAGAAACTCTCCTGACGAAGGCCCTCAGGTAGCAACGTCTAGAAGTGTTTTGTCTATTTAGGCAGTTGTTATAAAATATTTGATGCTAAGTTGTTTGAAGACGCTGCCACGCTGCTCCTTGGTTATATTGGATATTACCTGTGCAGTTAAATCCATCTCCAGTATATCTAGCATCACATGTGCAAATATAAGATCCGTCTGTGTTATTACACGTAGCATTTAAATGACATGGGGGAGATGTTTCGCATTCGTCGACATCTGAAATGGCAGTTGTAGCATTCCTATTTTTCCATTTACTGTTTTTTACTGAAACATTTAGTAAATACTTTATACTTGTTATCTAACCTGTGCAGTTAAATCCATCTCCAGTAAATCCAGAATCACATGCGCAAATATAAGATCCATCTGTGTCATTGCACGTAGCATTGGAATGGCATGGGGAAGATGTTACGCATTCGTCAACATCTAAAATGACAGTTGTAGCATTTTTACTTTTTCATTTACTATTTTTCACTCAAACATTTGTTAAAAAAATATTTCCAAAGTGTAACCTGTGCAGTTAAATCCATCTCCAGTATATTCGGAATCACATTTGCAAATATAAGATCCATCTGTGTTATTGCACGTAGCATTGGAATGGCATGGAGGAGATGTTACGCATTCGTCAACATCTAAAATCACAGTTGTAGCATTTTCATTTTTCCATTTACTGTTCTTTACTCAAACATTTGTTAAAAAAATATTTTTAATGTATAAAACCTGTGCAGTTAAACCCATCTCCAGTATATCCGGAATCACATGTGCAAATAAAAAATCCATCCGTGTTATTGCACGTAGCATTGGAATGACATGGGGGAGATGTTACGCATTCGTCAACATCTAAAATGAGTTTTTAGTTTTGGTACTTTTCCATTTCCTCTTTTTTCATTCAATACTTGGCGGAAATATTATTTGCGTTGTCTTACCCGTGCAGTTGAATCCATCTCCGGTATATCCAGAATCACATGTGCACATATAAGATCCATCTGTGTTATTGCACGTAGCATTGGAATGACATTGGGAAGATGTTAGGCATTCGTCAACATCTAAAATGACAGTTGTAGCATTTTCGTTTTTCCATTTACTGTTTTCTACTCAAACATTGGTTAAAAAATATTTTTAATGTATAAAACCTGTGCAGTTAAATCCATCTCCAGTATATCCAGAATCACATGTGCAAATATAAGATCCGTCTGTGTTATTGCACGTAGCATTGGAATGACATGGAGAAGATGTTAGGCATTCGTCAACATCTAAAATGACAGTTGTAGCATTTTCATTTTTCCATTTACTATTTTTCACTCAAATAGTTGTTAAAAAAATATTTCCATGTGTAACCTGTGCAATTAAATCCATCTCCAGTATATCTGGAATCACATGTGCAAATATAAGATCCATCTGTGTTATTGCACGTGGCATTGGAATGGCATGGAGAAGATGTTACGCATTCGTCAATATCTGAAATGGCATTTTTAGTATTGTTACTTTTCCATTTCCTTTTTTTTCATTCAACACTTAACGGAAATATTATTTGAGTTGTCTTACCCGTGCAATTGAATCCATCTCCGCTATATCCAGAATTACAGGTGCAAGTATAAGATCCGTCTGTGTTATTGCACGTAGCATTGGAATGACATGGGGAAGATGTTAGGCATTCGTCGAAATCTAAAATGACAGTTGTAGCATTTTCATTTTTCCATTTACTGTTTTTTACTCAAACATTTGTTAAAAAAATATTTTTAATGTATAAAACCTGTGCAGTTAAATCCATCTCCAGTATATCCAGAATCACATGTGCAAATATAAGATCCGTCTGTGTTATTGCACGTAGCATTGGAATGACATGGAGAAGATGTTAGGCATTCGTCAACATCTAAAATGACAGTTGTAGCATTTTCATTTTTCCATTTACTATTTTTCACTCAAATAGTTGTTAAAAAAATATTTCCAATGTGTAACCTGTGCAGTTAAACCCATCTCCAGTATATGCGGAATCACATGTGCAAATATAAGATCCATCTGTGTTATTGCACGTGGCATTGGAATGGCATGCAGAAGATGTTACGCATTCGTCAACATCTAAAATGACAGTTGTAGCATTTTTTTTCCATTTACTATTTTTCACTCAAATAGTTGTTAAAAAAATATTTCCAATGTGTAACCTGTGCAGTTAAATCCATCTCCAGTATATCCGGAATCACATGTGCAAATATAAGATCCATCCGTATTATTGCACGTCCCATTGGAATGACATGGGGCAGATATTATGCATTCGTCAACATCTGAAATGGTTTTATCATGCTTTTTTTTTCCATTTCCTCTTTTTACTCACCAATTGGCATAAATATTATTTGCTTTTTCTTACCCGTGCAGTTAAATCCATCTCCAGTATATCCAGAGTTACACGTGCAAATATAAGATCCATCTGTGTCATTGCACGTAGCATTGGAATGACATAGGGGAGATACAACGCATTCGTCAACATCTGAAATTGCAGTTGTAGCGTTTTCATTTTTCTATTTACTATTTTTTACTGAAACGTTTGGTAATAATTTTAGTTTCGTTGTCTTACCTGTGCAATTAAATCCATCTCCAGTATATCCAGAATCACATGTGCAAATATAAGATCCATCTGTGTTATTGCACGTAGCATTGGAATGACATGGGGAAGATGTTAGGCATTCATCAACATCTAAAATGACAGTTGTAGCATTTTCATTTTTCCATTTACTATTTTTCACTCAAATATTTGTTAAAAAAATATTTCCAATGTGTAACCTGTGCAGTTAAACCCATCTCCAGTATATCCGGAATCACATGTGCAAATATAAGATCCATTTGTGTTATTGCACGTGGCATTGGAATGGCATGGAGAAGATGTTACGCATTCGTCAACATCTAAAATGACAGTTGTAGCATTTTCATTTTTCCATTTACTATTTTTCACTCAAATATTTGTTAAAAAAATATTTCCAATGTGTAACCTGTGCAGTTAAACCCATCTCCAGTATATCCGGAATCACATGTGCAGATATAAGATCCATCTGTGTTATTGCACGTGGCATTGGAATGGCATGGAGAAGATGTTTTGCATTCGTCAACATCTGAAATGGATTTTTAGTATTGGTACTTTTTTATTTCCTCTTTTTTCATTCAACACTTGGCGGAAATATTATTTGCGTTGTCTTACCCGTGCAGTTGAATCCATCTCCGGTATATCCAGAATTACAGGTGCAAGTATAAGATCCGTCTGTGTTATTGCACGTTGCATTGGAATGACATGGGGAAGATGGTAAGCATTCATCTACATCTAAAATGACAGTTGTAGCAATTTCATTTTTCCATTTACTGTTTTTTACTCAAACATTTGTTAAAAAAATATTTCCAATGTGTAACCTGTGCAGTTAAATCCATCTCCAGTATATCCGGAATCACATGTGCAAATATAAGATCCATCCGTATTATTGCACGTCCCATTGGAATGACATGGGGCAGATATTATGCATTCGTCAACATCTGAAATGGTTTTATCATGCTTTTTATTTTTCCATTTCCTCTTTTTACTCACCAATTGGCATAAATGTTATTTGCTTTTTCTTACCCGTGCAGTTAAATCCATCTCCAGTATATCCAGAGTTACACGTGCAAATATAAGATCCATCTGTGTCATTGCACGTAGCATTGGAATGACATGGGGGAGATACAACGCATTCGTCAACATCTGAAATTGCAGTTGTAGCGTTTTCATTTTTCTATTTACTATTTTTTACTGAAACGTTTGGTAATAATTTTAGTTTCGTTGTCTTACCTGTGCAATTAAATCCATCTCCAGTATATCCAGAATCACATGTGCAAATATAAGATCCATCTGTGTTATTGCACGTAGCATTGGAATGACATGGGGAAGATGTTAGGCATTCATCAACATCTAAAATGACAGTTGTAGCATTTTCATTTTTCCATTTACTGTTTTTTACTCAAACATTTGTTAAAAAAAATATTTTTAATGTATAAAACCTGTGCAGTTAAATCCATCTCCAGTATATCCGGAATCACATGTGCAAATATAAGATCCATCTGTGTTATTGCACGTGGCATTGGAATGGCATGGAGAAGATGTTACGCATTCGTCAACATCTAAAATGACAGTTGTAGCATTTTCATTTTTCCATTTACTATTTTCCACTCAAATATTTGTTAAAAAAATATTTCCAATGTGTAACCTGTGCAGTTAAACCCATCTCCAGTATATCCGGAATCACATGTGCAGATATAAGATCCATCTGTGTTATTGCACGTGGCATTGGAATGACATGGAGGAGATGTTTTGCATTCGTCAACATCTGAAATGGATTTTTCGTATTGGTACTTTTCCATTTCCTCTTTTTTCGTTCAACACTTGGCGGAAATATTATTTGCGTTGTCTTACCCGTGCAGTTGAATCCATCTCCGGTATATCCAGAATTACAGGTGCAAGTATAAGATCCGTCTGTGTTATTGCACGTTGCATTGGAATGACATGGGGAAGATGGTAAGCATTCGTCTACATCTAAAATGACAGTTGTAGCATTTTCATTTTTCCATTTACTGTTTTTTACTCAAACATTTGTTAAAAAAATATTTCCAATGTGTAACCTGTGCAGTTAAATCCATCTCCAGTATATCCGGAATCACATGTGCAAATATAAGATCCATCCGTATTATTGCACGTCCCATTGGAATGACATGGGGCAGATATTATGCATTCGTCAACATCTGAAATGGTTTTATCCTGCTTTTTATTTTTCCATTTCCTCTTTTTACTCACCAATTGGCATAAATGTTATTTGCTTTTTCTTACCCGTGCAGTTAAATCCATCTCCAGTATATCCAGAGTTACACGTGCAAATATAAGATCCATCTGTGTCATTGCACGTAGCATTGGAATGACATGGGGAGATACAACGCATTCGTCAACATCTGAAATTGCAGTTGTAGCGTTTTCATTTTTCTATTTACTATTTTTTACTTAAACGTTTGGTAATAATTTTAGTTTCGTTGTCTTACCTGTGCAATTAAATCCATCTCCAGTATATCCAGAATCACATGTGCAAATATAAGATCCATCTGTGTTATTGCACGTAGCATTGGAATGACATGGGGAAGATGTTAGGCATTCATCAACATCTAAAATGACAGTTGTAGCATTTTCATTTTCCATTTACTATTTTTCACTCAAATATTTGTTAAAAAAATATTTCCAATGTGTAACCTGTGCAATTAAACCCATCTCCAGTATATCCGGAATCACATGTGCAGATATAAGATCCATCTGTGTTATTGCACGTGGCATTGGAATGACATGGAGGAGATGTTTTGCATTCGTCAACATCTGAAATGGATTTTTAGTATTGGTATTTTTTATTTCCTCTTTTTCATTCAACACTTGGCGGAAATATTATTTGCGTTGTCTTACCCGTGCAGTTGAATCCATCTCCGGTATATCCAGAATTACAGGTGCAAGTATAAGATCCGTCTGTGTTATTGCACGTTGCATTGGAATGACATGGGGAAGATGGTAAGCATTCATCTACATCTAAAATGACAGTTGTAGCAATTTCATTTTTCCATTTACTGTTTTTTTACTCAAACATTTGTTAAAAAAATATTTCCAATGTGTAACCTGTGCAATTAAATCCATCTCCAGTATATCCGGAATCACATGTGCAAATATAAGATCCATCCGTATTATTGCACGTCCCATTGGAATGACATGGGGCAGATATTATGCATTCGTCAACATCTGAAATGGTTTTATCATGCTTTTTATTTTCCATTTCCTCTTTTACTCACCAATTGGCATAAATGTTATTTGCTTTTTCTTACCCGTGCAGTTAAATCCATCTCCAGTATATCCAGAGTTACACGTGCAAATATAAGATCCATCTGTGTCATTGCACGTAGCATTGGAATGACATGGGGGAGATACAACGCATTCGTCAACATCTGAAATTGCAGTTGTAGCGTTTTCATTTTTCTATTTACTATTTTTTACTGAAACGTTTGGTAATAATTTTAGTTTCGTTGTCTTACCTGTGCAATTAAATCCATCTCCAGTATATCCAGAATCACATGTGCAAATATAAGATCCATCTGTGTTATTGCACGTAGCATTGGAATGACATGGGGAAGATGTTAGGCATTCATCAACATCTAAAATGACAGTTGTAGCATTTTCATTTTTCCATTTACTGTTTTTTACTCAAACATTTGTTAAAAAAATATTTTTAATGTATAAAACCTGTGCAGTTAAATCCATCTCCAGTATATCCGGAATCACATGTGCAAATATAAGATCCATCTGTGTTATTGCACGTGGCATTGGAATGGCATGGAGAAGATGTTACGCATTCGTCAACATCTAAAATGACAGTTGTAGCATTTTCATTTTTCCATTTACTATTCCACTCAAATATTTGTTAAAAAAATATTTCCAATGTGTAACCTGTGCAGTTAAACCCATCTCCAGTATATCCGGAATCACATGTGCAGATATAAGATCCATCTGTGTTATTGCACGTGGCATTGGAATGACATGGAGGAGATGTTTTGCATTCGTCAACATCTGAAATGGATTTTTCGTATTGGTACTTTTCCATTTCCTCTTTTTTCATTCAACACTTGGCGGAAATATTATTTGCGTTGTCTTACCCGTGCAGTTGAATCCATCTCCGGTATATCCAGAATTACAGGTGCAAGTATAAGATCCGTCTGTGTTATTGCACGTTGCATTGGAATGACATGGGGAAGATGGTAAGCATTCGTCTACATCTAAAATGACAGTTGTAGCATTTTCATTTTTCCATTTACTGTTTTTACTCAAACATTTGTTAAAAAAATATTTCCAATGTGTAACCTGTGCAGTTAAATCCATCTCCAGTATATCCGGAATCACATGTGCAAATTAAGATCCATCCGTATTATTGCACGTCCCATTGGAATGACATGGGGCAGATATTATGCATTCGTCAACATCTGAAATGGTTTTATCCTGCTTTTTATTTTTCCATTTCCTCTTTTTACTCACCAATTGGCATAAATGTTATTTGCTTTTTCTTACCCGTGCAGTTAAATCCATCTCCAGTAATCCAGAGTTACACGTGCAAATATAAGATCCATCTGTGTCATTGCACGTAGCATTGGAATGACATGGGGGAGATACAACGCATTCGTCAACATCTGAAATTGCAGTTGTAGCGTTTTCATTTTTATTTACTATTTTTCTTAAACGTTTGGTAATAATTTTAGTTTCGTTGTCTTACCTGTGCAATTAAATCCATCTCCAGTATATCCAGAATCACATGTGCAAATATAAGATCCATCTGTGTTATTGCACGTAGCATTGGAATGACATGGGGAAGATGTTAGGCATTCATCAACATCTAAAATGACAGTTGTAGCATTTTCATTTTTCCATTTACTATTTTTCACTCAAATATTTGTCAAAAAAATATTTCCAATGTGTAACCTGTGCAGTTAAACCCATCTCCAGTATATCCGGAATCACATGTGCAAATATAAGATCCATCTGTGTTATTGCATGTGGTATTGGAATGGCATGGAGAAGATGTTACGCATTCGTCAACATCTAAAATGACAGTTGTAGCATTTTCATTTTTCCATTTACTATTTTTCACTCAAATATTTGTTAAAAAAATATTTCCAATGTGTAACCTGTGCAGTTAAACCCATCTCCAGTATATCCGGAATCACATGTGCAGATATAAGATCCATCTGTGTTATTGCACGTGGCATTGGAATGACATGGAGGAGATGTTTTGCATTCGTCAACATCTGAAATGGATTTTTAGTATTGGTACTTTTTTATTTCCTCTTTTTTCATTCAACACTTGGCGGAAATATTATTTGCGTTGTCTTACCCGTGCAGTTGAATCCATCTCCGGTATATCCAGAATTACAGGTGCAAGTATAAGATCCGTCTGTGTTATTGCACGTTGCATTGGAATGACATGGGGAAGATGGTAAGCATTCGTCTACATCTAAAATGACAGTTGTAGCAATTTCATTTTTCCATTTACTGTTTTTTACTCAAACATTTGTTAAAAAAATATTTCCAATGTGTAACCTGTGCAGTTAAATCCATCTCCAGTATATCCGGAATCACATGTGCAAATATAAGATCCATCCGTATTATTGCACGTCCCATTGGAATGACATGGGGCAGATATTATGCATTCGTCAACATCTGAAATGGTTTTATCATGCTTTTTATTTTTCCATTTCCTCTTTTTACTCACCAATTGGCATAAATGTTATTTGCTTTTCTTACCCGTGCAGTTAAATCCATCTCCAGTATATCCAGAGTTACACGTGCAAATATAAGATCCATCTGTGTCATTGCACGTAGCATTGGAATGACATGGGGGAGATACAACGCATTCGTCAACATCTGAAATTGCAGTTGTAGCGTTTTCATTTTTCTATTTACTATTTTTTACTGAAACGTTTGGTAATAATTTTAGTTTCGTTGTCTTACCTGTGCAATTAAATCCATCTCCAGTGTATCCAGAATCACATGTGCAAATATAAGATCCATCTGTGTTATTGCACGTAGCATTGGAATGACATGGGGAAGATGTTAGGCATTCATCAACATCTAAAATGACAGTTGTAGCATTTTCATTTTTCCATTTACTGTTTTTTACTCAAACATTTGTTAAAAAAATATTTTTAATGTATAAAACCTGTGCAGTTAAATCCATCTCCAGTATATCCGGAATCACATGTGCAAATATAAGATCCATCTGTGTTATTGCACGTGGCATTGGAATGGCATGGAGAAGATGTTACGCATTCGTCAACATCTAAAATGACAGTTGTAGCATTTTCATTTTTCCATTTACTATTTTCCACTCAAATATTTGTTAAAAAAATATTTCCAATGTGTAACCTGTGCAGTTAAACCCATCTCCAGTATATCCGGAATCACATGTGCAGATATAAGATCCATCTGTGTTATTGCACGTGGCATTGGAATGACATGGAGGAGATGTTTTGCATTCGTCAACATCTGAAATGGATTTTTAGTATTGGTACTTTTCCATTTCCTCTTTTTTCATTCAACACTTGGCGGAAATATTATTTGCGTTGTCTTACCCGTGCAGTTGAATCCATCTCCGGTATATCCAGAATTACAGGTGCAAGTATAAGATCCGTCTGTGTTATTGCACGTTGCATTGGAATGACATGGGGAAGATGGTAAGCATTCGTCTACATCTAAAATGACAGTTGTAGCAATTTCATTTTTCCATTTACTGTTTTTTACTCAAACATTTGTTAAAAAAATATTTCCAATGTGTAACCTGTGCAGTTAAATCCATCTCCAGTATATCCGGAATCACATGTGCAAATATAAGATCCATCCGTATTATTGCACGTCCCATTGGAATGACATGGGGCAGATATTATGCATTCGTCAACATCTGAAATGGTTTTATCATGCCTTTTATTTTTCCATTTCCTCTTTTTACTCACCAATTGGCATAAATGTTATTTGCTTTTTCTTACCCGTGCAGTTAAATCCATCTCCAGTATATCCAGAGTTACACGTGCAAATATAAGATCCATCTGTGTCATTGCACGTAGCATTGGAATGACATGGGGGAGATACAACGCATTCGTCAACATCTGAAATTGCAGTTGTAGCGTTTTCATTTTTCTATTTACTATTTTTTACTGAAACGTTTGGTAATAATTTAGTTTCGTTGTCTTACCTGTGCAATTAAATCCCTCCAGTATATCCAGAATCACATGTGCAAATATAAGATCCATCTGTGTTATTGCACGTAGCATTGGAATGACATGGGGAAGATGTTAGGCATTCATCAACATCTAAAATGACAGTTGTAGCATTTTCATTTTTCCATTTACTGTTTTTTACTCAAATTTGTTAAAAAAAATATTTTTAATGTATAAAACCTGTGCAGTTAAATCCATCTCCAGTATATCCGGAATCACATGTGCAAATAGATCCATCTGTGTTATTGCACGTGGCATTGGAATGGCATGGAGAAGATGTTACGCATTCGTCAACATCTAAAATGACAGTTGTAGCATTTTCATTTTTCCATTTACTATTTTCCACTCAATATTTGTTAAAAAAATATTTCCAATGTGTAACCTGTGCAGTTAAACCCATCTCCAGTATATCCGGAATCACATGTGCAGATATAAGATCCATCTGTGTTATTGCACGTGGCATTGGAATGACATGGAGGAGATGTTTTGCATTCGTCAACATCTGAAATGGATTTTTAGTATTGGTACTTTTCCATTTCCTCTTTTTTCATTCAACACTTGGCGGAAATATTATTTGCGTTGTCTTACCCGTGCAGTTGAATCCATCTCCGGTATATCCAGAATTACAGGTGCAAGTATAAGATCCGTCTGTGTTATTGCACGTTGCATTGGAATGACATGGGGAAGATGGTAAGCATTCGTCTACATCTAAAATGACAGTTGTAGCAATTTCATTTTTCCATTTACTGTTTTTTACTCAAACATTTGTTAAAAAAATATTTTCAATGTGTAACCTGTGCAGTTAAACCCATCTCCAGTATATCCGGAATAACATGTGCAAATATAAGATCCATCTGTGTTGTTGCACTTAGCATTGGAATGACATGGGGGAGATGTTACGCATTCGTCAACATCTGAAATGGTTTTATCATCATTTTTATTTTTCCATTTCCTCTTTTTACTCATCAATTGGCATAAATGTTATTTGCTTTTTCTTACCCGTGCAGTTAAATCCATCTCCAGTATATCCAGAGTTACACGTGCAAATATAAGATCCATCTGTGTCATTACACGTAGCATTGGAATGACATGGGGGAGATACGACGCATTCGTCAACATCTGAAATTGCAGTTGTAGCGTTTTCATTTTTCTATTTACTATTTTTTACTGAAACGTTTGGTAATAATTTTAGTTTCGTTGTCTTACCTGTGCAATTAAATCCATCTCCAGTATATCCAGAATCACATGTGCAAATATAAGATCCATCTGTGTTATTGCACGTAGCATTGTAATGACATGGGGAGTATGTTTGACATTCATCAACGTCTGAAATGTGATCGCAAAATAATTATGTACTGTCGTGATATATTAAACTTTTTTTTGGCACTGTTAACATGCAAGGTTCTTCTGTTCCTATTGTTGCTACTTAACAATATCATTTCATGTCAGTGTAACAATTATTAATTTTTAATGTACCTTGACAATATGTGTTATTTCCGGTAAATCCAAGTTTACAGGTACAGAAATAACTCCCAGGAGTGTTGGTGCACGTTGCGTTATCATGACAATACCCGCCTTCACAACATTCATCTAGGTCTAAAAAGAGACATTTGATATCTTTTAGGGTTTTTTAATAACATAATTATTATTCCAGCCTGAACGCAGCTTTAGTCTTTTATGTTTCTGTGGTTTTGCGTTCATTTCTACAGTTTGTGTTTTCTGGCTTTTGGTAAACTAAACGTTGCATAATAATTATACATTTTATTCACTCTTTCAGGGCATCCACTTCCCTTGACCATTTATTGTAAGAATTAACTAAATTTATTTAACTTGATTATTACATTTGTGAGCAAGGGTACCGTGAAATGCGTTAGTGCCACCTTAATAGTTTCAACAGACGAAAGAATAAAATTGTAAAATCTTTCACTCGACCTCATTATACCAGAAGGGATGATTCCCTTAGGATTCCTAAAGTATTTGCAAGAACTTGTAACGATTAGCAACAAAAGCCTGTTGTCTTTTTGATTAAATTTTGTACAATTAAACATGATGCCGGTGATTTTGTGTCCCCAAGTTGCGACTGTGGTATCAAAATATAATCTTCATTCCAGGCGTTCTAGTTACGTTCTTACCTTATGTAATACAGCTCAGGGCCAACTACGAAACTATAATGTCATCGTAAATATAAATAATATCATCATAAATTTCTGAATTTTTCTTGAACATATCATAGCATCAGATATTCCTCAAATACATAATTTTATATTTTTGTCCTTTAATTAGCTACAAAGTTCGTAAAGGTTACCCACCTTGAACAACAGTGATCTCCTGTGGTTTGTCGCTGAGATCAAATGAATCTTGAAAAGTAGCAGTGGGTCGGTCAAATCTATCTATACTTTGCCTTGTGCTATCCATTGTATAAAAATAATCCTCTCCTATTGCAACGTTTACTGAGCTTGTTACACCAGAGTATAACTTGACTTGCGAAGTTGAACCATTAAAATATGTTTTCATGAGAGAAAAACTAGTGCTGGCACTGATATAGTCAATCCAGTATATCACTTCATATTGAGAATCGACGGCAAGATATTTTGGTGACGTATTGTTATGGTAAATAATCTCCTGGGTATCTTTGTCGAGATAGTAGCGAACAATATCACCATTTATGATATCAGCGAATACAAGAGAACTAAAAGGGAGAAAAAGATTGAGTATTTAGTCCATGTATTGCAAAATATAGCTTGTCCTCAATTATCTTTGTCCAATGAAGAAGTGTTTTCAACCACATGTTGTGCTCTCATGAAAAATAGAAATACTTTGAATGAAATTTTTAATGGAATTAAAAAGCTAGACAGAAAAGAATAAAGAATTAGCCAAATATGCAACAACAAATATGAACAATTGTATCGCAAGCATTCCAATTGCCCAGAATTGTACGTCTTCAACCTTCCTCCAAGATAATTTCAAACTATGAAATTCCTTGAAAATATATTCAAAACCATGCCGTCGTTTTGGGTTGTTTTGATAATTAATCTAGTGTATCTCTAATGAGCTGGAAAATTATTTTCACAAAAACACCATTATATCTTATACTTTCGACAAGGCTCTCAATTTTTACCGCGTGACACAAAGAATATATAAAAAGTTAAAACTTCGCCCTGCTAAGTTTTCAACATTTTACGGCATTTCTCAAAAGGTTCGAAATTTAGTTATTTTGTCTATCTTTTGGGGCTAACACTTTCCTCTTCTTTTGGGGTTTACTATATTTATGCCTCTTATTCATCGAAAACAATTATCATTACCACACTTTAGGTATTAGCCAAACCTATACCCTTTCTATTAGCAACACAAAAGGTATTAGAAAAATCTGTTTTGAATTGCCCAATTTAAAGCATTTCCTGGATTTTATTATGTGATTCCCAGTTGTATCGATATTTAAGTAATATATGTACCTGTTAGTTGGATCACTGTCCAAGTCATCGGCATTGACAATGTCGGTTGGATTTAGATCAGTTAAATTTCCAGTAACTAAGTCAACGATACTCACTTTCTTGAAAAGATTAGTAATGAAGTAAACCTTTCTCTTTATATGATCCACAGTAAACCGGTCAAGAGTCGTCAGAGATCCTCTGATTGTGATCGGATCACTCCCATCCAGTTTAACTGTGATGAGATTGCTTCCATCGTAGTAGATGAGCCTTTTGGTGGCAGAATCATAATTTAGTTTCACGTTGGTTGCTGATAATATGGTCACAGTCGAGTTACCGTCGGAGAATACGCCTTTAATAGCACTGGTTGTTGCATAGTATATGGCATCCACTGTACACGTGAGAACTAACAATATCAACAAATAACAATCAATAGCATAGTACCGTTGTTTGCCTTGTGACCAAGACTATGATCATGCAAGTAAAGGTGTTTTTTTTTAAATTTGTTTTTAATGAAAGCGAAGAGGTAGCTAGAAACCGTAGCTATAGATCGCTTATAAATTGGGGGGGGGCTGCAAGTTCATTTAATATGGTTTACACGCAATAGGGAAAATAGAGTTCGGGTATAGCAAGAGTGTATGAATATGCATCCTTCTCCATTACTACGACTTTTTGATCAAGCACTTTTTGTAGGATGGTCGAGTTATGAGCATTCTTAAATAATTTTCTTTCCTCGGATTAGAAGATATAGTTAAAAATTTTAGAAATCAATGTGAAACATAATAGTAAAAGTCCGAAACGACTTTCCTTAAGCGACTTTTCTTAAGAAATACACACCGTGTCACCCACATTCAGATCTAAGTTACGCCTGCGCTTGGAAGCTATGCTATCGGGAGAAGAAGGGGTTATAAGTACAACCTTCACAAAAGAAGCCATCTCCACTAAAGTTTGCTTTGCAAGCGCAGTAGTACGAACCATCCACGTTTGTGCAAGTTGCATTTGTATGACATGGAGCATCTCGTTCACATTCGTTGATATCTATAATCATAAATTATCATAAATTGTTCAAATCTTAAATAAGATAATGAATTTCGAATTTTCTTTCATTCATTTCGTTAAGACGGTCTGAAACTCTCAAAGAATTGAATTGAATAAGTACGTAATTATAATAATGCATGTTAATATAATTATGTTATTTACACATCATTATACTGTAACATCATTATGGGAATCTAGTAACGTCGTATACCATATTTAATTATCAAAATAAATTTAATATTGAAGCAATTAAGTACACCATAATCATGTTAAATGATATAACTTTCACTATACTTAAATTTTGAACAGTATTGAACCCAAACTAACTTACTAAGTAATGGCGTATATGTATTTCAAATGGCGTATGTATTTGTTAGATATAATTATTGAGCGACGACTATGAACAATAATAAACTATTCCAATTTTTTTACTGCATAATTTATAAACACAATTGATGAAATTTAGACATACTTATTGTTATTAATTGTCTTGAAAACAACAGAGCGCCACAAAAAGGTAAGTAAGTCCAACTTTAGCACGCTAATGTGTGCTAGAACCCCAATAACATGTGCTTGATGTTCAAAGTTCACACGATTAAAAATTCTGGCTCATTTTACTTAGTTTGAGCTAAAATTATCTCTCATTCATAATATGTCAATAGCTTCAAAATAATACAGTTTATTATGATTAGGCAGGATCGTACACAAAGCGTTTTAATGGCGTACCTGTGCAGCTGGTGCCGTTGCCTTCAAAGCCCACATTGCAAGTGCATGTAAACGAGCCATCGCTATTCGAACAATTTGCATTCATATCACAAGGGCTACTCTGGCATTCATTTATATCTACAAAGAAGTCAATGGTATCTTCATTAAGTAAGAATATCGCATAAGTCAATGATTTTTTATTTGAAATGTTATTTTTGAGGAGCAATGACATTTTCATTAGACGAAATTTTCTTAATTTGGCTGACATTCTTTATAAAGTAATTATCCGTGATAGAAAACTACATCTTTAGGGTATATGTTTATTTTCTGTCACTGACTATATACGTAATTTTATTTGTTGAGCTTTGCCCACAACCATTAGTGGAAAGGCTACAATAAAATCAATGAAAAACCTATTGTTCAACGTTGGCGCCCGCATATATCCAATAATACCTTACCTGTACAGTTTTTGCCATTTCCGTTGAAACCAGTTTGGCATTCACAGAGATACGAACCGATTGTGTTTGTACAGTTTGAGTTTAAACCACATGCCGTTTCCGCGCACTCGTCTACATCTGTTGAAGTTAAAACGAAGTTAAACCAGCAGAAATATAACATCAGATTCCTTAAACTTTTAGAACAACTTGCAAAATATCATTCCTCAAAAAACAAGCATGAAAAGATAGCATTTAATTTCAAACAAAGAATGTTGGGATCGATACGCGTTTTAACACGGCTACAATGCTCAAGGTCGATCTTGACTCCAGAACCTTTGGCTCCGGCAGGATCTTTTGCGACCCCTGGTTGTGACGTAACTACTGGCCGATCGAAATAGGGAAAAATCAGGCGGGACTTCTATACGGCTGTAATGTTTAAAACAATGCTGCACCGTATATTTGAATTAAATAGACCACGTCCTAATGGTTTAGAATGAGGACCATCTCCATCTATGATCATAATAATTATTCTTATATTACTAAACATGATAAAGTCGTTTAATTTCGTTTGATTTATTTCATACCTTCACAAATTGTTTTATTCCCAGTGAATCCTGTGTTACATGAGCAGACGTTAGTACCAGGAGAGTTTGTACACGTCGAGTTTGCAGGACAAGTATTATTTAAAAAACAATAATCCTTATCTAGAAGAAAAAAGGTGAGAACGGTTCTTCATATTTAAGTATACTTAGGAATATTAAGAATAATTATGAATATTCACCAGCGTTAGGCGTGTAGATTCGTCATTAAGTGCCTATACCGTGGTGGCTGATTTGGAATAAATCAAAAGTTAAGGTATTCTAAGTTTGTTTTCTTATTGAAAAATTTTGTGGAAAAATCTGGATGGATTTATTAGCCTTTAATGTTACCACACATGACGTCAAATCGGGAATTGCAAATAAGTTTTCTTTTGTTTAAGTTGCATGAAATTCTCGATCCGTCATGTCCGGTAACTTTTAAGGCTAATAAACCACCAAAAATAAACTTTTGATATATTTATAATCAGCGACCATGGAAAACCACTTTAGCAGATACAGACCGTCCTTCGTGTTTACTAATGCATGTAATTTAATACACATTATCTTGCATCACATGTATTAAAATATTTGGGTTTACAAATATTTACATGGGCTTAAATACCGCACGCAGTCCGAGCACGGATAAAAATGGTATGGGTGCAAGTTTTATCCGTACCGTACGATACATCGCGCGTAGTGGGGCTTTAGATTAATATTATTCCTTCGTGAATTTTAATCACTTACCAGATACAACAATCATTCTTGTGGCTTCAGTTGAAAGTGAAATCGTAGCAGCCACTGTATTCGTCGATTTATCATATTTATCAATTTGTGATGTTATGGTGTCGAGGATATAATAATATCCATTTCCGTCTGCAATGTCCACGGTTGTAATGCCTCCTGATTGATCTGTTCCTATCTGTGAAGTCAGACCATCGTACGTTGTTTTCAATATCTTGTAATTTGAGTCAGTTGTAAATAGAATCCAATATACGGTTTTATTCACGGTATCAAGCGCAAGGTGAGTGCCTATTTCATTGACACCAGAGTGAAGAATATGAATAGTTCCATCAGCAAGACTGTACCGGATGAGATTGCGATTGTTCGTTGTATCAGTAGTGAGAAATATTGATCTATTTGGAGAAAAATCAAAAGCGCCAAATATATATTTGAAGATTAGGCAGATTATCTTTATTTACCCACACTTCATAACCTCGTTCTATTAGGGGGAGGGGGGTAATATATCCCATTTGGGGGGTAATACCGAAAAATATTGAGTAATTCATTTGCTCAAATTTATCAGTTTGCTTACGGAATACAACAAATATGAGTTACTCGATATTTTTCGAAATGCTTCTATTGCCGCGACTGTAAGTTGTGAGAAAGAAACGCCGAAAAAAGCGCCCGTGTAATCAGGCCCTCGATGCAATTCAAACAATAGACAATGAGATAATGAAACTCAGTGATTAAGCTTCATTATCATCTGATTATCTATTGTTTGACTTTTTTCGACGTGACCAAAATGGCCAGGGTTACATACACAGTATGTCGTATTTTGGTCGCGTCGAATGCAATTCGAACAATAGGTAATGAGCTGGTAATGAATCAGGTCGATCATTTCATTATCTATTGTTTAAATTGCATTCGACGCGAACAAAAGCGACGTATCAACTAGGCCTAACCTAGGCCTACTCCGGAAACAATCCGACATTTTTTCCGCAAAGCGAATTTATTTTTTTCTATTTGAGCAATCGTTCCGAATGGTTGCTTTTGACAGCTCTGAAACAAGAGTTAAAAGGCGATGCCCAAAGTAATTTTGTTACCAAAACGTAGCAAGTCATTTAAAGACTAAGGTTCGCTTTTTTCTACGTCTGACAACAGGTTTTCATATTAATAATGAACGTGTAATATGCTATTAAAGATTCTCTTTTGTCCGTATGTAGTTTTAAGAAAAAATTGTTTTCAGTTCTTTGCCTACCTATTGTAAGTATCAATTTTAAAGTCCTTGTAAACAGCATCTTCTAACCCAATATCTGGTAAACTACTGCCATTATAGTCGATTGATTTAATCTTTTCACCATTCAGGTAGTATACAGTTTGATTGGCTGCGTCAACAGCAAATAATTTGTCAGAAGCTAGCGCTTTCAGTAAACTTCGCAAGTCACTTCCATCCAACTTAGCGTTATACAGATTAACATCGTCCGTATACCAAATCCGATAATTCAGTTCGTCATAATCTAACGTGGCACTGCCAGAAGATGCAAAGGCAACAGAATGTCCACCGTCAATGGATGTGTAAGAGATGTGAGTGGCGTTTGAGTAGAAGATGTATTCAGTGCCTTCTTCTGGATTTCCTGCGGGTGAAATTGAACATATTTGATTCAATCGATGATATGATACTAAGAAATTCAGTAAAGCTATAAACAGTATCAAAAAAGAAAGAAGAATTTCGTTTTAGACCTGTGGACATATTTCTTTACATTTTCATCAAATCAATCAGAATGCTTAAGGCAATAAGCAAATCTGCGGCAGTTATATTTTGACAGAAATTGCCAATATTCGACACTCAATATTCATATATGTTCAATAACAAACTATTCATTAACAAAAGATCGTAAATGGGAATCAATAAGGTTGCATTTTTATACACCCTGTGTGATAGAAACTTTAATTGTGTAGGGACAAGGCTGACAAGCTATTGTAATCCCGGTTCCAAAGGCTTAAAATCTATTGTTCTTAAGAACAATATGAATTTTAGAATATTAAGTGTTGGCTTTTTTAATACACCCTATACAGGGTGTCTCAAAAAAAACGCAACCACTTAATATTCTAAAATTCATATTGTTCATAAGCTCAATAGATTTTATGCCCCCGTGGGATTTTAAAATGGCTTCTAATCGTACAATTCAACTGCTAATAGTCAAATCAGCTAAACTAACAACCGAACAACGAGTTTTTATTGTCGTGCATGATAACTTGAATGCTAACTGTCGACCTTGTAAAATAAATTGTAAATAAAATTTTACTCGTTAAATAATTTCAATTCAGCTCGTTGGTTTACGCACCCGACTTTGTTTACCGACGATTGTGCCGCTAGAATATGATTACAAACTTTCTCGCATTCCAGGGGCCAAACGTCTTTTGTGTTGTAGAACAAAGAGGATATTCATGAATATTAAGTGATTGCGTTTTTTTTTATACACCCTGTATGTACACGCGCTGAACGTGCTCATAGGTTAATGAATAATGAATCATTCTAGCAGTGGCGTAGCTAGCATGGATAATTATTGCGGGGAGGAGCTAATATTCATATATTCAGGTTAAGTAACTGTAAAGACAATAGATTTCATAAAATATTGAAAATGCAGAACATGAATATATTGGTATACATTTATTATCGATGGCTACGCTACTGTATTCTAGCTCTTATCCCTTGTCTACGTATCTATAAAAACTAACTAAAATCTATCTACAGTAAATTGGAACGATAACTCGGTCGTAATCTCTGATGCAATCATGAAGCCGAATTGAGCACCAGTGCCAGTCCTTTCCAATCGTTTTTGTCTTCACGGTCGACGATTGTGCAATGATAGATAAGGACTGGCATTGGTGCTCAATTGTGCATTTAATTCGCTTGAAAGATAAAAGCTAAATAACCCAATGAGATTAACGATGTCCTATATATGGAAGCAAAGTCTATTGCTGTTAGCGGAGTATAAACGGGAGAAAAGACAGAATAGTTTTTCTTGGTTGAGTGTAACAAGCCCATTTTTAAAACTTGGCGTAAAAAAAGCATTGTCCCGTTGCATTAATTTTGAAATCTTTATAATTCTTTATTCAATAGAACTTTTCAGCTTACATGCAAATTAACGCATTTCATATGTTGTGACCATGGAATTGCCAATAAAACGTAACCATTTCAGACTTGAAATAGGTTTATTTGCATACAAGCTAAAAAGGTCTAGAATAATTATGCTATTATGAATAACTGCTAGAAATCCCGTTGTCGTGAGCTTATAACCATAGCAACAATAAACAAGGGTGAAATTATAAAGGCATACGTCGTCATGGCTAATTAAGTTTTAGTGATCGCCTTTTGTGCAGCTAATATATCGCTTATATCCTACAATTATATTGGTATGCATGCTATGTACATGCAGTTCAATTTCTCAACTCAACAAATCACATTATACTTAGACTTAATTAACTTACCCTTGACTTGAGAAAATTCCCAACTTGTGAATATGAGTAAATAGAATGCGCATAAACGATACATCTGTGTAAAACAGAGAAAAATGCTTAGCAAATTCAACGGGATAGATTGTTTTCAATATGATATAGGTTTAACTAGTTTTAAAGGCCTGCGAGATGCTGGGTTCTGTCGTGGGATTACCCTAATTTTCTGTGGAGTTCACAGGATCCTTCCAAAAAGCGGGGTGCAGATTATTTACTGCATGTGAATATGATATTTTCTCTCTTTCCCCTGCTGTTGTTGTTGATTTGTCTCTAGAGACCGTAGCTAAAACAAAGTTTCCAAACAGTAAAGGAGTAAAAAAAAACACCACAGCACTCGTGAGAGGTCAGTTAGAAAAAAAAACAGTTTTAGCCCGCAGTATAAAAGTTGGCGTAGAATAATTTTGTTTTTAGGGCTGATTTCATGTGCACATGAGGGCTACACTACAAAAAATGAGAGATTTCCAAAAATCTATTATGTGAACCAGTGTTGTCAGGAAACACGGCTTTACAAATCATATCCAGCTGAGGTACCCTCAAGTCTTCAAGTTTAGCTTACATTTCAAAAATTACAATTATTTTTCATGCTATGACATTCAGCGAGAACTTGTTAAACGGTTGTTTAAAACCCCGTACAGATGGGCAAGTTTTCCTAGACAAATTTTATTTGCTCGTGTGTACGCGAAAAAATTGACAAGTTTTCCTTGCATGACAATGAGCCTTGTTCAAAAACTAGTCATGTCAGCTTTTTAATAAGGAAAAATGCTCGTGTGTACGGCCGTCAAGGAAAACTTGACAAGGAATTACGCAGTTGTGAACAGCGCAACAATAAATTTTCGAGCCAATCGAGCGGTTTTTTGAAGTATTTCAATTTCTGTTGGTTTTTGGGATTCGGTCGTATACTCATCTTATCATGGCTCGATCATATTATCGTAAAATATACTCATATTATCGCAAAATATACTCATATTATCGTAAACTTTTCAAGAAAAAGTTGTCATTTTTCGCGTACACACGAGCAAATAAAACTTGCCAAGGAAAACTTGTCAACGAAAACTCGTTCGTCATACACACCAGCTTGTACGGGGCTTAAGGCTCTTCTGCGCGTTCATGTTTGTGATAATTTCCATGAATCATCAAAATTTTGCTCTTTGTTTCATTTTCAGTTCTTATATAACAATGCTATTTGGTTAGCTAAAGCCCGTACAGACGGGCAGTTTTCCTTGCCAAGTTTTATTGGCTCGTGTGTGCACGAAAAAAATTGACAAGTTTTCCATGACAAGGAGCCTTGTTTAAAATTTAGTCATGCCAGCTTTTCAACAAGGAAAATGTTCGTGTGTATGGCCGTCAAGGAAAACTTGACAAGGAATAGCGCAGTAGGGAACAGCGCAACAATCTTCGAGCCGACCGAGCGGAATTCTCATGTTTTTCAATTTCTGTTTGTTTTTAGATTCAGCTGTTACTCATTTTCTAATGGCTCATATTATCGTAAAATATACACATATTATCGTTAAACTTGTAAAGAAAAATTACTTATTTTGCGTACACACGATCAAATAAAACTTGGCAACGAAAACTTTTTCGTCATGCACACAAGCAAGCGAATTGGTCAAGAAAACTTGCCCCTCTGTACGGGGCTTCAATCTGAGGTTAACAAATTTATACAAACTTAAATTATAACTTAGATTAGGTATTGTAAATTAAATTGGTACGATTAGGTATTGTAAATGGGTACTGCATGATGAACTTCCTGAAAAACTTGAATATCCACCGCAATCTGAAAATACGACTATCTGATTACGTTACTTCATATATTGCTTTTCAAATTCCCATGTACTGACATAGTTTTTAATTGCCAGATACAATTTAAAGCAATACAGACGCAAGTTTTTTTTGCCCTATTTTCACGTCAACGCATGGGGTTTGCTGTATACGAACCTTCGCCTCATATGCGAACGCAAAACACGTATAGAAATGTAACATTTCAAGTTCCACCCTCAACGGAATGAGCAAAATTATGGCATTGGCACTCGTTTCCATTCGTCAAAATGATAATTGCATGCATTAACTTAACAGAATAAATAGGTCATTTATGGCTATACTCATTTAACTATTAAATATATTCAAGGATATAGCTATGTCTTTGTTTAACAAGCGATAGTCTGTCTGCATGAATATGTTATAAATTAGTATAATACATTCGTTTGTCTCCATAAACTTAGACACCATTTTAATGAAAACCTATTCGTCTGAATTTGAAATGAACCGCTAGGATATTCAAGATACGAGCGCAGCTGGGGCAAAAATGACATTGAGCTAAAGCTATGGTGTGCTGCATATCATTCTTAGCTCTTTCAATATGACTTAGACAACTTAACTGCCAACGCTTAGCTCAGTCAGTGGAAAAACTAAAAGGCTAGTCCACAAATTAAATAATGAAAAAATATTTAACTTTATAGTAAACTACTTCGTAAACTGAACGCTTATACTAATTTTTTCTCGAACCGTTCGTTTCACGGTAAATTTGCATAATCACTGAGCATTAAAGGCTATCTATATAAGGCATTTCTTACCTAGAGTTTGACCAGAATAGGACACAAGGCTTCTAATAGTACATGCATGTAGATATAGTACTTACTCATACGATAAAAATATTGAAAAACTCTCGATGGATATAAATATTTTAAATGACTTCATGGTCGCCTAACAACTTGCTACAAACTAGGTATAAGTGTCGATATATTATATTAAAACGTCAATTTGTACACCAGCAAGTTCACAAAATATTTGCCATTAAGTCTATTGGTAATAAATACTTATATTTTCCACTTACCGTTCACATGAGAGAAATGCAGCTAGATGTGTAGAATGCACACTGTACAATATGTGCGTCCGAAAACGCTTAACTTTGTTATTGAGCGTGTTCCTGTTCAATCACTAGTTGCTATATACAAAAAAAATAATTTGCAATACCATGGCAAATTCACAGCAAGATATGCGTGGACGACATGCTGCTAATAGGAATAAAAATATTGATTGAGATGGATGATATTATACAATTTAGAAACAAATTAAGAGGTTCTTTTAGTTAGATTACAAGTGGTTATAAATTGTCATACATTTATACTTAAAGGCATGAATTATCACAACAAACCAGTTGATAAGTAAGATAACTTCATTTCAATTGTTATAAATAACTCCAGTGTCAAGGGCGCGTGGGAGGCGTGTGAAATTGCATGCGCCAATATCAACACTCGATAATAATTACTGCATGCTGCTGTAAATTTTTTACTCCAGGGAAGCCCGATAAACTTTGGCCAATGCAAATCTTCTAGGTCTAATTAGTTACTTGTTTGCCGAAAAGAAAATTAAATAATCGCCTATATAAGGATCTCTCTTAGAATCTCTCTCTTACCAGGATAAATTGTCCTGAAAGATGAGAAGATTTGACAAGATTTGGACAAGAGCAATGACAAGAGTTTGCAGAAAGAAATTCAGTCAAATTGTGCATTTACATCGCATATCTCTGAGTCATATTTCCTGGCTTCAAATATTTTATGACAAGCAAGGTATGGTGATCCCACAAAAGCTGCTTCCCAGTCCCTTGCCCTACCGAATGGGTGAAGTGTGTCGTCTGTTACTTGAAGCTCGTCACGCCCGCATAAGCAGATCCTCAAAGGACGCTTCGCCCCGTCGCGAAGGAATTTTCCGAGCCGGATAAATATTCGAACCCCCTCCTGATTAGATGAACTAGTGAATACCCATTACCAACTGAATCGATATTTATATTATACAAAAAATATATAATAAACCTAAAACTTACTGCAAAACTTTCTTGCCAAATGTGGTAATGAATTTGAGATTTTTGGTTTTCCAGTCCTGTTTCCCATAGGAATGCATCATGCTAAAAACTAGTTTTAAAAGGATTTTATACATAGATATAAATTCGTCTGTTTACAAACAGTAAATCCCTCTCAATTTTAGTACTACCCCTTCCCTGCAGACATGTCCTGGATTATTAGGTCGGTAATTGTCTTGTGAAATATTTATCAACAAAACAAATATTGACATAAGCCAAAATATAAGCAAAAATTCCTAAACAAAAGTTACTCAAATAAACAAATGTCGGTTTAAATCATGGTTACGTTTGAGCCCGGTAAATTCTACAATTATTCACGCATGCAAACGGTACGTGTATACACAAGATTTACAGACATAAACAATAAACACATGTTCGTACATGATGTGCCCCGACTCGTATTTATAGTTTTCCTCTCATAATCCATACGTTTGAATATAACCATGCATGCAGGCTGGAGCAGCGTGTAGCTATGTATAGCTGTGCTGTTATGGAACTCAACTTGGATTGAACCATTTACCTTAATGGTATGAATCATTTACCTCGTTGCAGTAGACTTCTTATTTTAATTGACGAGAACACATAATTTAATTAAATTCATTACAAACATATCTCGACAGTGTGCCATTGATTGGTGTCGTAGCTACAGTTGTATTTATAACGTAAATGCCTTGCAATGAGATCTTTTCTCAATTTTTTAGGATATTCAGATCGTGTATAATACAGTGAAAATTATATAATAACATTAACAATTCAAGCAATTTCTTTGCTCGAGAGCCATGATCAAAAAGATGACAGACCCACGGAATGACGTCACAGAAAATTTTAACGCTCTCGTCTTGCAAACTAAACAACAGGGATGAGACTGTTTGTCCCGCCTAAAACATGATAGTGATAGTCAAGACAACGATCATTGTTAAGGTAAAGTTTCTTCCCTCTTTGTTTGTTTCTCCTTTATTACTAGATCCATGATCTAAAAAACAATTGTCAGTTTTAATTATAAGACATTGATATAAAAGTTTGGGTGGGTAGTGGTATTACTGGTATAAAATACAAAGCTGTAAATATGTCCAATAGCGTAAAACCAGAATTATAACATACAAGGCTAAGATACAGTGTCATTTGATTTTTTGATTGTTTGATTATGATCCGATTTACAAGACAGTTAAGGTAAAATTAGCTAGGAACGAATATATCTTAACTTCTTAGTTCTTTTGTCCAAAATGCTAAAACTTATAAAAATATGGAGGATGATGATGCCAATGGAAGGTCTTATTAATTTTCTGAAAGCTGCAATCCCAGGCGAAATGTTTTATCAATTGCATCGATATATGCTTGTCCGAAGATGAAAATTCATCGAAATACGTGCCTTTGTTTGTCTAGATTAGCATTGCTCAAGTGTCGTTTCTAACATGCGAAAGGCTCTGTTGGACGGTGCAACTTTGCTTTCAAGCTGCAATGCAATTTTACTTTAAAAAGATGTAACTCAATAAGTGAAGAGTCTTCAAAATGTAAGTGTATCGGGTGGAAACGTCCATGGAGTGTAATAAACATAAAAGTTCGGCAATTGCCAAATTCACATCTCTCAAAAGAAGAATTGCAAGGCGAGTTGGAGGAAAAATTGCACTGTCCAACAGGGCCTTAAATCGCTGTTAAATTATATCGTTAAATGTTATACAACCCGATCGAGAATTAGGTAACGGTATATACCATTTTATGTATGGTATTGACTTACGCTTTTTAAATGCTGTGCTACACTCAAAAATTCAAAACAATCGACTCAGTATAGCTAGCAGTGATTCGCAGTGTGGTGATGATTGGTCAGCATTATACACAGAACACATTACATTTTTTATGGCGTACCTGTACAGTTGGTGCCGTTGCCTTTAAAGCCTTTATTGCAAGTGCATGTAAACGACCCAACGCTATTCGAACAGTTTGCATTCATATCACAAGGATGACTCTCACATTCATTGACATCTAGAGTCAATTGTAAAATATAATGATTTTATTTTCTATTTGAATATCTGCGGCCGTCATACGGCATTTGGACGGCGCGTCAATTAAAACAATCGTTTTGCTCTTTCTATACGCAGAGAGGCTTACTGAAGCTACAATGTTCTAGAAACTTTTAGTTTGAGCATTTAAGGCTAATGCAGAATGGCATTGAATATTTTGGTTGTATAGATAATAGTTCTTGAGATATAATCATTTTCGTGCCGAGTTTAAAATCTGGCTCTACATTCGATCACGAGGCAAAAAGCTCGGCCTCCAGCGAAAACGCGACAAGCTAAAAAGCTCTAAGTTGCTTTATTTCATTCATTAGAATGGCATATTTCGACTCCTGAAACCAAATTTCAAAAATTCCCTCCTGTCTGGCTCTACTCTGAATGTGGAGCCAGGAATGTGAAAATAGAGCCAATCAGCTCATCATCTCAGCTTAAATCCTTCAATTCCAGGCTGGTTTTTCTGCTTGACCGTATTAGGAAATAATGAAACAATATCTTCGGAGAAATGTTCCCTAATTTGCCCAGGACTATAACTTGGGGCGAAAGACCAAAATTGCAAGTAAAACTAAGAATTCATTTGCATCCGTATAAAGAAGGGGCCAGCATGTATACCAAGGTTCCTTCTAGTAATGACCGTAATGTCCCCCTCCCTTCCGTCCAAGGTCTTACCTGCGCAGTCTTTACCATTTCTTGCGAAACCAGTTTGGCATTGACAGAGATACGAACCGATAGTGTTTTCGCAGTTTGAATTGGAACCACATGAATCTTCTGCACACTCGTTCACATCTGTTGAATTTAAAAAGGTTATCTTAAAGTTACTAAACGGAGTTCAACTATCAGAAAAGCACATCAGAATGCCAAGATTTTTAGGGGAAATATTTCTATTTTAACGCACTCGATCCACCTTTCAACTGTTCTAGACTATAATATCATCTTAAAAATTTGTAGCAAGTACTACTTCCACTTCTACTTGTGCAAATATGCAAAATTTCCTCTTTGAACACAAGCATGAATAATATTATATTTCATTTCAATCTTTAAAGAATAAATTTGTAGATGAGTCGACAACAGCGCTCAAGGTCTTGCCTCAACGTAAAACATGATAAGTTCGTTTTGTTTGATTCGTTTTATACCTTGACAAACTGTTTTATTCCCAGTGAATCCTGTATCACATGAACAGACGAAAGAACCAGAAGAGTTTGTACACGTCGAGTTTGCAGGACAGATATTTTTTAAAAAACAATTATCATTATCTGTTTTATTGGGTCCTGGCAAAGCAGCTATAATAATAAATCATTATTATTAATTCTTTACTGGCTATGGACAATGATAAAGGCGAAATTACAGCTTGAAAAGGTTGCAATTAATAATGGTAATAAAATGAATAACAAAATCAAACTGACCGCGTAGCGGGAGGTTGATTTGCTTAGCCACAAGTAACAATACTTGTTAAATATTACAATCTGGAATTTTGAAGTTTAGCATAATTTAAAATTCATTCATCCTAAATGGTGATTGGTTAATTGTATATACTAGAGTAATTTTTATTGGCTATGAGCAAGAGTGCAATTACAACTTGCAAAGGCTGCAATTAATGTTAAATTGCACTCCTTTTAGCCAATGAACTTCTAGCATTTGCCAAAGATTTATAAAGATATGTAACTAATACCAAAATCATACGACTATAGTTACCAAATCAACCGATCGTGTAGCGGCCGGAGGTTAATTTTAATCCACGATTTTGGGATGAATTGCACGACTTAAGGTGGCTCCCTACAGTTTTAAGAATATTGAAAACTAATGATTTAGATTGAAATTTTTGGCAGGATATTTCTTGCTAAACGAAGTGAAATTTTCCAGATATATTAACCAACATTCTAACAGTCAGAAATTGCCAATAAGCATGACGTCATTACCGTTGTTATGGTAACAATGGCGATTCAATATGGCAGACATTTTACCTATTCACGCATTTTACTCGAAAACAAGTTCGGTTACCCCAATTTTTTATTTTATAAAAAGTTTTCTTACAAAAAAATAGAAAATATGAACCAGTTAAAAAAAATTCTATAGAGCCAAAATTATTAAAAATTAAAAAACGTGATTTTTCGTTATAGAAATTTTTTGGCTCCATACAATTTTTTTAAACTTGCTCAAATTTCCCATTTTTTTGTAAGAAAACTTTTTATAAAATAAAAAATTGGGGTAACCGAACTTGTTTTCGAGTAAAATGCGTGAATAGGTAAAATGTCGGCCATATTGAATCGCCATTGTTACCATAACAACGGTGATGACGTCATGCTTATGGGCAATTTCTGACTGTTAGAATGTTGGTTAATATATCTGGGAAATTTCTTTTCCTTACCAAGAAATCTCGTGCTAAAATCTTAAATCAAAACCACAAGTTTTCAATATTCTTAAAACTGTAGGGAGCCACCTTAATTAATAAAAATACTGCATTTACTTTACTACAGATTCTCTTGCGCTATATGTTTCAATTTCATTTCGGTTTGCAAGTTTTGTTTCCTAAAATACTGCCAAAGTACTGCATCACATTCATTATTATTGTATTGATAAATTTTTCAAGATTATTTATTACTTACCCTCAACAATAATTATTCGTGTTGCTTTAGTTGAAAGTGAAATCGTAGCAGCCACTGTATCTGTCGATTTATCATATTTATCAATTTGTGATGTTGTTGTATCGAGGATATAATAATACCCATTCCCATCTGCAATGTCCACAGTTTTAATGCCTCCTGATTGATCTGTTCCTATCTGTGAGGTATTACCATCGTACGTTGTTTTTAATATCTTGTAATTTGTGTCAGTTGTAAAAAGAATCCAATACACGGTTTTATTCACGGTATCAAGGGCAAGGTGAGTGCCTATTTCATTGACACCAGAGTGAAGAGTTTGATCACTTCCATCAGCAAGACTGTACCGGATAAGATTTCGATTGTCCGTATTATCAGTGGTGAGAAATATTGATCTATTTGGATAAAAATTAAAAGCGCACAAATATTTATTGGAAGATAAAGTAAGATTAAAGGAAGATTACCTATATTTACCCACACTTCATTGCCTCGCTCTATGGGGGAGGGGATAATTTACAAAAAATATTATTTACTCAAATTTATCAGTTGGCTTAGGGAGTACGACAAATATTTAAGGAAACGTCTTGAAAAACTCCTAACTTCCGGTTTCGAATCGACCAATCTCTAATCATATTGGATAATAAAACAAATAGATGCATATGATTGGAAAACCGGAAGTTAGGAGTTTTTGAAATATTTGAATAATTTTGACTCCGTGAGCCAGCCAAATAATAAATTTAAGCAAATGAGTTACTCGATATTTTTCGGGATGCTTCTATTACCGCGACTGTAAATTTTGAGCAATCAAGTCGTCACAATTCAAAAGAAACGCCGAGAAGAAGCGCCCGTGTAATCAGGCCCTCGATGCAATTCAAACAATAGATAATGAGATAATAAAACTCATTAACTAAGCTTCATTATCATCTCACTATCTATTGTTTGACTTGCATTCGGTGTGACCAAAATGGCCAGGGTTATATACACAGTATGTCGCATTTTGGTTGCGTCGAATGCAACTCGAACAATAGATAATGAGCTGGTAATGAAGCTTAATGAGGTGGATCATCTCAGTATCTATTGCTTAAATTGGATACGACGCGACCAAAATGCGACGTATCAACTAGGCCTAACCTAGGCCCACTCCGGAAACAATCCGACATTTTTCCCGCGAAGCAAATTTTTTTTTCTTTTTGCTTTTGACAGCTCTGAAACAAAAGTAAAAAAGCGTTGCCCAATGTAATTTTATCACCCAAACGTAGCCATTCATTTAAAGACTAAGGTTGACTTTTCTCCCACGTCTGACAACAGGTTTTTATATTAATAATAAACGTGTAATATGGGCTATTGAAGATTCTCTTTTGTCCGTATGTAGTTTAAGAAAAAATTGTTTTCAGTTATTTGCCTACCTATCGTAAGTATCAATTTTAATGTCCTTGTAATTATCGCCATTTACCCCAATATCTGGTAAACTACTGCCATTGTAGTCGATTGATTTAAATCCTAAACCTTCTTTCAGGTAGTAGATAGTTTGATTGGCTGCGTCAACGGCGAATAATTTGTTAAAAGCTCGCACGCTCAGTAAACTTCGCAGGTCACTTCCATCCAACTTAGCGTTATACAGATTAACATCTTCCATATACCAAATCCGATAATTCAGTTCGTCATAATCTAACGTGGCACTGTCGGCAGGTACAAACGCAACAGAATCTCCACCATTAACGGACATGTAGGAAATATGAGTGGCGTTTGAGAAGAAGATGTATTCAATGCCTTCTTCTGCATTTCCTGTGGGTGAAATTGAACATGCTTCATTAAATCGATAATATGATATTGCGAAACTCGCCTGGGCCAAAGTAGTGTCACGACCTAACTGTGCAGCAATTTTAAAATTTTATTCAGCCGCGCGAGGTATCCACGCTGGAAAACGAAATTTTAGGAGCAAGTAACAGACATTACTATATGGCTTTTCAAAATCCCCAATTCCGGATTGGTTGACGAGCGGTCCGTAAAAACCCATATCCGGACCGTGCCGTACTGATCTTCCGTATTTGGAAATGTATCCCGGATGTCTCATGCAGTTCAGCCATATAAAGAACCGATTATTGAGCTCTCTTGTTCGTTCTGTAATGTTCGTTTCTATGACAAGTTTTTTTATGATAAGTTTTAATTGGCAATTACACGTGTGTATGTGTATGTACGAAAATCCCTCTTGACTAGGTGTCGCCGAGTCGCCTAAACTTGCATGATTTTTAATATTGTACTTGTGGCCTTTGCAGTTTATCCCCGAGCGGGCGCGGAGCGCCTGCGAGGGTACTAATTTCGCTCGGATATTAAGAATTACACCCGGAACCCGGGAGAACATAGCCACAGATTAGCTATATACAGATATGAAACTGAAGCCAAATCGAGTCACACGGCTTTTTGCCTAATGTGCGCATGCGTAACTTGCTTGGCAAGTGCATGTCATGTTGAAATTTAATGAGTAAATCGATGGAAAAATCGAATTTTTGACAAACAAATCCTGATTTAAACAAAACCTTTAGGGCGATTTCCCATTTGACTTAAAATTTTTAAAAATATGGATGAAGTGGATCTTCCGAGCTAAGAATTGGTTTCTGAAATTATTTGATGCTGGCAAAAACAGTAAAAAATATAGCTGAAGAGTGCAGGGTTGCCGTATGGAAAGCTGTGCAATAGTTTAGCACTGGCTGAGCTATTTTTGAGTTTAGAAAACATGTAATGCATGCTTTAGATACAATATATTTCCAGGAGATAAGATGAAATGAATTAACAAATATCTAGGATTAATAGAAATGTGAAAACGAAATTATAAGAGCTTGAAAAGGACTTTGTGTACTTGAAATGAACAACAACAACATGGCATGTAAATACGACGAGCAATTTAGTGTATTTAGCGATTTTAGGAGTTTTGCTAGAAAAAACAACTTCATCCTCCTTGTCTTGGACTATTTTTTACACAAAGTTTACAAATTGATGCTCATGCGCGATTATTATGACCATACACGAGTCTTTTTAGCAGAACTCTGAAGACAAAAAATAAAGACATGGCCATATTATGTTTTGAGTTTCGGGTTTAAAATTTGCAATAAGCCGCACTCTATGCTTTGATATTATTTCAAAAAACAGATTTAAAAGACGGTTAGAAACTTGAAAAATTGATAAATAATATTTACGTGTAAATATGGGACTTCATTGAAAAGAATTCAGCCAGAGTACATATATTCCATAGTGCCAATGCAAATGTCCTTCGGACCAGCTTTTTTGATTTTCAAAAGTCAATTTTTACCCATAGATATGCTCAATTGCCTTTCCACAGTTAACGAAGGATACATATACCGATACTCTTTAGGAATTTATTCCAGAAATAGCCATAGGTAGCGAGAATTTTTTAAAAAAGCATTTTTTCGTCTTAAAAACGGCGTTTTACTCATTAAATTCCCTCATGACACTTGCCAAGCTCGCCGGAAGTCATCACGCGCTGGCTGCGCGTGGGACACAAAACAATCAGCAAAACAAAGAAGTTTCATATCTGTATATAGCTAATCTGTAACATAGCTGAATCCACAGTTGTCAAAATTCTATGTCATGGACGGTCGACGTTGGGTGGTATTGTAAGTTATGCGCATGCGCGAGTAACGACTGGTTATCAACAAACATTCCGATTGGCTAAGACTGACAGTTTGTATTTCAATTAAACGTACGTCAGCAATTTAACTGTCATTTCGTAAATCTTTTTGTAGAAGCGTTTCATAAATCGAGGGAAACATTGAGACTCGAGGGAAAAAAAACCGACTCACTATTTCCCGAAGTAGTGTTTTGTTATGTAGGAACAAGGACATACATGTTACACAACAATTTCATTTAAAAAAAACACACTTTACTTTGTTATGAAGAAGCGGGCAAAAATAACAAGGGAGAATTTCGTTTTAGCAAGTTTGTTTACATTTTCAATAACCCAATCAGAATGCAAAAATGTTGACAAAAAGTACAATATATACCATTTTAAATGAAGTATTTAAAATTTAGGCATTCTGATTGGTTTTGCCTAAAAAATGTCAACAAATATGGCGATTAGTTTAAAACGAAATTATCCCTTGTTGGCAACAATGTTTCACTTGTTTCCTTGGCGGGAAACATTGCATCTATTTAAAGTCATGTGACTACGAATGAACCAATCACATTTAAAATACACAGCAACTATATAACAATTGTCCCATTTGTCCGCCATATTTTTGATAATAGCTTTACAATATTTCAATTTTGTGCGAAATGGAGTCACGGAAAAGGATTCAACTAAGCGACAACCAGGCGGCTAGTCTTGAAAGATTTTATAGTCAGGGAATGGTTGGCACTGGCTTAAATTATCGCGAGATGGTTGATCGTGCTGTGGCCGAAACCTGTCTGACTACAGCGCAAGTGAAGGTATAAAATATTGTTTATAATGCTAAGTCTAAGCATCTTATGATCTTGCTATGAACTATCCGTATTTTAGCGAGATGTTATCAAATTGATTACGATATTGTATATCACACTGTTTGTAGAAGTGGATTGGAAATAGAAAACGGAAAAGACCGGCATACCTCGAAGTTGATTCCACTCCAGACGAAGATTCACAGTTGCTAAAGAGAGCAACATCAATTCGAGGACCGAATCCTTACGATGTATTTTGCTCTGATTTTCTTAAAAGCGGTAAGAGACCTTCTACGTTTATATTAAAAACACTGGTTGTTTTCTATACCTGCATGCAGAACTTGTGCACTGTGTCTGTAATATCTGTTGTTTCACAAGTTTGTTTGTAATATCTTGTCACAATATATTTAAAACAGCAGTGTTGATGCCTTAACTCAACAATCTTCAGGCCAAACCATCCTTACACAGCAATTCTCATTTCTGATTTTCTACTTTTGTTGGGATATGTATGTAGCATGACTGCATTCCCACTTAGTTTTGTAAAGAAATTAATGTTAATGGTCTTAATATTTTAAAGTTGAAGGAGATAGAGTAATATTTCACCTATTAATCACAGTTTGACTGATTAAAAAGGCACATCTCAGTTCAGGAAATTACTGACTTGAGTACCACACTGGAAGTGACCAGTATACTCCTATATAGAGAAACACTCTTCTACCCCACCACACTCCCCACCACAATTTGAAGGGAGTCAATTTGTAATGGTCCCACTGCTCCCGCACAAACCTCTTGGTTGTTGTGGCAAAAGTGTAAAAGATTGATATATTTTATAATGTTGTTGATGTGCAAATCTTATGCCGAATAAACCTTGATTATTTTCATTTGCAAAAATGATTATAATGTGCTGTAAATGATTATTACCAGCGATTATCAACAATCTTTCATTCATTGCTATTTATAGAGCAATGCATAGATTTGGAATGTGAAGAAAATAATAAGTTAGCTTCAGAAGTATGGAAGGGAATTGAAGAAGATGAGAAAAGGAAGTTTAAAAGTTCTGCTGATGCTATTAAGAATGTAAACATACAATCCTTATCGGATGAACAAAAGGGAAAATTGATATCACAACACAAAAAGAAGCTTATGCATGAGGTAAGGGTGGTTCCTTTTTCTACATTTATTGTGAACAGAAGAATATTGAATTTACACTAACTGTTTTTTAAAGTATATTGTTGAATAATATGTATTAATTAACCATGCAATTAAATTTCCAAAGAGGGAGTTAGTCACCAAATATAACAAACTATCTTACAGATTTTAAAACTAGAAGAATTGGGTTGTGTTGTCACAACAATATTACGAGACAATGTAGGAAAAATTTTTGAGCTTGGGTCACAAAGTGGAAATATGTTTCTGGCTTCCCATCCTGACGTTGTAGTGAAATTTCGTGATTGTTTTTGTAAGTATATAGTATACTGTATGCAAGCATGAATGTATATTTATCGACTCATTGGATTGAGTTTGCCCTCTGGATTAATCTGGAAATCAAAATTTCAGTACATTGTGGAAGTAAATTAATTGTCAACCTTTTCTCAGTGTGTTATTATATAATTTAATTGCTGTTGTATCCCCTGTTTTTTAGTGAATGACTCACATGAATATTGTGTTCATCATGTTCAGAATTTATTCAATCAAAAATATAGTAAGTCTTGTATGTTTATCTGTTAGAATAGACCTGTCTGAAATAAAATGGGAGACTGGTAAACAAAGAGTGTCAAAGTCAAAGGATTATGATATATCCATATCTTGCATTGCCCCAACAGGCTTCATTCACATGAGGCATAAACTTTTTTTCTTTTTGCAGGTATTGCAGTTGGGAAGCCAAGCAGGGTTCCCTATATAAAGGGTGGTTTTGTGGTGGAAGGTCTGCCCGATGGAGTACCATTCAAGAAGCCATATCATTATGGAGCACTTCAGTGTAAGAAGATCATGACTGCAGCAAAAGATGTAAAGTTCATTTTAACCAGTCAAACTGAAACCTGCCATGCCGAAACATCTGTCCACAACCCAGAAGAAACAAGCAATATGGAAGAAATATGTCGCTTGTTAAGCTGTATAGCTGGCACACAAGTTGCAGAAGATGCCATCGGTAGGGCTGAGAAGAAGATAAAGAAAGAAGATGTGAAAGTTCAGAACTTGGTCTTGACTGAAGCAGAGAGAGCCTTGCTTTACTCCAGCTGTGAAGATTTTTTCCAAGAAGATGCCTGGTTAGCGGTCGGGCGAAACATTAAACATTGCTGTGAAGTAAAAAATATGATTTTGCCAATATATACAGAAGCAAATGAAAGATTCTGGCTTTTTCACACCATTGCAAAACCATCGTTTATTCAAACGTGCGGACCTGTTACAAAACTAAAGGGATACTGGATGGATCTCAAACCGAGTGGAGAATATAATATGCTTTCAGAGCAAATATGTTTATTTGGGAAAAACATTGTTCATACACTGCATGGCCCTCTCTACTTCATTGCTGGTGACAATCTTCGTCAGACGAAGGTTTACAAACCATCAATTGATTGTCAGAAAGCTATAATCAATGCACTTGAACTACTTAGGTAGTTACATACACAGAATAATAATGCTGTTTTCACTTTTCACACACTGTTTTTGACAACTGAATAGTGTATATATTTATAAAGTAACAATGATATTATAACGCGTGTTCTGAATGGTCGAAGCCCGTATTTGGATCACTTCATCCAATCACGGAAATTTAGCTAATTCCCTTTTTGAAATAAAACTTGGAACACTATCTTGTTGTTGTTATTTTTTAAAACAATTACTTAATGGCTTTCCGTGTTTGAATGGCTTTCCGTGTTTGGATGGCTTCATCTAAACACTTGGGAATTTTGCTTGAGCTATGAAAAGCTACATTCCCGCGTGTTCGGATAAGGCCATCCAAACATGGAGTCCGTTATATATATAAACATCGTCATTGAATTGCATTCAACGCGACCGAAATGCGACGTATAGCCTAGACCACAAGTGAACAATATCATCATGCATGGGGGGCTAAATTATTAAATATTAGCATAGAGGGACTAAAGCAGTTACACTATATACTGCCAAGTATGACTTTAAACTCGCTAATATAATCTGATCGGGAAGCATTTTTGGTCGTGCCGTGCATATAAGGCGTTTAAAGCATATCGGGTAGCTTCCAGAGTGGGTCAAATTTTGTAGCTATTGAAGGGCAGTAAAAATTTTACTGTCAGAGATCAAAATAAATGAACCAAATCTATCAAACTAATAAGCTATTGCTTCTAACCATTGCCCTTTAAAGGCAAACGAAGTGCAAACGGGGCTTAAGATGCACCAAATCTACGACGCGGACAAGACATGAAAATTTTTACTAGTGTCGGTAACCAGTAATAATTTGTTCTACATACGGCTCTGACTTTTTTTATCAAAAGGAGTCTATAATTTCCACCCCTGTTTGGAAAACTGTGGATATTATAGCAGTATTACTTCACGTCTGTGTCGTGGATTTGGTGAATCTTAAACTCACTATTTATATGGCAAAGGCACGCGGCTATATCGGCATACACACGGCTATATCGGCTATATCGGCTATATCGGCATACACACGGCTATATCGGCATACACACGGCTATATCGGCTATATCGGCATACACACGGCTATATCGGCTATATCGGCATACACACGGCTATATCGGCTATATCGGCATACACACGGCTATATCGGCATACACACGGCTATATCGGCTATATCGGCATACACACGGCTATATCGGCTATATCGGCATACACACGGCTATATCGGCTATATCGGCATACAGTTGAGTTTTTCATGTTCGCAAATTATCGAGTTTAATTAACTTACCCTTGACTTGAGAAAATTCCCAACTTGTGAAAATAAGAAACAAGAATACGTGCAAATGAAACATCTGTTAGAAGTGGAGAAAAATTAACGTTCAGTCCAAAAGTCTGCTCTCGTAAAAGGTCAGGTGGAAAACCCGTTTTAGACTGCAGAATATAGAAGACATATTTAGGGATTGCCAGTGAAATCTTTATAATTTGTCATTTCATTAAAACTAATTTATTATTAATTTATTAATATTTTTTATGGGTTTGCCCTGCGAGTTGGTGACAAATTTTTACGCATTGCCAAGTTTCTGCTTTGTTTCATTTTCAGTTTTAACAATGCCAATCTGCAACCTCGTCGCCAGGGCCTTTTGGTACCGGGGGGTTGCCAATCTGTTAGCTCAGTTAGAGTTTAATTATCAATTGTACGAACTTTAATTTTAATGCACCATTTTATTGGCTGAGGTATTATTACGGAGGGTATTCAGCGATACGAAAACGTAGTTATAAAGCATCAGGAATAACTGGAAGCAATTTAACAGCGAACTGACAAACGAAATGTCAAAGTCCTGCAACACTTTCTATCGCTTCATAATGTTACTGGTTTTTATTGCTATATATACAATTCAATGCAAAATTGAAATAAGTTTTCTTCATAAAAAAATACACTTGAATGAAATGACTATTTCATGGTGGACTACAGCTTTTGTAGTCGTATTCGCCTGTGAAAGTTGTCTCAATTGAGGAGCGAGAACTTAGTGAACATAGCTTTAACTAGCTGGTTAATACCATGAATATCCTGACTGCTCATATCGAATGTAGACACATAGAGTCTTATAAAAATAGTGTCTAATACTAAGTATATAATTATGGAGATTAGCACATTAATTTAGGCAGAATTACCTATGTGATAAAAAGCCGTAGACGTAGGTTTAAGTCTATAAGTTTCGATATATGTCACCTAAAACGTCGAATTGATTCCCCATGCAGCAAAGTTCGGATAATATATGATTTCCTACTTACCTTTCACTTGAAAGTAAGGTAGCTATATAGCTGGATATGCAGAAAGTACACAGTCAATGTGCGCCCGAAAACGCTTTACTTTATTATTAAGTGCGTTCTCCTTCGAACACTGGTTGCTGTAATAAACAAAAAAATAATGTTCAATACTATGGCAGATTCGCAGCAAGATATCCACAATGAGTGCACGGCATGCTGCTAATAGGAATGAAAATATCGACCGAGCTCCATGGAAGAGATACAATTTAGAATACCGAGATTAACGGGCCATTTCAAAGCGATAGAAATTAAAAAATCATTATCCGGTGAATAGCGCTATCCGGCTTTCATACAACCGCCTCCGGTTGTTTCAGCTTTATTCAAGAAGCAAACTAAATTTTTTTAACCTTAATACAAAGATACTGTTTACAACTAAATAATTATTCAGTGCTTAATATTGACTCGTACTCGTACTCATTTAAGGCCGGAAATGTAAGCGTGTTACTTAATTTCAACTTATCCACCGTTTAAGCTAAACGGGCTTGATACAACCGGCCCCAGGTTATTAAGTTACATGCAAGTGGTTACAAAATTGTCATACATTTATACTTAATGGTATAATATGTTATCACAATAGAACTATCGAGAATTCAATTCAAAATTATTCAATCGTTATAAATAAATCCGGATGCGCGTGGGAGGCGTGTGAAATTGCGCCATTATCAAGGGTCAAGACCACTGACCTATATTCTAGTAAGGTCAGTGGTCACTGACCGTCACGGTCGCATGGACAGAATTTAAAGGCTGCTTCTCCCGCGCGGGTGAAGCGAACGGTAATAGAGAATCTCTTTTACTCTGAGGAGGCCTAATTCTTTTATGATGGTACCACATGGTTCCACGTCGTCCTCAAAAGAGGTATTCGGTTTTCCAACCAGGATGGCAATTGGCAATCAGACGCCATTTAACATTATAATAACAACAAGACGCCTGCTCAAGGCGTTCACTCCGCCTGCATGCCAATTGATGTATACATCATTCATCCGTGGATCGTGTAACCCAGGGCTTCTCGGTCAAAATGTTTTGGGTTACCTGTAGAAATGCCAACTTCTGTCGCCCAAAACTACGACGAAAAGGAAAAAAGACCATGGCATTTTAAGACTCCGCTGCGCATACGCAGGCGGAGTAAATATTTATACTCACATGCACAGTTTCTGGATAGTTTTCCTCTCACAATGTTTTACCGAATTGTGCTGCCATGAATACACTCCCGAAAATTTGCCACATTTGCATATTATATCATTAGAGCTTTAGAGGCGTTTTATATGAGCCAGGTCACCCGAGATTCAACGAACCATGAGATGATTTTGAGGTATTGAAATGAGCAGATAGCATGATCCTGGCAGTCGTATAATCACCACAACAATGCATGCACAATACAAGGGGGAAAAATAAAATTACGCATATAAACTTAAATATAAACTAGAGAGAACTACTTTATCTAATATTAGAGTTACATTCCGACAACGAGATATCTGTAGTTGAAGGAATGTTTAAAGTTCTCCAGGAACGACTACCACGAACACACACAACCCTAGCGCGAAGAATAGCGAAAGCTATCTTCTTACGTAACCAGTTGAGAACGATGGAGGTGCTATGAAAGTTCTTTTTCTCATCCAGTTTGCCTGCTAGGAACGAAAGGAAGTGAGAAGTCTCCCTTCCACATCCACCATAGGCACTAAAAACGACTGGGGTGAAGGAGCCATGTTCATGCAACTTCAACAATTAAAGCATGTGCTTGTTTGGTGCCAGTCATAAAGATATATTTCAATACCTCAATGCTCCCTCACGCTTCATTGAATCTCGGGTAACCGGGCTCATGTAAACAGCCCCTAAGGCCCTGTTTATATGAGCCGGGCTGGCCCGCTTTGCCGGGCTAGCTCGCTTTGCCGGGCTAGTTTATTTTCTTATTCACATGAGGCGGGCTAGCCCGGTAGCGTTACATAATTTGTTGACGCTTCACAAATCGAAAAATGTTGCTTGCATCGATTAGAGCGGTTTTGGGCAGATATATTTCGTTAATTTTTGAAATGTATTGTGTTCTTTTGGTTTGTAAATACATATAAAATGGCGAAATTATGCTATGAAGGTATATTTGTAGAGAAAGGGATCGACGATTTTCTGCCCGGTTTACCGGGCTAGCCCGCCTAGTGCGTTCATATGAGCCCGTTTTGCCGAGATCTCGCCTCGCTCAAGCGAGATCTCGCCGAAGCGGGCTGGCCCGCTTTCCATGTGAATCAAATTTCAAAAACATATAGAAACAACTTAGGAAGCGGGATCTCGCCTCTAGCCAGTCAGCCCGGCAAAGCGGGCCAGCCCGGCTCATATGAACAGCGCCTAAGACGAAATGAAGTTTAACCATCTCATTATCTATTGTTTAAATTGCATTCGACACAACTAAAACGCGACGTATACAGTATACTAAGCTTCAATGGCTATCTACAGGGTGTAAAAAAAAACTGCAAATACCATAATTTGTATGCACTTTAGAATTTGAATAGCTGTTCAACTAATTACGCTTCTGGGATTTAAAAATACGTTTCCCAGGGTTATCATGTTTACTAACGCTCCCTAACCATTGTGTTTTCCGTACCCTTGTGTTATGTGCTTAATTTTCTAATAAACACGACTTGGGACGGAGGTTGAGTTTGCTCGTATACGTTTAAAACAAGAAATTCTCTTAGTTCTGTTCTTAACTGAGCCATTCGTAATCCAACTCATAAGTTTAATGCACTTTGTGTGCTTGTTTTGATAACCCTGGGAAACGTATTTTCAAATCCCAAAAGCGTAAATAGTTTCACAGTCATTGAAATTCTAATGTACATCTCGTGCATGCAAATTATGATAGTTCCAGTATTTTTAATACACCCTGTAGAGAAAACACTATACTGCAGCATTATCAAGCTATATTTATAGCTATGAACGATGAACCTATAGATTGATTGGGGGACACTTTTATATGAATATATCAACAGTGAATCATTTACCTCATTGCAGTGCATTTTACCCACGATTAGATTATTTCCATACAAACACGACAGCATGTTGATGTCATAAACTTTGTACCGGCATAAACTTTCCCGCAATGAGACCTTTATTCGCTTTTTGCAGGAACTATATACCAATATACAAATCCTTATACTTAAAAAAGTCTCGCGTATCACATCTTTGACCAATTCGTATAGTCTATTGAATAATAGGCCATCCATACTACACTATTCTTTAGTCTATAGAACTATATTAGACATTTTAATTTTGTTCAAGCGATCACAAATCACAGATATGTTGTTACTCCTCATAGTACTGTCTGGTTTCCATTTAATTGTGCGTGTTGTGAGCATGTCAGGTGGCTCATGTGATACTATTTCCCATCGGTTAAAATGACTTGTTATTGCTTGTTAACCACTAAATAACTAAACGAAGCTTAGGGGCTGTCCACATGAGCCCGGTTACCAAAATTTAACGAAGCGTAAAATGGACTTTGAGGTATTGAAATAAGTAAATAACACAATTCTGGTAGTCGTGTAATCATCCTAACAATAGCATGTGATGTGATTGTTTTGTTTCAAAAAACAACTATACTATTTTTTGACGAAAATTTCGCCCGGGTTTTCTCAAATTCTTTGAGCGGCCCTAGTCGATATAATAAAATATAGACAGTTTGCACTTTTACAAAATCAGTATAATTCATATACCGTATACTGTTACGAGATAATTATAACAATAGCAATGGCATGCGCTGAACACGTGAACAGTCCATTTTTAAGTAGTGACGAAGAGACGATAATTAGTGGGGAAAAGTTGGGAAAAGTACGACCATGAGGAGATTTTGTTTTGGAGGCTAGGAAGAAGAGATGTGATTTAACTATTGACGAATTGAGTATTTTAGACGCATATTTATGATAATAAACAAAGCATAACATTACGTGTGACAGTATAATTTAATATCATAACATTGGTGACCCCGACGAGAACGTATTGTTTACAAAATACAAAGCACAGCCGTCAAAAGGAACGATGCAAAGGGACGCTATAGTTGACATTCCAGAAGTCGGAAACGTCGAAGAAACGGTCGAATCACTACGAACGCAGATGGCAGCCATGCAAGCTGCCATTGAAGGACAATCATCATCGTCATTTTTTGGCCCAAAATCCTTCAGTGGGTTTTCGTATGAGGATATTACCGACTTTATCGAAAGATTTGAACGATACAGCAAGTTTTATAATTGGACAAACGCCAAGAAACTGTCTGCATTAATGCTATTGTTTGAAGGCCCAGCGTTGGCATGGCTACATACGGTACCAGACGAGACAAGGAACAATTATGCTAGTCTAATAACGGCCCTTCGACAGCGATTTGCTTCACCAAACGAAGAGTTCCTTCAGAGACAACAATTAAATGACCGAAAGCAAGGTAAGAGCGAAAGCCTTAACAGTTACACAGAGGACATTATTCGTAGATGCAGCCGACTTGGACTTAATGACACCAACAGAATGAACTGTTTCATATCAGGACTAAACGACGAGTTAAAATCGCATGTCATTTTGAACCGCCCAACAACATTTGAGGAAGCCGAATCCTTGGCGCGCCTGAAAGATACTGTCAGCAGAAGTACAAAATGTGGCAAAGCAGAGTACCTGCTCCAAATAATGTAATAAATCAGATACATGATCTCCTAAATGAGAAAAAAGCTTCAGAGAAACAAGTAGAAACAATTTCTAATGATAACCTCAGAGAACGACAACGCCTAGCAGAGCTCGAGGGCCAAGTGCAACTTTTAATGTCCACTATTGACCGACCACGAGCATCCACAGTAGCACCTATTTCAACCAATTATCCCCCTGTTCAGACTCCCTCTACCCAGGATATCGACGCCATGAAAAGGGATATCATAGCAGCAGTTCGAGACGAAATCAGGAAAGACACACCACAAAATGCCCCAACAGACCGACAGGATTTCAGCGTAGGAAACAGATATCCCCGGCGAGACAGCAGAGGACGAAACCTTCGAACAACGGACGGGCAGCCAATCTGCAATACCTGCCAAAGAGTTGGGCATGTTGCAAGGTATTGCAAGGAAGCAGGTACGTCCCGTTTATCAATCCGCCCCAAAGTCGCTATGTCCCTCCTCCCCAGCCCCCTTATCATAACTATCAGTATCCCTTAGCACCACCACCACATCCTGAGAATAATGCTGGGTATTTAAACTCCCAAGGGCCTTCCATATGGGGACACAGGGGGGCCCGCAAGTAACTGGATATTCCCCACCAAATCGATATCACAACAGCTCTTATCCAGACACGTTTTGGCAAACGAGTGGACATTTCAATGAACATTATTCACCACATGTCCAACCCAGCCAACAAAGTCAGTTCATACAAACACAACCACCCCTTCTACCCTCTACATTACCTAGAGATATTAATGTTTCCCCTAAAGTCCCAGTGCCAAATGTACGTGATAGATCGGAAATTCCATCCATTTCCCCATCAACTAATGTCCTGGATCAGTCAACCCAATTCAGTAATGTTTTGATTAATGGTACTGTATCACTAACCCCTATACAAGTTCTTGTGGACACTGGTGCTGCTGTGACAGTAATCAGTACAGAATTTTACCATAAAGTTTTAAGTACATCAACACCCCTAGAAAATAGTGAAGTGCTCCGATCGGTCAAAACGGCAAACGGTGCTCACATACCAATTGAAGGCGTTGTGACCTTTGATCTCACTTTGGGGCATACAAAATACAGCTGCAGCGCCTATGTAGTGTCCGGTCTTAGCTATTCTACCGTTCTCGGTCGCGACTTTCTGCAACAAAACCGTGCTATCATCAATATGGGTGCCCATACCGTTGAATTTTTGGGTGACAATGTGCTCATGTTTGCGGATGAAAATTGCCCACCCAGCTCCTTGCCCGTTAAATGTGGTCAAACCCAAGTAATTGATGCACATTGCGAAGCTGTCATTCCAGCAACTGTTGGTCAGATAACAAATAATGTTATTGGTTTAATTGAGCCAGGAGAGAGACTCCTCAACAGATACCATCTAGCTGGTGCAGCATCCCTGGTATGCCCAGACATACAAGGAAATATCCCTTTCCGGTTACTAAATCCAACTGATGAGCCTGTTACAATCTTCCGTGGTGCCACATTAGGACAGTTCACACAAAAAGATTTCGAGACCACACCTCTTACTGATCCGCCCACCCCTACGTCATGTACAGGATTACCCACGACAACTCAGAGAAGCACCTCACTACCTATTATCAACCCCTTGGCAAGCACAATCCACCAATCTGATTTCGCTGATCTGCAAGACCCACCTAGAACACCAACCCCACCAAGCCCAACTCCGCTTCAGCCACGCCCTCTGATTTTCCCAACCTGACCAACTCCGTGTTGTCTAACCCTGAGAAACAAGCCCTCTCAGAACTGCTTATCGAATACTCCGACGTCCTGTCTCATTAACCAAAAGCTTGGGTCGAACAAACCTGGTCCAACATAGAATTGATGTCGGGCCTAGTCCCCAATTCGCCAACCTCCATACAGGGCCCCCCCACAACGACGAGAGATTGAAAACCATGTTCAAGAAATGCTGCATGCAAACTTGATCCAACCTTCCAATAGTCCGTGGAGTGCTCCAGTTGTCCTGGTCAAGAAAAAAGATGGCTCATCCCGTTTCTGTGTAGACTATCGTAGGCTCAACTCGGTTACACGTAAGGACAGCTATCCAATTCCACGAGTAGATGATGCTTTAGATGCTCTCTCTGGAGCCAAATACTTCAGTACACTCGACCTTCGTAGCGGTTATCATCAAGTCGAAATGGACAAATCATCTCAACAGTACACAGCCTTCGCCACGGCATCGGGTTTATACGAGTTCTGTGTGCTACCTTTCGGTCTGTGCAACGCGCCTTCCACCTTTCAACGCTTAATGCACCAAGTACTCCAAGGATTGGACGGGAACATCTGCCTAATATATCTGGATGATATTATCGTATTTTCTTGCACATTCGACGAACACCTTTCCCGCCTAAGATTAGTTCTCGATCGTCTACGAGCGGCTAACCTTACTTTGAATCCGAGTAAGTGTTTCTTTGGCCAACAATCTGTGTCTTTCCTTGGTCACCTTATCTCCCAACATGGGATCCAACCTAACCCCGAGAAAACACAATTGGTACGTGACTTCCCTCGTCCTCGAAGTGTAAAGGACATTCGTGCTTTTATTGGCCTTGCAAGTTACTACCGCCGGTTCGTGAAAGACTTTTCATCAATTGCCGCTCCCTCACTCGGTTGACCAGAAAAGAATACCGCATTTAAGTGGGATGAGTCATGTGAAAGAGCCTTTAATTGCCTGAAGAACGCCCTGGTTACACCACCGATTTTGGCGTATCCAAATCTCTCCCAACCCTTTCATCTACATGTTGATGCCAGTGCAACCGGACTCGGCTATATTCTCGGTCAGAACATCGAAGGGCGAGACGTTGTCATCGCGTACGGCGGTCGGCAACTCAATAAGGCTGAATGTAACTATAGCACTACGGAACGGGAAGCACTCGCGGTTGTTGAAGCTATTAAGAAGTATCAAGTTTACCTTTATGGGCAAAAATTCTATGTCCATACAGACCATCATGCATTACAGTGGTTGATGAGCATCAAAGACCCCACCGGCAAACTGGCACGATGGGCCCTCCAGCTTCAACAGTATGACTTTGCGATCATCCATCGCCCAGGCACATCGAATGGTAATGCCGATGCAATCTCTCGCTTACCATACTCAAATATCCACATCACAGCCATCGACACCCCAGGAGTCCAAGTTGACACCATTCGTCATCTGCAACGCCGAGATCCAGACCTGCAAAACCTGATAACCTATCTCGAATCTAAGGAACTGCCAAATGATCAACGCGTAGCCAGAACTTTGCTCCTCCACGTTGATGATTACTACCTTAACGACGACCGTATCCTCTGTCATCTTTGGTCCCCTGGCAAGCGAAAGGCTGGTAATCTCTTCAGCCAACTAGTAGTTCCGGCTTCTCTGCGTCACGAAATCCTTACTAATGCTCACGACGACACTACTAGTGGACACCTAGGAATTCAAAAAACCTATGAGAAGTTACGGCGAAAATACTATTGGTTTGGAATGTTCAAAGATATCGAACATTGGTGCAAATCTTGCATTGACTGTTCTATGAAGAAGTCGCCCCGTTATCGCCGTCAAGCCCCACTTCTTCCCATCCCCGTCGAAGGAGCATTCCATCGCGTAGCTGTGGATGTCTCGGTCCGTTTCCCGTAACGAATTCTGGCTCGCGTTACATTGTCGTCTTTTCGGACTATTACACGCGTTGGCCTGAGGCATTCGCCGTACCCTCTTGTGAAGCTCAGCTCACCGTATCGCTTCCCTTCTCATTAACGAGATCATGACGCGACACAGTGCACCCCGGACCATCCTTTCTGATCGAGGTAGTAACTTCCTGTCAGCCCTTGTCAAGGAAACGTGCAAACTGATGAACACAGCTAAATTGAACACAACCGCTTACCATCCTCAAACTGACGGGTTAGTAGAGAGATTCAATGGTACCCTGGCACAAACCCTTTCTATGTATGTTAGCACCAACCAAAAGGATTGGGATGAACATCTTCCACAAGTCTTGTTTGCCTACCGAGTATCTCCGAATGCTACCACTGGAGAGTCACCGTTTTACTTACTCTATGGTCGTGAACCTCGTCTCCCAATGGACGTTAGCCTACTTCCACCTACCAATCTTAGCCCGTCGTAGCTAAGCATCGCGCCCGTATTGTGACAACCCTTGAGGAAGTCAAACAGCTTATCCAATCAACACCCAGCGGGCTCAACTTAAAATGAAAGCCAGGTATGACCAGTCAGCGCGTCAACCTCCGTACACAATCGGTCAAAGAGTGTGGGTTTTTACACCAAAAAACCGTAAAGGGTTGTCAAAGAAACTGCTCCACAATTACCACGGACCGTACCGGATCGTGGAAAAATTATCCCCTGTTCACTTTAAGCTGCGAACCTTGGAAAACAAACTAGTTCACGCTCCAGTTCATGCAAACCGATTAAAACCATATTTCGATCCGAAAGATCGGCCGATCGAAGCCCCGCAAGAAGATCCAGATATGGATAGTGAACCATATCTTCATGATCATGACATACCAGCGGACAGTTTCCCCTCCTGTGTATCTCATGTCTCTACAAACTGCCCACCACTTAGTCATTCTAATGACGCACCAGCGACCGGAGTAACCACATCCGCCCAAGAAAATGTAAACCACATCTATGATGCCGAGCAAATTGTTGGTCATCGCGTCCGCCATGGAAAACCTGAATATCGTATCAAATGGCGCGGATATGGAAAACGGCACAATACGTGGGAACCACCAGACCACATTTTGGATCAACGTCTTTGGACAGATTTCTATGCCCGACATCCCGAACACCGTCCAACAGCAAACGTTAACAATTAATCTTTAATAAATAAGTATTTTTATATTGGTTCAAGTTAGTTTTTCCTCTGAACAAGCCAGGGGGCTTGTTTTTGCAGAGGGGGGTAATGTTACGAGATAATTATAACAATAGCAATGGCATGCGCTGAACACGTGAACAGTCCATTTTTAAGTAGTGACGAAGAGACGATAATTAGTGGGGAAAAGTTGGGAAAAGTACGGACCATGAGGAGATTTTGTTTTGGAGGCTAGGAAGAAGAGATGTGATTTAAGTATTGACGAATTGAGTATTTTAGACGCATATTTATGATAATAAACAAAGCATAACATTACGTGTGACAGTATAATTTAATATCATAACAATACATACGATACGATGATTGAATATATGTGCTCATCTAGTTATACCGGATTTATTATAAACAAAATCCAGATATGTAATAACCGCACTGCCTGCTTTTAGCTAGATTATTTGATAATCAGCAATTATGATGTGACAGACACAGTTTTTAAAATTTGCATTATTAGTTTATACTATTACTATTTACATGAGCCCGGTTACCCGAGATTCAACGAAGCGTGAGATTTTGAGGTATTGAAATGAGCAGATAAGATGATCCTGGCAGTTCCATAATCACCACAACAATAGCATGTGCTTGTTTGGTGTCATAAAGACTTATTTCAATACATCAAAGTCCTCTCACGCTTCGTTGAATCTCGGATAACCGGGCTCATGTAAACAGCCCCATAGTATACTCTTCTCCAATAGGTAAAATATACATCATTAAAAAGCAGTGTCATATACTCCACTATCTCTTGAAGAATTTTCGTCAAATTGCGTCACCCCCAATGTCGGATCTCCAGAGATGTTTTCACGTTTTGGCAAAATTGTTTCCATCACTTCCATGTAAGGTTTTACGTTTATGTAGACAACCTGAGAAAGTCAAAATGAGAAATTTAATGATGTAATAAATAGCAATAGCTTCTTTCAAAGGAAACTTAGAAAATATTAGTAAAAATCTTAATCATTATCGTTATTATTTTTTTTATTTGTGTTGTTATTTAAACAACATGTTTTTGGATCAGATAATTTTAGACTATATAAATATTTTTTGAGCCATGCAGCTGCAGTCTTGGGCGTGATTGACGCGAGATGACGTCTATTACATGCAGAATTGGAAATTCTTTTTATGTCTTCAGTTTTGTAAAAATACTTTACAGTTGAAATTTAACATCGCCTTTTAAGAAAATTGTATCATTTGCGTTTGTGGGACTTTCATTTCAATTAATTACCTTATTTAAGTTAAGCATATTCAGCAGGGAGTTGTAAATTTCACTAAAACTTGGCCTCTCTTCAGGAACTTCTTTCCAACATCTTGCCATTAACGAGAATCTGAAACAATGATGGCCCCACGTACATTTTCTCTTGAAAAATCAAGGTCTCCTCATCTCTAATTTGGACTTAATCTTTAACAATGCTACCCTAGCTGCAGAATACTTTTAAAAATTGCGGGAACAATGCTTGGTAAGGAGGGCAAGACTAATTTTGGAGAGCGAGTCAGTGTGAGCTTCCTTCCAATTAGCTATTTGACAATATTTCGCCTTCAGAATATGAAAAATCTATATTTGAATTTCTATTTATATAGAAATTCGTGGAAATTTATAAATTTCTAGAAATTTGTCAATAATGATATCCAATATTGCAACTTACATTTCGTTGCTGCAATGTTCTGGTTTGGCCATTCTTTCACCATCATGTAGGTATTCCAATATATCATAGGGTGAAACGTCTGGGTAAGGCTCTTCAGCTAAAATGGTGGACAATAAAATTAATAACGAATTTTACTGGTGCTGCTTACTATCAGCGACGGAGTTAGGGCAGAATAAATAAACTACCTTATTAACAAAGCTGTTGGTTATAAATAATTTTTTTTTTGACCTTGAATATCCTGTCTATTTTCTTTGCATAAGAAGTCAGAAGTGAAATATATAAATCCAAGCACTAAGTTATTTTTCATGTGGAAAATAGCGAAGTAGCTATCGGTAACACTTACCAAGCGTGCAAATCTCCCATAAGAGTATACCATAGGACCATCTGCATTTCAAAGACAAATTCAGTTTATATTATATATCTATGCGCTGCTGTTAGCATGATCAATTGAATTTATTCGTCATGCAATTTCGTTAACATTATTTTAATTGGGAAAGCATTTCTTTTTATAGGTGAATCTGTCTAAAAAGGTATTGAGGTTTGGCTAAAAATTGTAGTACAGTATTTAAAACTATTCGTAGCACAATTATGATTATAGTTGAATTTGATAGCTCGAGAGTCAACTTTGTAGTTGTTCTTGATATAAGGTTTTACTTATACTACTTCGATCATTTAGCAGAAACAAGTATTATAGAATTTCACTATTGAAGATATTATCGGTTTATTGCTTCAGGCGAGGGGATTTTTCATGCATGTATTGCTATATAGTATATTGTTTATGTTTATATATACTGTGGGGACAATAGTGTACAAAAGAAATTAGTCGATGAAAATTTAAACATCCTTACATGTCTGAAGCTGCAGTGAAACGGCTTTCTTCCAAAGCTTCTATTGACATCCATTTAACAGGTAGCATTTTCTGAAAATTAAATAAAGTAAATCTACGTTTTTATCGGTTACGTTTAACGTTACTTTTGCCTATTATCAGTGGCGAGGCTAGAGCGATAATTGGGGACTGTTTATTCATATATTCGGTTCTGCATGACGGATTGCTATTGTAAACTATTGCACTTACAAAAGAAAACTGTAAACTATTTACAAACTGTAAACTGTATACGTTTTATATATAGGCTATTCTTAATTGTCTATGAAATCTTGCTAAATACAATAGTACCTACGTTTTTGTTTATAACGTACTGCGCAGTGACGTCAATTCTTCGTGCCAGCCCAAAATCAGCGATCTTAGGCACAAGCTGTTCATTCAAGAGTATGTTGCGGCTTGCGATATCTCGATGAACGACCTATCGATGATACATCGCAAAAGAAATAGAAAAAATAATGATAATACATAAGAGATGAAAGATATTCTGCAGATACTTTTAATAGAGCAAAAAAGTAGTTTTGTAATGTTATAGCGCACCTTATAGGCTATATATAGCGGAGCTTATAGGCTATAGCGCACCTTATAGGCTATAGCGCACAAGAAGGTTGAAAAAAACGCTACTTTTGGATATTAATTTCGATAGAACTTACTTTGGTAAGACTGGAAATTAATTGTTAATTAATGTAAATGCTACTGATTAATTACTAAAATTTATGCGGGTTTCTTCTAAAATTACATTAACCAATAGCGACTCAGTGGTAAGGCAGACTAAATGTCGATTAAGGTAGTTTAGAGTACATTACAAAGTTTTTTCTTTTATTTTGAAAAATATAGAAATCTTTTCATGCCACATTGCAAGCCAAGTTCTCTAAATGAAAAAATCTTCAATAACTATAGTTACCCAGACGAAACACGCTGAAAGGCAGAAAACAGATTTTTGTGAACACGATAACAAACTAGGTTTAACGCTAGAACGACGGAATTAGTTTTATTTAGTTCTAAATATTTTGGCCTCGGAGCTGAACCTCAAATAAATAAAGCTCTTCCAGTATTAAACATTTTACAGGCTATAATCTATAATCCAGGCTTGCATCCCTGGAAACTTTTAAAACAGGATAAATCGTGATTTGCAATGTACTACACGTACCACCTTAAGACTTTTTTGCCATAAATTTCTGTATTTTTTCAAAAGTATTATTTAAAAAACCAAAACCAAGATATTTTGAATTTATAATTAGGTTGTGTAATGGCCTTTTGCATAATAGACCAACTTAAGATCTAGGCAACAAGAAGAAAATAAATCACCACAGCTAAAAAGAGCATATACCGCGAAATTAGTATAATTGCCACATGCCAAGTATCACGGAAAGTATTGCCATTCAAATAGCCAATTTTGCATACTTTTTAACTAATTTAGTTGCACACTTCCTGCCGAAGTATAAAATAATATACAAAATTGTCAACTTCACATGGCTATATTTTCCGCACTTTAGAATATTTTGTAGCCAAACTTGGTAATTTTACTACATTTAGTATGCTCTTTTCGGAAATTTCCTTTTTATTTCCTAAATCAATTAGGCCATGGCATAATAGACCTGGTTTATTATGCGAAAGGTACATTAATTGTGTCTGACCATAGATGCGCCACTATGGCCACATTTACCTTTTTCTCGAACAAGAATTTCATTCCTCTCGCTATGTCGACAGCAAAATTAATGAGCTGTCGTTCAGTGAGTGAGGAATAAATATTAATATATTGTTGGTGCGGTTCTTCATTTGTTCGACTCTCTTGTAGCAAATCTTTAAGATTTCCTCGTGGGCAAAACTCCATGATCAATAATACTGGAACTAAAGCAATGATAAATTGGCTGTTAACAAAGGTTCGGACAATTGAAAATTGCTCAAGTCACTTAATTAATTTATTCTTTAATAAATACATTAAACATCATCCAAGTAATGTCGCGTTGTATTTATCATTAACTTTATAGACCTAAAGCCTTTGCCCAACACCACAGAAATTGATGTTTATGAAGTTTCAACCCGAAATTCTGATCACTGGTTTATCTTGTGCATTGCTGTATCGCTATCAAAGAGAAAACTATTGAATAACTTTAAAAAGTTCGGTTTTTCTTCCGGGTACGCATTATGCAATCTTTTGACAGCTCATCATACACATCCGACAGCTGTGAAATGGCCATTTTGCGGCTTAAAGTATACACAAAGTATTAATTCAGATGATTCGCTTTTGCCGTGTGCAAGCTTTAATCTTTTTGTGAAAAACATATTTTGTGTAGTATATGGCTCTGACTTTATTTATCAAAAGGAGTCCATAACTCTCCATCCCTGTTAAGAAACTGTGCAAATTAGAGCAGTAATAACTTCACGTTCGCGTCGTAGATTTTGATTCACTAGTATAATGTGAGAAAATTCGATGGAACTGATCACTTGGTACAAATCGAGTTTCTGATTGGATAATTGTCAGTCGAGTCGTATATGAGCTTATAGCCGACGAGGTGCGTGGCTATCAGCCATATACGACGAGGTAGGAGTGGTATAATTGTTTTATATTATAGCCAAATACCATTTGTTGAGCGACAAAAGTATTTATTAACAATTTAATACACATTTATATAAAAATAAGAATTAATTAATTCAATTATGTGCAACGAGTCAGGCACCTCCGCCATTTTGCTTTTTCTTTGGTTTTGCTACCCACCATATATGAGCTAAAATACGGTGGGTAGCTCGACCAACCAGATTGCGAAATAGCTCATATACAGTGCGTAGCTATATTATAATTCAGGATATATTAAGTTGTTTCAACGGAGAAACGGTTTTTTAGTTGACAACTAAAATCAGTCCCTTTCTGCCATTTCTGATCACCTGGATGAAATCATAGCGCTAAAAACGTTTGCAGGATGATGCAATAATCGTAGACATGATAGCTATAGTAGCACTTACTACGATTAAATATCCAGCAGGCTAACGTCTTCTCTTGTGTAGTTCGTGTGTGTAGTTAATTTCAAAAATTATTTTATTCACGTTCACAGATAATTGGTATTGGTATAATAACTGATTAATGACCGAGTGTGAGGTCTGTATGTGAAATATCAGGCCGAGGCTTTTTAGTATGGACCGTGCAAAGAAGGAGCGAGGTTGATCCGAGGTTGATTTGGTTGTAAAACGTTTACATTTGGAATCGCTAAATTTTATGAACAAATGCATGTCAGCATATCTGATACTGTTCTTGTTTGTTATATTTAAGAATATGCTAAACGGTATATTTTTAGAAATATATGAAACATTCAAAACTTGAGCAAATAAATATTTATATAAAGAAGCCTATCCTTTATTTTGTTTTGAACAGACCCTATTTGCAAAAGCCGCTATTACCTGCCCTCCTTAAACCTTGAAAAAAAAATGCACGCAGTTGGCAAGTCCACAAGATAACGAATAGCACGCATCAGGGGCCGGTTGTATCAAGCCCGTTTAGCTTAAAAGGCGGATAAGTCAAAATTAAATAGCACTCTAACAACTCTCTTGAATGAGACAACTTGAATATTATGCACTGAATATGTAGTTGTAAACTGTATCTTTGTATTAAGGTATAAAACATTCAGTTTGCTTCTTGAATAAAGCGATAGACTTGCTTTCTATTTTGAACTTATCCACCATTTAAGCTAAACAGGCTTGATACAACCGGCCCCAGAACTTTAAGTGTTTAACTGTAGCTCCACACTGAAAATTAGATGTTGTATGTATATCTTGCTTTTATCGCAGAAAATGCAAAGTGGTGCCCCCGCATGTCCCGTGGGTGAAGAGCAGTTGGGAAACATGAAGTTTCCACTGCTTCCTTCCTTCGATCCAGAGCCCTTGCTCTAAATCAAGCTGACAAGTCTATAAAAATTAGTACCTGTTTTTGTACATCCACCAATAAGTTTGATAATATTTTCATGTCCATCTTCACTCACGTATTTTAGGATATCAAATTCCCTCAGCAATTCATTCCAATTGTTTTGTCCACGATTGACTAAATCAATCAAAACAGAATGTCAGTCCCTTTGAAAAGTTTATACCTGTATACCTATTTAACCCTCAAAGATTATGATGGCATTAAATTGGCTTTGCACATGCACAAATAAGTCAGAAAATTATAATCCGCCCTAGCTCCTCCTTAAAACGAGTGACCAATGAAAGAGCGGACAAAGAAAATACAAAGCGACCCCATCAAACGAATCGTTTATAATAGTAAAAATTACATGAACCAGCTCATACTCACAAAGGCAAAGAGTGCAGGGTCAGAAAAAAGTTAAGGAGACTTCAATGCTTTCTCGTCACTGCAAGTTCTACTCAAATTGTTCTTTTTAAAATGGTTCAAACTACTTAACCAATATAGTAATATCATGCAGAGCGAACAATAATGAAGCAATTAACTGACATGCATATAACAATACAGAATGCAAAGCGGTGAAGTAAAATAATCGGATGATTTAAGGTTTTAAAGATACATTCTAAATTGAATTTTTGGATTGGAGATATACTTCACCCGATTTCAAAAACATTCTTCGATTTTTAGACCTTACGAAAACCACAATTTGTTTGATGCATTTCAGCAGTGGCGTAGCCAGCCGGACAATTTGGTCATGCTATGCAAATTTCAAGTGATTACAATCATTCTATGAAAAATTCTTAGAAAATTCATTGTTTTCACTGCCAATGAACACCAAAATATTAGCATAGCATGATTAAATTGTCAGGCTGGCTACGCCATTGTATTTCAGAACCTTTTAACGTCTTTACGGCCACTTGTATGGCTTGATGCTGATCATAATTTGAAAACGATTTCCTTAATATGCCTTCTTTGACAAGCCCAAAATAACCTCCTCCCAATGTGTTGTCCAAAACATCCAAACGATCACGATTGAGTTCCCATGGTGGCAAAGCTGAAAATAAAGCATGAGACTATGCGTAATCCTGTCAATTAAACGTTCTCTAAATAGACACTTCTCGAATTCCTATTTCCAGCCATGAAAACCATCCCACTAACAATAGATTCATATAACCGACATTATTATGCATTATTAATGCAATCTCGATTGTGATTGGCTAAAAACCTACAGATAATTCTCAATGTCTTGCCACCTACACGACATTGAAAATTATTCGTAGGTGACGTAATTTTTTGCCGCTATAGTTTGTTGTCAATAATGGCGCAGGCTACCTCTCTAAAAAGGAAATACATAATAAAACAATTATTGAATTCGGTTTTCGCATGATATCGAGAATAATCAAGCCTCAGCTTCGCTTCGGCAAATAACGCAAACTTTGGCTTGATAATTCTCGATATCACACTCAACCTCATCCAATAATTGTTAATTATTATACACACAAGCGCCAGATATGAGGTATCCTGCAATTTCATTTGTTGGCTACTAGACAGATATTAGCTCATATCTGTCTAGTAGAGAAAGTAAACAAAATAGCTGAAAGAATTGGGGAGTTGAGTGAAAAAGAATTATAGAAATCCAAGCTCTAGTTGATAATAGCACACCAAAATGCACCGAAAGGGCGACAAAGTTTGTGTATATAATAAGACAGTACGCGCCTCGTCGGCTATCAGCTCATATACGACTCGAGTTCGCAAAATAACTGTTAAATAGATGACATTACCCGCCTCGCTTCCAAGCTATTGTTTTCATTGTGTGCACTCAAGAAAATTCGGGAAGTGTCTATATGCACATTAAAATGCGTAAATAGTTAAATTAAACTTTACTTGTATTACCATCAGAAACACTTGATGCATCTTCTTCGTAATATTCTGGGTAGAGGATTCGAAGATTATTATTGCAGGAAGTTTTCACAGTATTTAAAACCATCTGCAGAAAATAATACGGAAATTAACATGTGGATTGTTTAACATTACTTTGATGCAGTTATTTCGATTGTTGTAAATTACGGAAAATATAGCCATGCGAAGTTGTCGAAATTTGTATACTTTGTGTATTACGGCTGGAAGCGTGTAACTAAATTAGTTACACATTTTCGCACGTAACAAAAAAGTATACCAACTATGCAAACTTAATTCACATGGCTATATTTTCCATAATTTACAACAATTCGGAACCAAACTTGGCATTTGGACTAATTGAAGAACGTTCTCACTAGCTGTGGTGATTCATTTTCTTCTTATATTACATGGATAAAAAAAAGTCAAAAGCGAAAGTCGTCCAATGATTTGCGGGTCATTGCAGTGTAAAAGGAAGTTTCAGAATGAAAAGGCTATTAATAATAATAACCGCGGAAAGAAAAATAAATTTTTATCTTTATCGATGAGATGCATGATCGAGACATCAGCAAAATAGGCATTTTAATTTGTTCTCGTGCATAACCAGTAGTAGCATAGCCATGCAGACTGACGATTTGTCCCGCTATGCTAATATTTTGGTTTTCATTGACTGTGACGACAATAAATTTCTATAGACATGAATAATTATAATAACTCGAAATTCACATAGCGGGACAAAATCGTCAGGCTGGTTACGCCACTGGCCAGAAGGCTGCTTTTTCAAATAACTTCGCGTATGATGCAAAATGATACAAAAGCACTTCAAAAGCCTTCGTCAGGTGTGATAAATTAGTAATGTGATGCTAGCCACACTAATTTTCCTAATTACTAACCAGAGAAACTCTCTCGTGTATTTTATCATGCAGTTGTTATGCCACATTTGATTTCGCTCTTGTTCCTATCAAATTACCGCGTTTCTTCATGAATTTATGCCTTTTTACGATTTAAAATCACATCATTATTTTTTTTCATCATTCTGTTTCTTCTTCGAGATCGCACAACAAATATAACCAGAATACATATAACCGTCATACAAGTTATGGCGACAGCTATGATAATAATTATCAAAGACGTGTTCTGTTCTGTGATGGTTTCACCAATTCGTTTTCCGCTTTTAGGATCTGAAACACATACATAAACGTTGTACATATTGGCCCTATTGTAGATAACATTGGCATCAGTATTGCCAGTCCTTATCGAATGTGAAACAGAGAACTTTGAAATTCAAGATATTTATAATTTGTTATAAATATTTATAATATTAATAATATGATATTCATAATATTTCCGGCTCAAAAGTTCATCGTTATTTTCACCTTGCGAAATGCAATATCACGTTTTGGATCGGAATTTGTGAGAAATTAACGAAGCTCAAACAAAGTTATAGCAAACAACGGGCGATTTTAAAGCGATTGAAAAAATCACTATCCGGTGGATAACGATATCCGGCTTTCATACAACCGGCCCCTGAGCGAGAAATAAACAAACTTACCAACGTGTGTGAAACTTATCCAGTTGCTGGATCTCCCTTTCGTTTCGCCGCTCAACCCAGCAACCGAGACTGTGTAGTTAGTATTTAGAGAAAGATCATTTAAGGCGACGAACGAACTCTCGCTAGACGTTTTCGTGTCGTAAGAAAGATTTCCGTTTCTTAGAGTAACAGTGTAACCAGTAATGACATCGAACTCTTCATGTTGCTCAATAATCTTCCACTGAACCACAGCGGAATCAACCGAAAGAATGGTAACATCCACATTGGTTGGTGAAGGAATTGTATCTAAAATAGAATAATTCATATAATTCACTTCAGAAAGAAACTCTGAACTGCCTTTGTTTCGGTAGCCTGGACATTAATAAAACTGGGCACCATTACCCATGCATTTTAGCCTTGCCGTGCTTGTCATGCATGATATAGTCATACAACTTTTAATTTAACATAAAAACTATTTTTTAGATAAGAAAATAAAACGTATTTGGTTGGTTCCTGTCAGCTTTCATCTCGCGGATAGAAGGTGTGCGTTCATGATATGACTCCAATCAAGATTTTTGAAGAAAAACTGATTAATTTTATCGCCCCGCGCTGGCGAAATCGCGTCAGTGAAAAGTCAGTTACAGCTAGTATTTTTGTTCACGGTTGAATATAGTACATTCCATACCCAATGTTGTAAAGTTGTATTTCAATGTATTTCCATCGCCATACCGGGTAAAACCACGAACCCAAACAGCATATTTCGATTTTTTTACTAAAGCTGGTAGCGTGTAATCAATGCTATCATTGGATAAAGTTACGTTGAACTCTCGGTTCTTGCCATACAAAAAAACTTTGTATCCCAACAAAACACCGTAAAACTTCGCGTCAGCCTGAATCTTCTCCCACCTAATTTCCGCCGCAACTGACGATATCTTTGCTGGGAAAATTTGGTTTGGCTTTGCAAGTTTACCTGAAATACATAATGGGTGATGTTAGAGAACCGTTGCTGGAGGACAAATTAACGTTGCATAAATTTTGCAAAAACGTAAATTTTGGGCAAAATACAGAAATATTTACTGGTTTGAGGAACTTTGTTAACTGCTGTTGACCGCTATATTATAAACCTTGACCGCTCGCATAACAATTATTTTTAGTAAAGCAAGGAAACATCTGGATCGGAGGACAACTTTTAATGATTATGGCGTCAGTGCAATAAGTCTATATTTGACGATATTGACGAAAAGCGCATTTCTAGCGATATATAGCTTTAGTTATTGCCATGCTATTATTTTCATTCATAATTACCTGGCGAGTAAAACTGAACGGTGCCGATTACCGAATCACCTTTCTCCGTTACAGATTCGATGCTTACGGTGTATGTTTCTCTCATTGTCAAGTTGCCGAATGTAACGCTTGATTCATGGTACCTTCTAATGATTTCGTGACGTTGTTTCTCACTCTTCAAAGAAACATTGTAGCTAGTAGACGTTGTATTTAAATCAGGATGCCCAACCCAACGGACGGAAGCAACGGTCAATTTCAAACTCACAACTTAAAAAACGAAAAGTTCATTGCATTAATGATGAAATGAGTAACCAACATATAAGCGATGTTTTGGTGGTAGTGTTTGTTTGATTTTTTTTTAAAGAAAGGATTTCGCCTCCTTTTTGCTCAGAAAAACTTGCTTAGTAGTATGGCAAGAATAAATTTTAATGTTATCCAGAGTAAAAAAGTGGACTATAGTGGTCACATAGTGGGATTTCCAGTCACATACATAGTGGAAGCTGTTTCATGTCAATATACGAAATATGGCAGATATATTCATGTTTGTAGTACTTACCTTCGACATATAGTACGAACACCTTTTTAGAATACACTCTGTCTAACGTACTTATGGCTACGCATTGAATGCATAAGGAAAATTTTCTGCCAACGATAGCAACTGTTGAGTTAACAAAAAAAGCATTTTCCCCATTCACATTATCGATAGGCTTGGTATCAACATTAACACTCATCCTCTCCTTCCAAGTGCTCGTGGAATTGATCCTTGAGCCATTCAATAACCACTTTACATCAGGTTTAGGTATCCCAGAACCAATACACGAGACTTCCAGTTTTCGTGGGTTAATTTGAACCGACATACGTAAAATTTTTGGAGCTAACGCATCTAAAATATAATTCATTATTTGAATCATACGCATACTTTTTACTGGTTGCATTAAATGCAATAATGCTTGAATGCCTTAATTTCGTTTTTCTTTACTTAATGATTATTAACATGAGAAAATTGCTGGATGCTGATTGGTAAAGGTGGTCTTTTAAAAAAAATTATTTCATTTTGAAAAATATAGAAATCTTTTCATGACATATTGCAAGCCAAGTTGCTCTGAGTGAAAAAAGGCTTGTAGGAATCTTCAATCACTATAGTTACCCATACCAGACACATCCAATGGTAGGAAATTGACGATTTTTGTAAAAACGATGACAAACTAGGTTTTAACGACGTAATTTTGAATCTTTTCATAAACTATAGAGAACAATACAACAGAACAATGATACAACAGAATAAGCCAATGGACTCTTTTGTTAGCTCGGGATGAAATCCTAATTCATATCACTTTTCGTTTAATTCAGGTTTTCTTCATATATTTTTTGAAAAAAATATTCAGGATCGATTAGGGAGCCATATAAGTTTGCACCCTTGAAATTCTAAGAACAGAATAAATCGTGTTTTTTGTGTAGAAGACCACCTTAAGAACAGTACAGCCATTTCATTATTTGTACTGCATTATATTACTAATATATAATACTACTTACAAGCCGTTCTCACATTACTTTCAAAAACGCATTTTTAGCCGCAGAATTTTTTTCACGGGAATGTTTTGTACAGGATGTGTCATTCTGAAGGACCCACTGCATAAAATGGCGTAGGAAGCACGGTAATTGGGAGGGGGGGCATATATTCATATATTCATGTTGTGCAAGTTTAATTTCTTTTCAAATAAATTGTTTTTACTAGTCTGTTAACATTGATATATGAATATGTGACCCCCTCCCCCAGTTATCGTCAGTGGCGTAGCCAGCCTGACGATTTTGTCCCGTTATGTAAATTTCGAGTTATTATAATTATTCATGTCTTTAGAAATCTATTGTTCTCACAGTCATGCAGTGAACACGAACATATTAGCATAGCGGGACAAATCGACAGGCTGGCTACGCTATTGGATATCGTGTTTCCTACGCCACTGGACTCTAAATTCTTGCTATGCCAAACAAAGATCCCATAGAACAATACACACTAGTCCCGTTTAGCCGAGCTATGGTTAAGCATCACCCGCTTTTAAACACTTTCACGAATTTCATAATCATAATCAGTAATAAATTGTAGCCTTAAGACGCCATAAAGAGACCTACCAGTGACTGTGAAATTCACTTCAGCAGCGTTACATGGCGCTTTACTTGCAGTAAGAAGACACATGAATTTATCGTCTTTGGTAACCCCAGTGACTGTAACACTGCAGGAGAGAGTTTTATAACGAAGAACTTCTTCAACTTCACATTTGTGTAGGTCATTATCGTTCTTACGAAATTCCACCCTTGTCATATATCCTTGGTTTGGGTGATTAATCTTGACAGAGCCGGTACATTCCAATGTTATAATGGTGTCTTTTGTCACATATGGGTAAGGTGTCGCTCTGTAAGATATGTTTGGTATCAGAGTTTCTTTAAAAGAGAAAAGAATAACCAATAATAACCAATGGCGTTGTTATTAAGGTAATACCGTATATTTAGTCTGTCAGCGTTCTTTTGATTGTGTAATTTTAACTGTTGGCCTTCATGGCGGCCTAATTTTTTTCTTCAAATATGGCGCCTAAGTTATCTTTTTATTTTAGTGTTAACCGTATGTAAGTGCCTGTCAAATCTTTGATCTTATTCACAGCCTCGTTCCCAGGCGCTTTAAATAGAATTAATATAGGAACACTACAGGCTTTTACATAGATCAGTGGCAAAGCTGAGCGAACGCGCAAGGAGTTTTAGGGAGGACGCGGAAAAGGAAGCATTTCTCCGTCGAGTCCTCCCCAAAATTCCTTGCGTGCTTGCTCTGCTTAGCTACTGATCTATGTAAAAGCCTGTAGTGTTCCTATATTTATTTTATTCAAAGCGCCTGGGAACGAGGCTGTCTTATCCGTGTAAAACATTGCCCGCGCGGATTTGGATTTTAATAGGGAGCATGAGCTCCCAACGACCTTGATGAATGTTCTGTCAAAAGTTACTGTCGGCAACAGAAATTCAATTATAACTTTTAGAGCGCACCACAACGTTGTGCTATTGGACATTTAGTGGCTTTAATTTAGCGCCATTATACTAAGTTCGGTATCCTCTTTCTATGCTCGGTATGATTTATTTCCTTCTTCTTACCTAAATCATAAGTTGGTCGATTCTGCAAAAGGTCAATTATCAATGCTACGCTACTGTTTAGAAGAAGACTTGTTTTACGTATTTTCAATTCCCACTGAGCAGAACATCTGGACTGAGTTTCGCATAATCTATAGACTAGACGTCAATTGGTTTTGTTGGGAAGACGTTTTATTTCAAATATTAAATATTTATTTCGTTTGACGTTTTTGTCCCCATGCATCAAGGCGTCAGCAGCTGTTAATGGACCTTTGGAAAATGTTTATTGTTCAAGTAATCAGGGGCCGGTTGTGTGAAGGCTGGATAGCGCTATCCACTGCATGGATAGAGATTTTTTCAACCGTTATAAAAATGCTTGAAAGGATTGCTTTAAAATTTCAGCTTTGGAACCAACAAATATTAATGAAGTCCTCGATTTAGGAATACTAAGATTTAATCAAAGTTACAGCAAACAACGGGCGATTTTAAACCACTATCCGGTGGATAGCGCTATCCGGCTTTCATACAACCAGTCCCAAGTATATAAGTTTGACTTACTAAAATGTTTTGACTGTACGTGATCTAAGCATCTACCACTGAGATCTTCATAAAGCGTCATAGCGAGTGGTAGTTGAATTATTGCCACAAAGAAAAAGATGTGACCTAAGAAAATTAGAAATTAATATATTTTTAGTCGAAGAGTCTTCAAAACGTGTTTGAAAGACAGATTTTTTTCTGTAAAACCACGGTTGATTTTTGCGATTGCTTTCCCTGATAATATGCATCGTCAAAAAAACTAATTTCTAGTAATAGGGAGTTATTATGCAGTCGTCATTGTAATTTTCGCAGTATTCTCTGCTAAATGAAGATCCGTCTTCAGTGAAATCATTTTGTGATAAAACCGCATGCATATAAATATGTGTGTTACTGCTCAAGTTAATATCTTGGTCATCTCACGATTTATTACGATATAACAATAGAGTTGATGCATGTTCGCGGGCATAAATGTGTTTTTGGCCAGACTCTGAACTCATTACTATTATTATTATATTAACTTTAAAAGGCAATTTTTGAATAAAAAATTATGCAATGGGTAAAAACATTAGTCATTCTTCTGATTGGCTTAGATCAGCGAGCTAAAATATATTTCAGCCCGGCAAATCTATCGTTTTAGCCTGAAAAATATACGGCAATGTCCGCCAAAGTTAATATAATCTACAACACTTTTTCATTCTTTCTCAGTTAATGAACACCAAGGATTAGGCTGGTTACACCGGCTATTTCGACACAAATTATGCCGTAAATATATTCGCTGCATGCATGCGTTCATTTGTAAAATAGTATTGAAATATTTTTACGATAGATCATGATTATGTGTGAAATACTGTTGTTTAAATAAAAGACATTCTATAATTGACTGTCCCATGCTATCGCAAAAATAATATATAATATTTCACAGAAGTATGCTCAAAAAGATGAAATTGAAGATAATTACGATTTGGATCGTAGGGATCAACACACTTACGCAAGTTCCAAATATAGTTTTCCATTAAATATCCGATAAGTTCAACGATTAGGTTTAGTTTGTGCCGTACTTGTTTTGTTGTGTGCGTCACAATAATATATCAACATCCGTTTTCATTGTTTCAGGATATCAGAATATTACCAGAATATCATTAAATTCTTTGACGTGCTTAATCCTAAAAAAAGTTCAAAAAATAATTAAATGACACAGGAGTGTGTTATGGACACCCGTCTTATCCGTCTCTGATACAGGTGATTAAGAAAAAACAAGCACATTTACGTATTATAAAAACGCTGTGGGATAAAAGGTCATCCATCTCTCAGAATTGTTACAATACTTCCGCAAGAGAATGACACCTCAATTTGAAAACAGCAACAACGGATCTCCAATAACGACAATGCAATTCTGGTACAACGATTCAAAGTTTCCTTTCAATGGGTTACAAAGACCTTACCACTGACGTCGTATTATTTGAGTCTATATCGGCGTGACAAAGAGAGTTAAACGTTTAACAATACGAACTATCAAATTAAGTAAAATTTGTTTGCGATAACTGATTGACGTTATTGTATATCACAGGCACCAAATAAATAAACTTAAAAAGAAAATAACAAAACTCTGACATGAAGTACTGCGCTCTCTAGTCTAATATTTCAACTTCCGTTTTTTCAATGCTAAATTAACATAAATAAACTCTCTTTGTATTATCTCTTTTGTACGTGCGGAAGTGGTCATGCAAGGCCCACATTCCACATTGGCGACAATCATATATTACAATTATTCAGAGCCTAGCTCGATACATAGCTAGCGAAAAAATATTTTTTTAACCCATATTTCCCCAGCTTGTATGGAAACTGTACCAATCCAAATCGTATCAAAGGTTTGTGATACTAAAATTTGAACTTGGTTGATTTACATTCCAGTTTGAGAAATCTAATCAAGTTGAAAACACGTTAATCATAATTCGTGTTTGATGGAATGAAAATCAAAATTGAGCAGAACTACAATCATGCTGAACTAACGACTGATCGAATCATATAATCGTGTGAATATTTTTCGTTTTTGGGCCCGCTAAAATATCGAGTCAACGATAGTAATATAACCTCGCAAATTCCGGTTTCTATTCCTACGCCTAGCTGCCACATCCCCTTAAACCTCTTTAATCCAACCGAAAATCCACTTTCACTTTCAGCTGGATTTCCACTTACAGAGATATAGTTAACTTGCTAGCGAAATATTTGCGTATTTTCTTTAGAATTGGAACAGAGTGAATAAATTAGTTCAATATGACTGTTCTGTTCTGTAAAAGAAAATGTACATATATTTCACCAGCGAAATATTTTTCAGTACGTGAAAATCCACCCTTACCAGAACTTTTTTCGTCTGAGCTAATTCAGGTAAAGAAAGAAAACCTATTAAATAATCCATCAGTTACTTCGGCATCTCTCAGAAGAAACTGCGAATGTCCGCGATGTTATATAGTGCACAGTCTGTAATGCATAAAAGCAATGCTTTGTTTTAACCTCCTATATTTATGTTTGCGTGCAAAAATTCGGAAAATGTATAATATCAGGTAATTCGCTAATCGAATTGTATCAACGAACAGATGCGGAAAAGCCGCCTATCTATAGCATAGATTTACTCATTTACACTGTAAATCATTCTGAACTTCAACAAACAACTTACACGGGTATTGTCAGACCATCGTCTCCGCCGGCGTCTGGCACGAGCTTCAATTGCATATATATAATTACAGGATAAATCCTTCTTAAAAGGCCCCTTTTGACTTAAAGATATCTCTCTGTTTAGAACCATGCATTTGTGTTTGTGAAGTGCAAATAGTTAAGGCGAATTAATAATATTTACAAAATATTACAATTTTACCAAAATCTCAGTTTTATTTGCCCTCCTTTTCAACACATGCATAAATTTGGTGAAAATTTTACTTTCAAAATTTTGAAAATAGAAATGTGTTAAGAAGTGTCCACGCCATTCGAATAGACACGAAAATTGTGGGCTTAGTAGCATCGTCTCTATATTAATAATTATGAAATCGACAGAAAGAGCGTTGCCAAAATTTCTGAACTAAGAGGGACTCTTTAAATATAGCACCCACATGCAGGCCAAAATATTTAGAACGGAGAATAGTTGAACTTTGTTTTCCGCTTTGCTTTTCCAAGAACATACTGTTTTTATGACGAGTACGTGAAGGAATGTTATATAAATCATAAAAGCTCGCTTGAAGGTTAAAGCCGGTTTTCCACTAGCGATATTTTTCGCGCGAAGCAACTTTACTCCTTTGTATTTGAGCATACTTTACTCCTTTGCAATTGAGAGCTCTGAAACAAAAGTAAAATGTCGCTGCGCGCGAAAACTATCGCTAGTAGAAAACCGGCTTAAGACGCCAACGATGAAGAGTTTTGACCCTAGCATCCGCCCTCTCAACTTGATCCAGCCCAGCAACCCTGTATTCAAATAATATATTGGCTCTTGTCCATAGGAAATGTTTGGCAAAAATTAAACATCGCCACATAATCGGTTTATATTTGTTGCAATAGCTGCATGTCATTCCGCGCGGTTCTAATAGTTAACCTGCACCGTAGAACGAGAACGAACGAGTAGCCTCATTAACTGAACGAGAGTACGGTTCACAATCGTTCAAATAGATGGTTTCTATTGGCTAAAACAAGTTTATTATCATATTTGTTTGTAAACTTTAAGCCATAGCATGCATATTTTGGTGAGGTAATTTTGTGTTGTGATATCGTGTATATTATACGGTTAAAACAGGGGGCATGCAACAAGATGACGATGATCGATGAACGGTAATGGTAACATCCCAAACTGAGGAATAACTAAGTTGAATAATATTATACATAGAACCCTGAGTATTTTACCGAAGTCGTCAATTCGTAAACTCAATTGAATTTTATAGTTAATCAAGGTCGTGTTAAGTAGCCTCAATGCAATTATTACAACAATTCTTAAGCATTTCTTCATGTGTTTTAAGACATTTGCATATACGTGTATTTATATGCAATTCCAGGTGGATTTGCAATTGTGCAAACTACGAATGAGCTGTTTGAAAAGCATGGCAGACGACGTAGAGGTTTTAAACATCGTGCTATTAAATTTGCACTACGCCGTTCAGGCAATATATTCAATGTATACTACCGGTGATAAATGCCGCAATGGAAGAGCAGACGAGCGAGATCGAAGCGACTGACGACAATAATTTAACTATCGTAATATGTATAGCAGTTACTGCTGATTTGCATTTAAGTTTATTGTGGCTATGGAACTTGCTTATGCTCCTGGGATTTGAATATACGTTTTAACTGGCATGTTATGGAAATTACAATAATATCACAAAGTCGAGTTAAACTTAACGCTAAATAGTTTCTATCACATGAAATTCCTTTCTGTTATGATCACCTATTAGGCTCAAATAAAAAATGTGATGAAATTACAATTCTTTAGGCGTTTTCATGCAGTTACAAGATGTGAGATTTTTACGTGCGCATGCATGTGTATTGCATATCCCCAAATATATATCTAATGGTAATACATGTCTGTGTGTATCTTCTTTACGGCCTTAAGTTAAGACTATCTTCTACCATCCTTGATTGAATTAGCCGAAATGTAGTTTTTCTATCAGCACAACGACAGAAAAAATATACAAGCATTACAATACGGTTGAAAACATGTTTAGTACAAGCAAGCGACTTTTTGTCGCTCATTCGTTCGTCGCTCATTCGTTCGTCGCTTTCGTCCATTCGTACATGTTTAAATATGCAAACCAATCAGCTTTTCGTAATTTCAATGAAAACATTAGCATACTTGCATATTCGTTCGTTCTCGTTTTACGGTGCAGGTTAACTAATATAAGCATGTAGGACGGGAACACGACGACGGCAGTTATCAATACAATGCTTCATTGAAAAGAAATGAATTTTTAAATACCTATATGGGAGTCTTAGACGTGATCTACGTTCTATATTTACAACGGCAAAACGTCGTTTATTACGTCCTATGTAAAACGTCAGCATTTCGGGACCCAGTGAGCGCTAGCTCGAATTAGGCTCTATAGAATTGTCCCTAAACGTAGAAACAATATTTTCATCGTCTTATATCTCAGTAAATTGGCACAGTTGACAATATAGAACAACGCTTTACCATAACATTAATCTAGAGGAGTATTCCAACCACGTCGTACATGTTGTCAACAACTAGTCCAAAAGTTACATGTACACTAACTATATGAATATAGTGCCGAAAAAAATCAAATATTTATGATTAGTATATTTGAGATTACAAGAAATTAAAATTAAGCCACATATCGAATAACATAATTGCCTAAACGCCTTTCGAACAACCGGCCCCATACAGGGTTCATGGATTGCGTGCATCAAGTTGACTCATTCAGAGAGATGTAAGAGTGCTGTTTCATTTTGACTTATCCACCGTTTAAGCTAAACGGGGTTCATACAACCGGCCATACATAATTAAAACCATGAAATATCATTGAAAATATCTTCCCTACCTTCAGAGATACACAAGTTTGTTTTGAGATCCACTTAATTGTCATCGAGCCTTCAAATAAGAGCTTAGATGGCTAGATTGGTAACGAAGGCTAGCTAATGTTAGACGTCAGCCCGTGATATGTGAATGGTGATGTAAAACTGATTACAATCTGAACAAAGGATGCCTCCTCTTCTTCTATAACAATCATCCGACGTACTGATTTCGTTTGCTCCTAACTCTCAATTGATTTAAGAACGCAACTATAATCTATATATTGCAGCTTGTTTCCGCCTAGTAATGCTTGACCGCTACACAGTTGCATTTGTACAAACAGAATTTGAAATTCTGCACATGCTGGTATATTCAAATGGCAGTTTCGCAGTTCCCCTTTCTATTATCGCAATTGATCAGCCACATGCCAACTACGAGGTTTTAGCCAGACACGCCGGAATATAAACAAATATAATTTAATGACGATTACAAACTCTCTGAGTAACTTTCAGAGTAATTCCTTGTTTGCATCATTAAGTTATATCAATTGTTTAGAAATGTCGCAAGGATGCTCTATAACATGCTTGCAGTGTAATGAATGGTAGAGTAACGCGATACAAGTTTATAGCTATTAAATATCGCCCTATTGCAGAAAGTGTCACAGTAAACAATCTCGTTAGTGAAGTCGCTATAAAACGAGTCATATATTCATACCTTTTTCGAATTTGGATTACTCCGCTGTTAATACGACAAAGCTTCTTGTTATTTAGGGCTACTAAGAGCGATTAGATATATCTGTCTTCCGTTTCAATTAATTTGCATGCGAAGTATGCAAAGTCTTCTCATAACAGCACCCACGCGGCCAGGAAGTTTATAGTATACTCGGCCACCAGATCACATTACTTGCATAGCTATGTGTGTTGTGTTCAAGTGAAAAAACTTCCTCAAAGTAGCTAGAATCTTGTAACGTCTTCAAACTTTACTAAAACACGAAGTACTAAATCAGGGACATACGAGAATTGTGACTCAATTGTAGCCTATAACAAGACGTCTGTTCTGGCGTTAACTCCGGCGTGCCTATCACGCGAGTCTTTAATACAAAGCTATGGAACATAAACAATACAGTTCATACTCATTTATATGCCTTGCGAATTAACCTAAATGTTGTTCGATCTCGAAATTCAGAAGCACATCGTACTTTAAATATATATATGCTATATTATAATCTTAACATTGAACTTAACAAACAGCATCAAAAGAACGGTTTATTTCTTCCTAGTCTTGGAGGAATTGAACTCGCGCATCGGAAAATTAGCCAAAGCTATTCACCATAACTCTGGTAGGTGTGTTTATATCACTATGCAAACGTACAAGAATATCGTTATATAAAAATTCATGTTGTATTGTACATATTTTACTATGCCTGCATTTCAGTTTGAAAAACGAGCATCACAAGTCGTAACGCGTAAATAGCAATGCGAAAATAACAAATATACCATATTCTTCCTATGGCTATTTTACTCTTTCCAGTGAATTCAAAACAACATTGTAACATGCGACTGTTTGCAGAACCGGTGAGCTGCCTGCGTTATTCACATGCAAGTGATGCAACTGTCAATTCACTTATAATAGTTTCGGACAATAAGGCGGAAAATATATTACCCTCGACTTCACCCTCGACATTGCCGACTCTCGACCCTCGACTTGCTACCATCGACCCAACCCAAACTCAGTTGTTATCAACATTGAACAATATTGTTGACACTGAATCGGGTGTAACAATATTGTTCAATGTTGATAACAACTCTGAACAATGTGGGCGCACAACATTGCTCCATCCTGTTTATATCAACTTGCATCAACCTGAGCGTTTTTAGGCGTGTAGACATTAGACAGAACTGTGACGTAGGTATAGAAACGGTCACATACACATGTCAAATACTATAGTATACTTCGCGCCTAAACACACTTGCGAAGACGAAAAATAATAAAAAAAAACCTAGGCGCATTTTCAACTTCGTCGCTCACGCCGGAGCAATAAAGTGAATCCGACTAGGTCTCCAAGGTAGTTGATCGGTGTGGAGAACGAAGCGAAAATTTGTTTGCTTATTTTAGAGTGGGAAGCCTGACCGGGTTGCTTACGAGGTTCACCTGGCCGTAGCTTTAATTCCGGGAGAGGAGTGTATTCATATATTAATGTTTGTCTAATGCATGAACAAGAGCGTACAAAAGATTTCAGGGGTCGGTTGTGCGAAGGCTACCCACCAGATTGTGATCTTTTCAACCGTTTTAAAAATGCTCGAAAAGCGATGAAATTTGATCTTTGGAACCAACAATTGGTAAAGAGGATCTTCGATTTAGAAATACTAAGATTTAATTAAAGTGATAGAAAACAACGGGCGATTTTAAAGTCGTTATGAAAATACACCGCTCAAATAAAGCTTCTAGCTACGGCCCTGTTGCTTAGTACTTGTCTAAATCAATGAGACATAATTCTGTCATAATGAATTAAGCATAAATTAGTGCTTGTAATAACCGAGACTTCATATCGCCTGCGAGTCTTCGATCACCGAAATAAATCGTCACTATTATAATGATAAATATCATGTTACGCATAAAATACCTTTAAAAATAGGCAAACACGGAACGTCCGCTGGGATCAACTTTCCAAAAACTTGCCTTGACATGCAGCAATACTCAGCAATACGGTTGAGAGCCTTTGAAGTTTAACTGCAAATTAACTTACTTTAAAATTCATGCAGCAAAAAGGATGTCATCTTGGAATTTATGCTTACGTAATATTGAACTTTTTGAAGACCTGTAAGTCGGATATATTTAAGTAAAAACATGTGTTTTTTAAAATCCTTTGCGTGATCGGTGAATGTGACGTAAGATGTGTAAGATAAATACCAAAATTAATTGGCATTAGAGTAAATTGGCATTTCAAGTTCGTAAATATATCATCTGTTATTTCAGAGTTAAACAAAGGTGTATTATTATATTTGCCTACTTTGTGTTGAATACAAAATCAGTGTGGCAATGGTCTAAAACCGAAATACGCGGAATTAGGAGCAAAGTTAAATTATTTTGTCATTTTGTGTTTCCAATATTCGACATTATAGATGCATGCGAAACTGAGAGGGAATATACGAATATTAGGCCAAATTTTCGTTGAACGTTTCAATGTTGTAAATATGTTTTGCCAGAAATACAAGCATCTGTAACACTATCAATGAAATTAAAACTCTAGTTTTCCTAACGTTCGATCAACACATTTTTGGACGCCAGCAGAACAATTGTTTGCGAAACAGGTAAATAATCTCTTGCAGAAGCAAGCTGTGATATTTGTAGCATAATATATCATTATGCGCATGTTCAGTATTATGAAGTCTCGGAAAGATATTCTTCATACAGACCTCGGAAAGATTTTCTTATATAGACTGTTGATTTTGCAACAAAATTACAATAATTACAAAAATCGCAGGTATAATGAGATTATAAGAAAATTATGAATTGACCGGTGGTTGTCCTTTTAAACGGTTGTATAAACTACCATGCAAAAGTTAACCTAAATTAAACCACCTTGTGTATGTAAACTGTTTGTCTCTTAATGTATGTTATTAGCTGGATTGACGGCAAATTTCACTGCTTTGTCGTTCTGCGAAAATTTCACTGCTGTGATATTCTGTGATTTTGCCACTCTTCGTTCGTGTCTTGTCAAGAGATAAACGGCAATGAGAACAAATATCGCACCGGCTATTATTCCAACGATCAAAACAACGACTATTGTCAAAGTAAAGTTTCTCGCATCTTTGCTTTTTGCTCCTGTATTGTCATCTTCAGATTTCTCATCACGATCTAAGAAAATTCGGCATGTATTTAATATAATAACACGCTAATTTGCAAAAACAGCCTGTAGTTCTGCAGTTCTATAGCCTGAGCTTTTTTTAGTCTCGTAGTGGTTGTAAAATTTTAAATTCGCCGATTTTTGCTTTTTAAGCCCACACGCATGAATGGAATGATCAGACTGAAAGTACAGCTACGCTTTTCGAAGAAAGTTATTTCTGGTCACTAGAACCACGGGAGAAAAGCATAACCTTAAACAACGTGCATGCGAAATATAATTGTCATAATTATCTCGGGAAACATTCAGACTCTTGGGAAAAAAAACTCACTATTTCCCTCGGGAGCATACATTAAATGTATCATTATGTAACAATAGGTTAATTATAAAGGTCGTATTTAATTTTCATTTATCCACCGTTTAAGCTGGGCTTAAACGGCCTGATATACAACCGTCCCCAGTGATGCATGCCTTTAAAGACCAAATACGAAAAATAAGTTTAATTTGTGGACTGCTAGGCATTCCATTTCTTCATTTCATCATTCACATATAGCCTACGTCATAGATCCGCCATAGCTATACTTCTCCTATTCATGCACGGCTGTCGGCGGTACCATGACAATCACATTATGATCACAACTCACCATTTATTTTAAAATGTATCCATTTACTTGAAATTCCTTTTGTTCCATTACCAAAGCCGAAAACTGATACACTATAATTTGCATCTGGTGAAAGATGCCTCAGAACCACAGAATAGGTTACACTTAAAGTGTCGATTTGGAAAGAATGTGTTGCGTTTCTCACATTTACTCTGTAACCAAAGATTTTATCGTATTTTTCCTCACGTTGTTGCACGAGAAACCACTGGATGCCAACTGAAGTTTTGGACAAGATAACAACCTGAATATTTTTTGGCGCAGGAATCAAATCTAAAAGCAGTTCAAATATAAAATATAAAAGTTTGCACATATATTGTTCTACCATACAATTTTACCGAATTGTGTCTTGAGACACATTGCACATGCGCCCTGAATCTTCCAGTCGAGTGTCGTAATAAAATCCACACTTTCACCTCATTCATAATTATCTGTATGCCGTAGGAATCATATTTGCTTTATTTTTGAATGACTTGTACAATAATTTTTTTATGTTTGGTCATATTTACCAAATAGTTACAAACTTGAAAATAATCGGTAAGAAAAAATGGCAATGGAGTTGCACAAGTGTTGAATATAAAAATTTTGGTTCTGGTATGTAAACTGATTATCATACCGACCGTCAAAAATGCCACCGGCCATCTATAGTTTGCAAATGCGATGATGAAAATGTAACGTAATCATACTAACGGCGATTCAACGAAAAATGCCATAAAGAAAAAGCCTAAAAACTAAAGGTCCCAGGTGCAATCTTGTAAATAAATTACTCATGTCGGAAATTAATATTCTAAAATTATTGATTTTTTTTATATTCATGTTAGGTTTGGCATTTAAATCCAGCGGAATCTAGTTGGTCTTCTTCAGTTAGCGAATGGATTAATTTCACCATAAAAGCAATACGCAACATACCTAATGATGAAAAGTTGTACAATACAGCATAACCATCACATACTGTGTGAACCCACGTATTGAAAGGATATAATTTGATTTTGGAGCTAAGTCAGGAAACACGACGTGGTTGGTATCATTTGCTGATATGAAACTTAATTTTCTTTTTCGGCTGGTTAGAATCAGCTTGTATCCCAGTAAAACGCCGTTTATTTTTGGTTTTGAAGAAATCTTTTCCCATCTAATCACTGCTTCTTTGGAGGTGATCTTTGCAAGGTGAATATTATTTGGCCTTGGAAGTCGATCTAAAATAAAAAATTCTAATCGTTTAGTAGGTCTAAAAAAGTAGGGAATTGAAAAAAGAGCAGTTTTCAGTGGGTGGATGATATAAATCACGGATACAGGAAGCGAACCAAATGCCTGTCGCGGCGTGAAAATACTAGCTAACTAATCATTATCAGTCTAGAATTTGCAAACCCGGGCAAATCTTCATTTGCTGACCTCTAGCCAAGGAGACAAATAGTTTGGGTGGAAATAAACTCCCCGAAAGCCAAATTATCATAAATATTAAGTAAAGGCCTATTCAAAGGTAAATATGTGATTGAACTTGAATAATTTTACTACATTTATACTATATTTTTAGCATTCAAATGTATTCCTATGCATGTATATAACGTGAATGTTTTTTGGGTTTCTGGCAAATATATTTCAAAACCTATGCTGGGGACACCTTGCCTATACCTTCGTCATATCTTTAAATTGAAAATAGAAAGCTGATTGGCTGTCGTTTAAAAAGAGCCAATCAGCTTTCTATTTTGAATTGAAAACTATGACGAAGGTATAGGCAAGGTGTCCCCAGCATAGGTTTTGAAATATATTTGCCAGAAACCATAAAAACATTCACGTTTTATACATGCATATAGGAATACATTTGAATGCTAAAATATAGCATAAATGTAGTAAAATTATTCAAGTTCAATGTGTTGTACTTTTTTTTTCTTATTCGCCATATTTTTACGAAATATTTGCGGTTTTGTGAAGGTGTTTGAGTCAACCGTCGTGCGTTTTTAGCTTATTTGGCGTGAGAGTTGCCAACCTTGTCATAATATAAGACTGTTCAGACAACATGAGCGTAGCGCGAGGTCAGTAAGATCAGTTCTCGGCCGCCTATGGTTTCACTAAAGAAAAGAAGCGTAGCGGAAACTACTGTGGTTCAAGTTGCTTAACGGGACGGACTAATTTGAACTGATTTGGAAGTTACGCTTTCTTACACAAGGCCGTGTATACTTGTAGTATAACCATATACAATTTTCATAGTATACCGTATAACAATATGAGGGTCAGTCGATTATGATTTTTGGCACTTCGCTCGATGCGGGTAAGTTCTAGAGGTTTTAAAGGGTCTTAATTTCGAGTGGAATAATACACACTTCAAATTCAAGCCAGGAACAGTTGAAGTAAAAATGAGTCAATTATCGGTCCTCCGGCAGGATGGACTATTCGCAGAAATCCAACAACTATACAACTATATGAGAACCTATATACAGGATGTATAACCGCAAAAATTTCAATCCAGATTTAATCCGCAAATTAATATTTTTTGTGGTTTGATACGATTTTTGTGGTTTGACACAAAGTAAATTTAGTTCTTTATGAACGAATCTTCCAGTTTTATGACCTAAATGTCCATTACTTCGAAATCACACAAACTGCTATTTACATGTGACTGAACAAAATTAACAAGTAAGCTAGACTAATGAAACTTACTTTCAACGCGAAAGCTCAATCGAGCGGCGTTACATGGCGCTTTACTTGCAGTAAGAACACACATGAATTTATCGTCTTTGGTAACCCCAGTGACTGTAACACTGCAGGAGAGAATTTTATAACGAAGTACTTTTTCAACTTCACATTTGTGTAGGTAATTATTGTTCTTAAGAAATTCCACCCTTGTCATATATCCTTGGTTTAGGGGGTTAATCTTGACCGAGCCGGTCCATGTTATAATGGTGTTTTTTGTCACATATGGGTAAGGTGTCGCTCTGTAAGATATGTTTGGTATCAGAGTTTCTTTAAAAGAGAAAAGAATAACCAATAATAACCAATGGCGTTGTTATTAAGGTAATACCGTATATTTAGTCTGTCAGCGTTCTTTTGATTGTGTAATTTTAACTGTTGGCCTTCATGGCGGCCTAATTTTTTTCTTCAAATATGGCGCCTAAGTTTCTTTTTATTTTAGTGTTAACCGTATGTAAGTGCCTGTCAAATCTTTGATCTTATTCACAGCCTCGTTCCCAGGCGCTTTAAATAGAATTAATATAGGAACACTACAGGCTTTTACATAGATCAGTGGCAAAGCTGAGCGAACGCGCAAGGAGTTTTAGGGAGGACGCGGAAAAGGAAGCATTTCTCCGTCGAGTCCTCCCCAAAATTCCTTGCGTGCTTGCTCTGCTTAGCTACTGATCTATGTAAAAGCCTGTAGTGTTCCTATATTTATTTTATTCAAAGCGCCTGGGAACGAGGCTGTCTTATCCGTGTAAAACATTGCCCGCGCGGATTTGGATTTTAATAGGGAGCATGAGCTCCCAACGACCTTGATGAATGTTCTGTCAAAAGTTACTGTCGGCAACAGAAATCAATTATAACTTTTAGAGCGCACCACAACGTTGTGCTATTGGACATTTAGTGGCTTTAATTTAGCGCCATTATACTAAGTTCGGTATCCTCTTTCTATGCTCGGTATGATTTATTTCCTTCTTCTTACCTAAATCATAAGTTGGTCGATTCTGCAAAAGGTCAATTATCAATGCTACGCTACTGTTTAGAAGAAGACTTGTTTTACGTATTTTCAATTCCCACTGAGCAGAACATCTGGACTGAGTTTCGCATAATCTATAGACTAGACGTCAATTGGTTTTGTTGGGAAGACGTTTTATTTCAAATATTAAATATTTATTTCGTTTGACGTTTTTGTCCCCATGCATCAAGGCGTCAGCAGCTGTTAATGGACCTTTGGAAAATGTTTATTGTTCAAGTAATCAGGGGCCGGTTGTGTGAAGGCTGGATAGCGCTATCCACTGCATGGATAGAGATTTTTTCAACCGTTATAAAATGCTTGAAAGGATTGCTTTAAAATTTCAGCTTTGGAACCAACAAATATTAATGAAGTCCTCGATTTAGGAATACTAAGATTTAATCAAAGTTACAGCAAACAACGGGCGATTTTAAACCACTATCCGGTGGATAGCGCTATCCGGCTTTCATACAACCGGTCCCAAGTATATAAGTTTGACTTACTAAAATGTTTTGACTTTATGGTAGCTAAGCATCTACCACTGAGATCTTTATAAAGCGTCCTAGCGAGCGGTAGTTGAATTGTTGCCACAAGGAAAAAGATGTGACCTAAGAAAATTAGAAATTAATATATTTTTAGTCGAAGAGTCTTCAAAACGTGTTTGAAAGACAGATTTTCATTTTCTGTAAAACCACGGTTGATTTTTGCAATTGCTTTCTCTGACAATATGCATCGTCAAAAAAATTAATTTCTAATAATAGGGAGTTATCATGCAGTCGTCATGTGTTTTCGCAGTATTTTCTGCTAAACGAAGATCCGTCTTTAGTGCAATCATTTTCTGTTAAAACTGCATGCATATAAATATGTGCGTTACTGCTCAAGTCAATACCTTGGTCAGTTGACGATTTATCATGATATAACAACAGAGTTGATGTTCGCGGGCATAAATGTGTTTTTGGCCCGACTCTAAACTCATTACTATTATTATTATATTAACTTTAAAGGGCAATTTTTGTATAAAAATTATGCAATGGGTAAAAACTTTAATCATTCTTCTGCTGATTGGCTTGGATCAGCGAGCTAAAATATTTTTCAGCCTGGCAAATTTATCATTTTAGCCCGCAAAAAACACCGCAATGCCTGTCAAAGTTAATATAGTCTACAACACTTTTGCATTCTTTCTCAGTTAATGCATGAACACCAAAGATTAGGCTGGCTACATTATTTCGACCCAGATTATGCGGTAAATATTCGCTGCATGCATGCGTTCATTTGTAAAATAGTATATTGAAATATTCTTACGATATATCATGATTATGTGTGAAATACCGTTGTTTAAATAAAAGCCATCCTACCATTGACTGCCCCATGCCATCGCAAAAATAATATATAATATTTCACAGAAGTATGCTCAAAAAGATGAAATTGAAGATTACGATTTGGATCGTAGGAATCAACACACTTACGCAAGTTCCAAATATAGTTTTCCATTAAAAATCCGATAAGTTCAACGATTAGGTTTAGTTTGTGTCGTACTTGTTTTGTTGTGTGCGTCACAATAATATATCAACATCCGTTTTCATTCAGGTGACCAGATTATCATTAAATTCTTTGACGTGCTTAATCCTAAAAATGAAGTTCAAAAAATAATTAAATGACACAGGAGTGTGTTATGGACACCCGTCTTATCCGTCTCTGATACAGGTGATTAAGAAAAAACAAGCACATTTACGTATTATAGAAACGCTATGGGATAAAAGGTCATCCATCTCTCAGAATTGTTACAATACTTCCGCAAGAGAATGACACCTCAATTTGAAAACAGCAACAACGGATCTCCAATAACGACAATGCAATTCTGGTACAACGATTCAAGTTTCCATTCAATGGGTTACAAAGACATTACCACTGACGTCGTATTATTTGAGTCTATATCGGCGTGACTAAGAGAGTTAGACGTTTAACAATACGAAATATCAAATTAAGTAAAATTTGTTTGCGATAACTGATTGACGTTATTGTATATCACAGGCACCAAATAAATAAACTTAAAAAGAAAACAACAAAACTCTTACATGAAGTACTGCGCTCTCTGGGCTAATATTTCAACTTCCGTTTTTTCAATGCTAAATTAACATAAATAAACTCTCTTTGTATTATCTGTTTTGTACGTGCTGAAGTGGTCATGCAAGGCCCACATTCCATATTGGCGACAATCATATATTACAATTATTCAGAGCCTAGCTCGATACATAGCTAGCGAAAAAATAATTTTTTAACCCATATTTCTCCAGCTTGTATGGAAACTGTACCAATCCAAATCGTATCAAAGGTTTGTGATAATAAAATTTGAATTTGGTTGATTTACATTCCAGTTTGAGAAATCTAATCAAGTTGAAAACACGTTAATCATAATTCGTGTTTGATGGAATGAAAGTCAAAATTGAGCAGAACTGCAATCATGCTGAACTAAAGACTGAATCATATAATCGTGTGAATATTTTTCGTTTTTGGGCCCGCTAAAATATCGAGTCAACAATAGTAATATAACCTCGCAAATTCCGGTTTCTATTCCTACGCCTAGCTGCCACATCCCCTTAAACCACTTTAATCCAACGGAAAATCCACTTTCACTTTCAGCTGGATTTCCACTTACAGAGATATAGTTAACTTGCTAGCGAAATATTTGCGTATTTTCTTTAGAATTTGAACAGAGTGAATAAATTAGTTCAATATGATTGTTCTTCTGTAAAAGAAAATGTACAAATATTTCACCAGCGAAATATTTTTCTGTACGTGAAAATCCACCCTTACCAGAACTTTTTTCGTCTGAGCTAATTCAGGTAAAAAAGAAAACCTATTAAATAATCCATCAGTTACTTCGGCATCTCTCAGAAGAAACTGCGAATGTGCGCGATGTTATATAGTGCACAGTCCGTAATGCATAAAAGCAATGCTTTGTTTTAACCTCCTATATTTATGTTTGCGTGCAAAAATTCGGAAAATGTGTAATATCAGGTAATTCGCTAATCGAATTGTATCAACGAACAGATGCGGAAAAGCCGCCTATCTAGCATAGATTTACTCATTTACACTGTAAATCATTCTGAACTTCAACAAACAACTTAGTCTCATTTGACAGCACGGGTATTGTCAGACCATCGTCTCCGCCGGCGTCTGGCACGAGCTTCAATTGCATATAATTACAGGATAAATCCTTCTTAAAAGGCCCCTTTTGACTTAAAGATATCTCTCTGTTTAGAACCATGCATTTGTGTTTGTGAAGTGCAATAGTTAAGGCGAATTAATAATATTTACAAATATTACAATTTTACCAAAATCTCAGTTTTATTTGCCCTCCTTTTCAACACATGCATAAATTTGGTGAAAATTTTACTTTCAAAATTTGAAAATAGAAATGTGTTAAGAAGTGGCCACGCCATTCGAATAGACACGAAAATTGTGGGCTTAGTAGCATCGTCTCTATATTAATAATTATGAAATCGACAGAAAGAGCGTTGCCAAAATTTCTGAACTAAGAGGGACTCTTTAAATATGATACCACATGCAGGCCAAATGTTTTAGAAGAATGGAGAATAGTTGAACTTTGTTTTCCGCTGTGCTTTTTATGCTGTTTTTATGACGAGTACGTGAACATGCTGTTTTTATGACGATTACGTGAAGGAATGTTATATAAATCATAAAGCTCGCTGAAGGTTAAAGCCGGTTTTCCACTAGCGATATTTTTCTGGCGAAGCAACTTTACTCCTTTGTATTTGAGCATACTTTACTCCTTTGCAATTGAGAGCTCTGAAACAAAAGTAAAATGTCGCTGCGCGCGAAAAATATGCTAGTAGAAAACCGGCTTAAGACGCCAACGATGAAGAGTTTTGACCCTAGCATCCGCCCTCTCAACTTGATCCAGCCCAGCAACCCTGTATTCAAATAATATATTGGCTCTTGTCCATAGGAAATGTTTGGCGAAAATTAAACATGCATATCAGCAGAAAGTGTCACAGTAAACAATCTCGTTAGTGAAGTCGCTATAAAACGAGTCATATATTCATACCTTTTTCGAATTTTGATAAATACTCCGCTGTTAATACGACAAAGCTTCTTGTTATTTAGGGCTACTAACCAGGAAGTTTATAGTATATACTTGGCCACCGGATCACATTACTTGCAAAGTTATGTGTGTTGTGTTAAAGTGAAAAAACTTCCCCAAAGTACAATCTTTTAACGTCTTCTAACTTAGGAACACAAAGTACTAAATTAGGGACATACGAGAATTGTGACTCAATTGTAGCCTATAACAAGACATCTGTTCTGGCGTTAACTCCGGCGTGCCTATATCACGTGAGCCTTTAATACAAAGCTTTGGAACATAAACAATACAGTTCATACTCATTTATATGCCTTGCGAACCTAAATGTTGTTCGATCTCGAAATTCAGAAGCACATCGTACTTTAAATATATATATGCTATATTATAACCTTAAAATTGAACTTAATCAAACAGCATCAAAAGAACGGTTTATTTCTTCCTCTTGGAGGAATTGCCGTATCATGCGAGCGAAATCAACTCGCGCATCGGAAAATTAGCCAAAGCTATTCAACACAACTCTGGTAGGTGTGTTTATATCACTATGCAAACGTACAAGAATATTGTTACGTAAAAATTTATGTTGTATTGTACATATTACACTATGCATGCGTTTCAGTTTGAAAAACAAGCATCACAAGTCGTAACGCGTAAATAGCAATGCGAAAATAACAAATATACCATATTCTTCCTATGGCTATTTTACTCTTTCTAGTGAATTCAAAACAACATTGTAACATGCAACTGTTTGCAGAACCGGTGAGCTGCCTGCGTTATTCACATGCAACTGTCAATTCACTTATGATAGTTTCGAACAATAAGGCATAAAATATATTACCCTCGACTTCACCCTCGACATTGCCGATTGTATAATTCGATAAAAATCGACCCTCGACTTTACCCTCGACTTTACCCTCGACCTCACTCTCGACCCTCGACTTGCTACCCTCGACCCTCGACCCTTGACCAAAACCCAAACTCAGGCCCCCTTTACACGAGCCCGGGCTGGCTGCCAACCCGGGTTGGTGAGCCAACCCGTCAACCCGTCTGCGAATAAATTACTAGTTGCGTTTACACGATAGCCGGGTTGCGGCTTCACACTTCGCCAACCCGGGTAACCCTTCTCGAGACCCGGGTTGACCCGGGTTGGCTTGGTGTAAAGGTGTGAAAATTGTGCTAAATTCCTCATGTAAACACGGTTGGCTTGAGCCGGGTTCGTATAAACTGCGGCATATGGACTTTGGAAGCAAATATTCTGTCACACACGCATATCATATTGCATTGAGCGCGCGTAACTTCTCTCCGCTATAGTATGGCAAGCAAAAGTAAAACCGCTCGAACGGACAAAAATGTCTCAAAAAAGCGCAACAGTTTCAGTGGTCGCCCAAATAGTCGAACATTTGATATTGTGTTTAAAACAGTCGACTTAAACTCGGATGTTGTTGTAGATAATATACAACAGCATCACACCGTGCATTTGAATAGCTGCTAAAAACAAAAGCAAAACTGCAGAGTTAGAAACAATAACTTTCCTTCGTTTATCGCCAGTGTTGTTGCCATTTGTTGTCCGCCAATTTACACTCTGCTTCAGGCTATCACTCGGAAATATTCCCTAGCCAGCCCGGGTTGGGAATTGCTGACCCGGGTTGGCGAGAATGGTCTTCAACCCGGGTCCGTGTAAACACGATAAAAAATATAATCACCTGTGGCGCACCAACCCGGGTTGAAAATCAGCCTGGGCTCGTGTAAATGGGGCCTCAGTTGTTATCAACACTGAACAATATTGTTGACACTGAATCGGGTGTAACAATATTGTTCAATGTTGATAACAACTCTGAACAATGTGGGCAGCACAACATTGCTCCATCCTGTTTATATCAACTTGCATCAACCTGAGCGTTTTTAGGCGTGTAGACATTAGACAAAACTGTGACGTAGGTAAAAACGGTCACATACACATGTCAAATACTATAGTATATTTCGCGCCTAAACACACTTGCGACCACGAAAAATAATAAAAAACCTAGGCAAATTTTCAACTCCGTCGCTCACGCCGGAGTAATAAAGTGAATCACTAGGTCTCCTAGGTACTTTATCGGTGTGGAGAACGAAGCGAAAATTTGTTTGCATATTTTAGAGTGGGAAGCCTGACCGGGTTGCTTACGAGGTTCACCTGGGCCGTAGCTAGACCGCTTTAATTCGGGGAGGGGAGTGTATTCATATATTAATGTTTGTCTAACGCATGAACAATAGCGTACAAAATATTTCAGGGGTCGGTTGTGCGAAGGCTGCTGGATATAGCGCTATCCACCGGATTGATCTTTGGAACCAACGATTGTTAAAGAGGATCCTCGATTTAGAAATACTAAGATTTAATTAGAGTTATAGAAAACAACGGCCGATTTTAAAGTCGTTATGAAAATACACCGCCCTAGTAGTTGTCTAAATCAATGAGACATGATTCTGTCATAATGAATTAAGCATAAATTAATGCTTGTCATAACCCAGACTTCTTATTTTTCACATCGCCAGCGAGGCTTCGATCACCGAAATAAATCGTCACTATTATAATGATAAATATCATGTTACGCATAAAATACCTTTAAAAATAGGCAAAAACGGAACGTCCGCTGGATCAACTTTCCAAAAACTTTCCTTGACATGCAGCAATACTCAGCAATACGGTTGAGAGCCTTTGAAGTTTAACTGCAAATTAACTTACTTTAAAATTCATGCAGCAAAAAGGATGTCATCTTGGAATTTATGCTTACGTAATATTGAACTAATATTGACCTGTAAGTCAGATATATTTAAGTAAAAACATGTGTTTTTAAAATCCTTTGCGTGATCGGTGAATGTGACGTAAGATGTGTAAGATAAATACTAAACATTAATTGGCATAAGAATAATTGACGATATGTTTCAAGTTCGTAAATATGTCATCTGTTATTTCGGGGTTAAACAAAGGTATATTACTATATTTGCCTACTTTGTATTGAATACAAATGTGGCAATGGTTTAAAAGCGAAATACGCGCAATTAGTGGCAAAGTTAAATTATTTTGTCATTTTGTGTTTCCAATATTCGACATTATAGATGCATACGAAAAGAGGGATATTAGGCCAATATTTTCGTTTAACGTTTCAATGTTGTAAATATGTTTTGCCAGAAATGCCGCAAGCATCTGTAACACCATCAATCAAATTAAAACTCTAGTTTTCCTAACGTTTGATCAACACATGTTTGGATGACAGCAGAACAATTGTTTGCGAAATAAGTAAATAATCTCTTGCAGAAGCAAGCTGTGATATTTGTAGCATAATATCATTATGCGCGTGTTCAGTATTATGAAGTCTCGGAAAGATATTCTTCATACAGACCTCGGAAAGATTTTCTTATATAGACTGTTGATTTTGCAACAAAATGACAATAATTACAAAAATCGCAGGTATTATGAGATTATAAGAAATTATGAATCGACCGGTGGTTGTCCTTTTAAAGTTGTATAAACTACCATGCAAAAGTTGACCTGAAATTAAACCACCTTGTGTATGTAAACTTTTTGTCTCTTAATGTATGTTATTAGCTGGATTGACGGCAAATTTCACTGCTTTGTCGTTCTGCGAAATTTCACTGCTGTGATATTCTGTGATTTTGCCACTCTTCGTTCGTGTCTTGTCAAGAGATAAGCGGCAATGAGAACAAATATCGCACCGGCTATTATTCCAACGATCAAACAATGACTATTGTCAAAGTAAAGTTTCTCGCATCTTTGCTTTTTGCTCCTGTATTGTCACCTTCAGATTTCTCATCACGATCTAAAAAGAAAATTCGGCATGTATTTAATATAATAACACGCTAATTTGCAAAACAGCCTGTAGTTCTGCAGTTCTATAGCCTGAGCTTTTTTTAGTCTCGTAGTGGTTGTAAAATTTTAAATTCGGCGATTTTTGCTTTTTAAGCCCACACGCATGAATGGAATGATCAGACTGAAAGTATAGCTACGCTTTTCGAAGAAAGTTATTTCTAGTCACTAGAACCACGGGAGAAAAGCATAACCTTAAACAACGTGCATGCGAAATATAATTGTCATAATTGTCTCGGGAAACATTCAAACTCTTGGGAAAAAAACTCACTATTTCCCTCGGGAGCATACATTAAATGTATCATTATGTAACAATAGGTTAATTATAAAGGTCGTATTTTTTGATTTATCCACCGTTTAAGCTAAATGGGCCTGATATACAACCGTCCCCAGTGATGCATGCCTTTAAAGACCAAATACGAAAAATAAGTTTAGGTTGCGGACTGCTAGGCATTCCATTTCTTCATTTCATCATTCACATATAGCCTACGTCATAGATCCGCCATAGCTATACTTCTCCTATTCATGCACGACTGTCGGCGGTACTATGACAATCACATTATGATCACAACTCACCATTTATTTTAAAATGTATCCATTTACTTGAAATTCCTTTTGTTCCATTACCAAAGCCGAAAACTGATACACTATTTGCATCGGGTGAAAGACGCCTGAGAACCACAGAATAGGTTACACTTAAAGTGTCGATTTGGAAAGAATGTGTTGCGTTTCTCACATTTACTCTGTAACCAAAGATTTATCGTATTTTTCCTCACGTTGTTGCACGAGAAACCACTGGATGCCAACTGAAGTTTTGGACAAGATAAGAACCTGAACATTTTTTGGCGCAGGAATCATATCTAAAAGCAGTTCAAACATTATAAAAGTTTGCACACATATTGTTATACCATACAATTTTACCGAATTGTGTCTTGAGACACATTGCACATGACATGTGCCTTGAATCTTCCAGTCGAGTGTCGTAATAAATCCACACTTTCACCTTATTCATAATTATCTGTATGCTGTACGAATCATATTTGCTTTATTTTTGAATGACTTGTAAAAGAATTTTTTTTATGTTTGGTCATATTTAGCAAATAGTTACAACTTGAAAATAATCGGTAGAAAAAATGGCAATGGAGTTGCATAAGTGTTGAATATAAAAACTTTGGTTCTGGTACTTAAATGATTATCATACCGACCGTCAAAAATGCCACCGGCCATCTTCAGTTTGAAAATGCGATGATAAAATGATGACGTAATGATTCTGACGGCAATTCAACGAAAAATGCCATATAGAAAAAGCCTAGAAAACTAAAGGTCCCAGGTGCAATCTTGTAAATAAATTATTCATGTTGGAAATTAATATTCTAGATTTATTGAATTTTTTTAATATTCAGGTTAGGTTTGGCATTTAAATCCAGCGGAATCTAGTTGGTCTTCTTCAGTTAGCAAATGAATTAATTTCCCCATAAAAACAATACGCAACATACCTAATGTTGAAAAGTTGTACAATACAGCATAACCATCACTATACTGTGAACCCATGTATTGAAAGGTATGATTTGATTTTAGAGCTAAGTCAGAAAACACGACGTGATTGGTATCATTTGCTGATATGAAACTTAGTTTTCTTTTTCGGCTGGTTAGAATCAACTTGTATCCCAGTAAAACACCGTTTATTTTTGGTTTTGAAGAAATCTTTTCCCATCTAATTACTGCTTCTTTGGAGGTTATCTTTGCAAGGTGAATATTATTTGGCCTTGGAAGTCGATCTAAATAAAGAATTCTAATCGTTTAGTAGGTCTAAAAAGTAGGGAATTGATTAAAAAGAGCAGTTTTCAGTGGGTGGATGATAAATCACGGATACAGGAAGCGAGCCAATGCCTGTCGCGCCGTAAAATACTAGCTAACTAATCATTATCAGTCTAAAATTTGCAAACCCGGGCAAATCTTCAATTGCTGACCTCTAGCCAAGGAGACAAATAGTTTGGGTGGAAATAAACTCCCCGAAAGCAAATTATCATAAATATTAAGTAAAGGCCTAAGGTAAATATGTGATTTGCATTTGAATCGTCAGTGAAGAATTTACCTCTAGAGTTGGATAATAACTCACTATTTCTATTTCACACTTTCTACCAACCACTTATACGACATACCTAGTGACACAAGTTGTAGAACAGCGTACATCCATCACCATATTTTGTAAAACCACGTACGAGGGGTATAATTTGATTTTGGATTTAAGTCCGTCAACACAACGTAATTAGTATCGTTTGCTAAAGTGATGTTCTCTTCACTTTTCATTCCAAATAGCGTCAATTTGTATCCCAACAAACACCATAGATTGTTGCGTTCGCAGAAATCTTTTCCCATCTAAGCACTGCTTCTTTCGGAGTGATCTTCTCAAGATAAATGTTCTTTGGCTTGGGAAGTCTATCTAAATGACAAAATATACACCAATATATATATATTGGTGTATATTTTTGTATCGTAACATAATATAACCGTATAAGAATAATTCAATGGTATAACCGCAAAATTTCAATCCAGATTTGTTGCGCAAATATAATTTTTTGTGTATAACAAAGTAAATTTAGTTATTAACAAATTTTCCAGTTTTCTGACCTAAATGTCCATTATTTCAAACATGACACAAATTGCTACTTACAAGTGACTGAACAAAATTAACAAACAAGCTAGACTAATGAAACTTACTTTCAATGCGAAAGCTCAATCGAGCTGCGTTACATGGCGCTTTACTTGCGTAAGAAGACACATGAATTATCGTCTTGGTAACCCCAGTGACTGTAACACTGCAGGAGAGTGTTTTAACGAGAACTTCTCCAACTTCACATTTGTGTAGGTCTTATTGTTCTTACGAAATTTCACCCTTGTCATATATCCTTGGTTTGGGGAGTTAATCTTGACCGAGCCGGTACATTCCAATGTTATATTGGTGTCTTTTGTCACATATGGGTAAGGTGTCGCTCTGTATGATATGTTTGGTATCAGAGTTTCTTTAAAAAAGAAAAGAATAACCAATAATATAACCAATAATAAGGTTCGGTTGTAGAGACCATTTAAAAGAAAAAGAGAAGAATATTGCTCTTTATTAATTGGTGTTGTTAGTGGAGATCTTGTTAGTGAGATACGTCTTTCCCATTAGAGGTATTGTTAGCAATGGCTGCAATATTTTTGCGGATTTTTGTTAAATTCTCCTCTTTTTTAACCAAACTGCTTTAAGATTCGATCAATTGAATAACATCACTGGGAGATAAAAAAACGATAAAAGTCAGAACTGGGAGGAAAACTAGGTTGTGTATAGGGTAATAATGCCAAAATAAATAATTCGGTATTTTATGTCATAAAGCTTGTAATTTTGACTACAAATTAAAAATATAATTATATATATATATATATATATATATATATATATATATATATATATATATATATATATATATATATATATATATATATATATATATGTATATATGTGTGTGTGTGTGTGTGTGTGTGTGTACAACACTTTTGTATGCAAATATCTCGTGAAAATATCAAATATATTCACGGGTTACTTTCGAATTTATTACGCTTATATTAACGTAACATTACTAACAGTAATTTTTCATATCCCAGTCAACCTCAATCGATATTAATATAAACGATACTACATTGTGGGTTAACGGACTAAAAGCTTTGCAGTATTAGATACTTACGTGGTGTACCTACAAGCTAAATTACTTATCGACTGTCACCATGCAAACAATTACATACAAGAATTATCGATACTAATATTGTTCACAGTTCAAGTAACCTGCTGCACACTACAAAGCCTTCCAAAATGTAACTTACTAAAATGTTCGGATCCTATTGGTCTCAAACATAGGCTGCTGAGGTCTTCGTAAAGCGTCATAGCGGGTTGTAGCTGAATTGTTACAACCAGGAGGATAATGCGGCCTAAAAGAAAAGAGTTTAAACAAAAATTTTATTTCGCAATCCGCGCGATCGATCTGCGATTGCTTTGCGCGGAAATATCCCGAATTCGGACACAACATGGAATATTTAAAGAAAGCGATGACAATTCACAATAATCATGCAATCGCGCGACATTAGCCTTTACATAAACGGTCTAAATGTAGTTACAAATGTATATTCTTTTTCAATATTGTCATTCATATAATAATTATATATATAATAATTATATGCATAAATTATAATATTTCTTCAATTATTTTCAATAAGTAAATTAGCTTGTAAGTACACCACGTAAGTATTAAATACTGCGAACTAAAAATACTTTAAAATACTTTAAAACTTTTACACAGCTACAACTTACGTGGTGTGCCTACCAGCTAATTTACTTATTGATGTCACCATGCAAACATACAAGAATATTATTTTTTAAAACGGATGATCAGGAATTCTATGCACTGGAATTTAGAGCACTTACACAAGTTCCAAACAATGTTTCCCATTTCGATTTCCGTTTGATTAAGTTTGGATCACGCTAATCAGTTGTGATAAACCTGTTGGATCTACAAAATGCACAATAAAGCGCTTTGGAGGTTTCAACAGGAGTAGCAAGAGAGAAAAGGGTTCTATTTAGCTCCATTAGAAATTAGAAAAAATATGTGGCAAGCACGACCAGAATTAAACATGCATGATGACACGACAAATAACTTCTCCTGGTCAAACAAAATAATCTCTAAACCAAAAGTACGGTAGACTAAACAGTAGCTATTAGCCGAAATTATACTAGGGACATGCAGGAAACTCAATTTGACGGGAAAGTTGATTGTATTTAATTAGATACCCGTTTGAATCTGAATACAGAAATGGATAAATTTATAACGTATGGTATATAGGTCGGTTAATGCTAAAAAAGGTATCGTAATTATTTGCCAACGATAATGATCTGTAGGCTATCTTCAAGCAAAACTGGCTATTGTTGGGGTAAATTCTTGCATTATTGTCATCATTAGTTGTACAAAGTGTTGTGTACACGATTCTGTAGTGTTTCGATGCCTCGATTAATATAGTGTCCATAGTTTGCTCTGTCAATGATCTTGAGGTTGTTAAGATTAGTAATGTATGGGCCTGCAATATATGTTCTTTGATGTGAAATTTTTCACTCATTCTTTTTTCTTATGAGGAATTCTAGCTCACCCAATTTCTGCAGTGAGTAGCTTAAATTTGGCTAGTTTTAATATAAAATGGATTTTTAAGTTGTCTTTCGATAAAGGGAGAGGTTACGTAGCGGTTTAGTTACGAGTTACGACGCGAATCGCACGAGGGTTCGTGAAAACGCGTTTGCCAGAACATTTGATATCAATATTGTAGACTGTAGAGCTACATACAATTAATATATGACGAACAAAACACGGAAATTGTATAAAATTCTTAAATAAAAAAGTAACACTTGACTTTCTGCTGAGGGTAATAATTATGCATCATGCAGGTATTTTGAGTATTTCACCAATGCAGGCATTTATAAAGAGCTTTAGATTGCCGTTTACGACAAGCCCTGTTTCATATATGAACGTCGTCGTATAAATTACAAATTTAACGATTATTTGCAGTCATTTACATACAGAGTTGTTTCCCTCCTCAAGCTCAGTTCACATGAAATTTGATGAAAATTAATTAAACCTTCTCTGAGAAACGACATCTTCAAAAAACATGTAAGCTAAATGTTGCTTTTCAAAGCAATTTTATTTCATATTTTAATTAACGATTTGAATATGAAATAATTTGTCTTGAAAATGTTAAACAGACGCTTAATTTGAAATGTCGTATATTATATAAAACAATATTATCATAAGATAATTTAAGCTGATAATCGGATTAATTAATCTGAAGCCTGCTAATGTTCAAAGTCAACAAGTATAAATGGGTTGAATATTCCACTGAAACGCCAGCACAGAATACAACTAGCAATATTTGTAACTGGCATAAGACAAATATAGTCAACCTGCATTTGTTTCCAGTTATTTCGAATTCTTCACAATTTTATACAACTAATCGTCCTTATACCCATGCAGGAACTACTTAATTATGTTATTTAAATTTTTAAGGGAAGCGGTTATCGAACTTCCACGAAAATTTTTGGATATTTGTATATATACTATGCCTATGGTATGATAAAACATATATGGAGTATGACAAAGCAGCATTTCCGTAAGTCCGTATCTTATTTAAAGAAAATGAGTGCTTACGTCAAAATTCTTCACTTTGAATCATCAATTGAAAACGCTCCAACAATGCAGGTTCTCTTGTATTGAATCAGTGTTAACACCGCACGCCCCCTGAGATAATCATATTTCATTGTACAGGTTGTCTCAAACGAAAACTATTGAAGTCATGCACTCATTGTGAAAATTTGAATGCCGTGTTCACGAATTTCATGAGCCCGTGGAGATTTAATGCAACTTATAAAATGCGAATACGAAAAAGTTGAAGTTGTGAAAATGATTAAATTTAAATTATAGCCTTGTTGTTGCTTCGAAAGAAAATGGTACAGCTGACCGCGGAACAACGAGTGCTTATCTTGTGATATCATATCAACAGAGTGCTTAGGCATTCAAACTCTAACAATTACATTGTTATGGGTGATTTCAATATTTTTCATTTTTTTGAGACACCCTGTAGCCTATATTAATCACGTTAAAATCCCTACGAAATTATAATCCGTGAATGTTCACAATGCGAATATATTTCTTCACGGCGGAATATTATTTAACTTCCATGTTTATACTTACTTTGTACAAATACTTTTGTAGAATGGATAAATAATCTGTTGTTGATAATGAACTTCGTACTCTCTGTTGTTCAAAACCAGTCATAAAGAGAGGTTTTTGTCTTCCGCTTTACTTCAACTTTTACACCGGATGTTGTAAAATAATATTGTCATAACAAGCACCCACGCAGCATACTGATATAAGCAGCATTCTCTCATCTAACGAAATTTCTTTAGAAAAGTTTGACTCTATCGAGGGAAGGTTGGAATAGTTAATATATTCTTTTCAAAAGTTCTTTGTCTCAGGTTATTGAAAACAAACTCCCTAACAGCTGAAGGTATGCATATTTAAATTGTGACAGCACAGGATGTAAGTGTATATTAAGTGCTATTCAGTAAAAAAAATTTACTTGTCAAGATCATCTGCAAGGTAGAACTTCCTGCCTGGCAAATATCAAAAACAGCAGGTAGTGCGAGGCAGCTGGTGTGCGTTTGGCTTTAATACAACCGTCCTCGTGCGACAATAAATTCAGTCAGAGTCTTCAAACAGGGGCGTTGGAAGCTTTCAAAGATTGGGGGGACACCAGCTTCCTGGGGCACTTTTGGTAAATAAAAGTGCGGCTAAAAACATACATATATATAATATATATATGACAAAGCTGCAAGGACACCACTATAGTGTAGTTTACATTTATGCTCTATCAAAATGATTTGGGCACGTGTAAGTATGCTAACGTAGGAAACAAAAAAGGCACCTTCGATTTTAAAATAGTATTTACAGCTACATAGCTTCTCCAAAAAGGCATATTTTGTCTACACTCATACAACAAGAAACATAAATCAGGAGAGTTTATTTGAGATTCTGCCAGTTGCTTGCGGTAAAATAATGTAGTGTCACGTTGAGAATGCAATATTTGTGATGATTTCTGCCAATATCTATATATTCCAATGGATATAGTTCAGGTATTGGATTTAGTTGAAATTCATGTTTTCATGTTTTTCCACTATGGCGCTATTTTTATATTATATCGATTTACAACAAATGCTTGTTTTGGCACAACTATATATATTTCGGTAAATTAAAAAACCACTGACAACATTTTTGGTGGCGAAGCTGATTTCTTTTTGTGAAATTTAGGCTTTTTTGGAGCATGGGAAAACAATGAGATATAACGACTTGTAAAATTATTTTACCATAAATTTTATTAGTGACGTAAAAATTGACTATTCGTAAAACATCCGACACAGTGGCTACTCAAAAGTTGTCGCCTAAAACAAAACTCCGACAATCAAAACAACGATGATTGTTAAAGTAAAGTTCCTTCCGTCTGTGTTAGTTCCTCCTTTATTACTAACTCCAGATGGCCCCTCACGATCTAAGAAAAGAAATTGTTATCAGTAATATTACGTTAAATAATATACCACAAACACATCCCACGACGATGAATATGGCTAGATTTATTGAGACTTTATTCTTCAAAGGGTCTGTTGATTAAAAAAAAATGCTTTTCATGTTGTTATAATTTTTTATACCGAGTTGAAGAAAATGTCGTCGTGCGAAAGGCTAATTGTACGTTGTTGAGATGTTAAGCAACGTGATATAGCAGCAGCGGTGTCTCCGCAACAAATAACCTGATTCGATTCTAAAGGCTCGTTTGCGCTTGCAATTTTTGCAGCGATTTTATGTGCGAATTTCTTCTTTTAATATATGAGAACGAGTGAATTAGTTACTGATGTTGAAATAAGGGCTCTTATACATTACTACTCATTTATATCTATCAAAAGAGGTCGCCCGTTTACACTTGCGAATTTTGCTGCTATTTTACGTGCGATTTTCTTCTTTCAATAGATGTGAACGAGTTATACGTTGCGAATGCTCTGATGTAGTTTTAAGAGCTCTTATTTGAACATTAGTAACTAATTCACTCGTTCACCTCTGCATGAAACGTCAGTGAAAAAAAATGATGTAAAATCTTAACGAGACTTATGGGATAAGTGTAATTTGCAGTACATATATTCATGCAAATATACCGTAGGAACAACAGCGTACAAAAAAAAAGAAATCGGTCAGGTATAAGACGAATATATGAATTCCAACAATTCGCCAACCGTCCGCGATGTATTGTGGCCGATGACGAAGAAAATTAATTGGAAAGAACAAAACACTTCATTCATCAGTGATCACCGACAATAGCCATCGCCGACCGTCGGTGACAAACGAGAACCAGGCCTTACAATAGTGTTATGATCACAACTCACCATTTATTTTAAAATGTATCCATTTGCTTGAAATTCCTTTTGTTCCATTACCAAAGCCGAAAACTGATACACTGTAATTTGCTTCGGGTAAAAGATGATTGAGAGCAACCGAATACGTGACACTTAAAGTGTCGACCTTGAAAGAATGTATTGCATTTCTCACAATAACTCTATAGCCAATAATTTCATCGTTTTTCTTTGTGTTGCTGAATGAGAGTCCATTGAACCCCAGCTGAATTTTTGGACAAGATAACAATCTGCACGTTCTTCGGTGCAGGAATTACATCTAAAACAATTCAAGCAATATTGTATAAAATCTTCGTGCATTACGCTAAATCTACTCACGCGATTGGTCAAAATCAATCACGTGGTTTCTTGTTGCCTGGCGACAGATCATGGGAGTAATCATTTTTTCGCAAACCCATGAAAATCATGGTTATTAAAAAATGACAGACTGCAACGAAGCTTGGATCTTCAATGCAGCAATCAATAAACTCAGACTGTATATTAAAAGTGTTAGAGACTTTATGTTCGTATTTTGTTTACAGATAAACGCACTTTCTGAGCATACACCTCGTGCAATATTGAAATTTCTCGTTTATTGTATGGTCAGCGCTTGCGTTTATTTGTGAACAAACCACTCACAACAGTCTCTAACCCTTAATTACACAAATATAGCGATGATTCGGTGGGTGTCAATCTATGCCAAAAATTGATAGGTCCGAATTGAGAGCAAAACCTGAATTCCTTGCATGTGTAAGCTATCAGAATGATTTAAAAAAACCTGATCTCTTGATATTGAGACACTCGGGGTTGAAGAACCGGCCGGTAGCGAGCGAATGAAGCTACTTTAACAGTATTTGGAGGGAAAGGAAATATCATGTGTATTCAATTAAGTTCATTTAACTTCATTTAACTACCACCAATTAAGTTCATTTAACAGATTTTAAATTTCTACAGTTATGTAACGACTTGGTGTAGCTATGTTACTACACACAACATACCTAATGATGAAAAGTTGAAAAGCTCAATATATCCATCATACTGTGTGAATCCTCGTATTGAGAGGGTATAATTAGATCTTGGGGTTAGGTCATGCAACACTACGTGATTAGTGTGGTTTGCCAGAGTGAAATCTATTTCCCTTGTCTTGCCAATAAGCGTCAATTTATACCCCAGCAAAACGCCATGAATTTTTTGGTTTGCTGAAATCCTTTCCCATTTAACCACTGCTCTTTTGGAAGTAATCTTTGCAAGGTAGACATGACTTGGCCTGGGAAGTTTATCTAAGATGGAAAAATAATGCATCGTAGCTCCTTCAAAAGGGTCTCTCAATATCTTGGTGTCGAAATGATGTCAATTCACCCCACCAAAAAAACATTAAGATGCGATTAGATCAACATTGAGTGCGATTACACGTTATACGCATTTTATGATACTATTTATGCAAACGAAAACAGCTAGGAATATTATTATGCCAAAAAATACTTATCCAATCACAAAATTTGTTTTATATACCACATGACCACCGTGTCCTGAATAGCTCGCACCCGAGGTATTTTCCCTGAGGCATGGTATTCACTCAATAGAGCGGGGTTCTTATGAGGTCGGTATACTATTCTACAGGGTGTATCAAAAAAAATGTCCCAAATGTAAAATTTTCGTTTTTCAGGATATTTTGCAGAATTTGGCAAATTTTTGTGTTCCTAGAGATAGTTAAGACTTATCTGGTATACCTAGGCCAAGTTTGGTTTTTCATTAACAAAATTATGTTACCGGGGGTGGTTCCTTTCCACTGATATTGAGAGGGCTTGCGCGCGAAAATGTGAAGCTGAAATTGAGATATTATTTAGCTGTCTAAAAGTAGGAAAGCTTTTTAATAAACTGTCAAAGTTTCAGGAAAAATAATGCATACTGGGAGCAACGCGCGACCCCTAAAGGTGACAAATATTTCATTGCGCGAAGTGGATTAAATGCATCGTTGATTTTCGCGTGACCGATCTCATGCAAGGCTGTGCAAATGAATAAATTAAAGCGAGAAACTGAACAAAAAGACGAAGCGATTTAATAACAAGATTTTTATTCGTGATGTTAATCCTCAACATTTTCACCATTTCTTTCTAAGCAAACTGCAGCTCGTCTGAGCATGGTAAACACTGAACGGCGAACCATTTGTCTGCCCTGCCTCAAATTATCCATTTCGTTTGAAATTCTTTCTTGCAAATCGCCTACGCTACCACCGGCAAATCTAGGCGAATGGACAGACAAATGGTTCGCTGTTCAGTGTTTACTATGCTCAGACGAGCCGCAGTTTGCTTAGAATGAAATGGTGGACATGCTGAGGATTAATTAACATCACGAATAAATCGCTTTGTTTTTGTGTTCAGTTTCTCGCTTTAATTTATTCATTTGCACAGCCTTGGATGAGATCGGTCACGCGAAAATCAACGTTGCATTTAATCCACTTCGCGCAATGAAATATTTGTCACCTTTAGGGGTCGCGCGTTGCTCCCAGTATGCATTATTTTTCCTGAAACTTTGACAGTTTATTAAAGCTTTCCTACTTTTAGACAGCTAAATAATATCTCAATTTCAGCTTCACATTTTCGCGCGCAAGCCCTCTCAATATCAGTGGAAAGGAACCACCCCCCGGTAACATAATTTTGTTAATGAAAAACCAAACTTGGCCTAGGTATACCAGATAAGTCTTAACTATCCCTAGGAACACAAAAATTTGCCAAATTCTGCAAAATATCCTGAAAAACGAAAATTTTACATTTGGGACATACACATTTTGATACACCCTGTAGTTATAGATCTTGAACTCCGGGTATCCGCCCATGCAATGAAACTTCTCTCATGGTAATTTCGTGGGCGGATACCCCCTCTTTTAAGGTCTTAAAACTAATAATAGATTGCTTCAATTCGAGCATCCCGACTGAATCAGAATTAAGAAAGGGCCGACTTCATTTCAACACTGTTTGCATGAGTAAGGTTGGTGTGGTGATGCAAAACAGGGAAGCTTTGTTAAAATTATCTTGGAAAGCAGCCCTCTGCATGCAACGCACGCACATTGTTAACAGAACGAATTTTACCCAAATGGCCACTTATACATAACTTACAGGAGTTATTGAAAATCCCGCACACGATATAAAATACTCGGGGTAAATTCACATGCTCTTCCAAAATAAAGAATGAAATAATTTCCGAGTTTTCTATCGTGCAGGTGAAGGAACATATTACATTTAATATTATAAAAAAGATCACCCCTAAAACTAAGGAAATCATGTTTGCTCTGCTTTAAATTTTCTTGCGAGAGTATGCCGGCACGATAGGCATTTCATTTTTTTTATTTCATCATTCACGCATAGCCTACGTCATAGATCCGCCATAGCTATACTTCTCCTATTCATGCACGACTGTCGGCGGTACCATGACAAACATTATGATCACAACTCACCATTTATTTTAAAATGTATCCATTTACTTGAAATTCCTTTTGTTCCATTACCAAAGCCGAAAACTGATACACTATAATTTGCATCGGGTGAGAGACGCCTCAGAACCACAGAATAGGTTACACTTAAAGTGTCGATTTGAAAAGAATGTGTTGCGTTTCTCACATTTACTCTGTAACCAAAGATTTTATCGTATTTTTCCTCACGTTGTTGCACGAGAAACCACTGGATGCCAACTGAAGTTTTGGACAAGATAACAACCTGAATATTTTTTGGCGCGGGAATCACATCTAAAATAAAAGTTTGCACACATATTGTTATACAATACAATTTTACCGAATTGTGTCTTGAGACACATTGCACATGCGCCTTGAATCTTCCAGTCGAGTGTCGTAATAAAATCCACACTTTCACCTTATTCATAATTATCTGTATGCTGTACGAATCATATTTGCTTCATATTTCTTTATTTTTGAATGACTTGTACAAAATTTTTTTTTATATTTGGTCATATTTAGCAAATAGTTACAAACTTGAAAATAATCGGTAAAAAAAATGACAATGGAGTTGCACAAGTGTTGAATATAAAACTTTGGTTCTGGTACTTAAAATGATTATCATACCGACCGTCAAAAATGCCACCGGCCATCTATAGTTTGCAAATGCGATGATGAAAATTTAACGTAATGATACTAACGCCGATTCAACGAAAAATGCCATATAGAAAAAGCCTAAAAAACTAAAGGTCCCAGGTGCAATCTTGTAAATAAATTATTCATGTCGGAAATTATTATAATTCTAGATTTATTGAATTTTTTAATATTCAAGTTAGGCTTGGCATTGAAATCCAGCGGCATCTAGTTGGTCTTCTTCAGTTAGCGAATGGATTAACTTCCCCATAAAAACAATACGCAACATACCTAATGATGAAAAGTTGTACAATACAGCATAACCATCACTATACTGTGTGAACCCACGTATTGAAAGGGTATAATTTGATTTTGGAGCTAAGTCAGGAAACACGACGTGGTTGGTATCATTTGCTGATATGAAACTTAATTTTCTTTTTCGGCTGGTTAGAATCAGCTTGTATCCCAGTAAAACGCCGTTTATTTTTGGTTTTGAAGAAATCTTTTCCCATCTAATCACTGCTTCTTTGGAGGTGATCTTTGCAAGGTGAATATTATTTGGCCTTCGAAGTCGATCTAAAATAAAGAATTCTAATGGTTCAGTAGGTCTAGAAAAGTAGGAAATTGATAAAAAATAGCAGTTTTCAGTGGGTGGATGATATAAATCACGGGTACAGGAAGCGAGCCAAATGCCTGTCGCGCCGTGAAAATACTAGCTAACTAATCATTATCAGTCTAGAATTTGCAAACCCGGGCAAATCTTCAATTGCTGACTTCTAGCCAAGGAGACAAATAGTTTGAGTGGAAAAAACTCCCCGAAAGCAAAATTATCATAAATATTAAGTAAAGGCCTATTCAAAGGTAAATATGTGATTTGCATTTGAATTGTCAGTGAAGAATTTACCTCTAGAGTTGGATAATAACTCACTATTTCTATTTCACACTTTCTAGCAACCACTTACGACATACCTAGTGATACAAAGTTGTAGAGTAGCGTATATCCATCACCATATTTTGTAAAACCACGTACCGAGAGGGTATAATTTGATTTTGGATTTAAGTTAGTCAACACAACGTAATTAGTATCATTTGCTAAAGTGATGTTTTCTTCACTTTTCATTCCAAATAGCGTCAATTTGTATCCCAACAAAACACCATAGATTGTTGCGTTCGCAGAAATCTTTTCCCATCTAAGCACTGCTTCTTTCGGAGTGATCTTCTCAAGATAAATGTTATTTGGCTTGGGAAGTCTATCTAAATGACAAAAATATACACCATAATATATATATATATATATATATATATATATTATTATATATTATATATATATATACATATACATATATATTATATATACATATATACATATATATATACATGCATACATATTATATTATATTATATATATATATATATATATATATATATATATATATTATATATATATATGTAATATATATATATATAATATACATAGAATATATATATACATATATATTTTATATATAGTTTCAACGAAAACCCCAATGACTGGTTTCACTAAAGAAAAAAAGCGTAGCGAAAACTACTGTGATTTAAGTTGCTTAACGGGACGGACTAATTTGAATTGATTTGGAAGGTACTCTTTCTTATACAAGGCCGTATATAACTGTAATATAACCCTATAACAATATAATCGTATAAGAATAATTCAATGGTATAACCGCAAAAATTTCAATCCAGATTTGTTGCGCAAATATTTTTTTGTGTAAAAGAAAGTAAATTTAGTTATTAACAAATTTTCTAGTTTTATGACCTAAATGTCCATTATTTCAAACATCACACAAATTGCTGCTTACATGTGACTGAACAAAATTAACAAACAAGCTAGACTAATGAAACTTACTTTCAATGCGAAAGCTCAATCGAGCTGCGTTACATGGCGCTTTACTTGCAGTAAGAAGACACATGAATTTATCGTCTTTGGTAACCCAGTGACTGTAACACTGCAGGAGAGAGTTTTATAACGAAGTACTTCTTCAACTTCACATTTGTGTATGTCATTATTGTTCTTACGAAATTCCACCCTTGTCATATATCCTTGGTTTGGGGAGTTAATCTTGACCGAGCCGGTACATTCCAATGTTATATTGGTGTCTTTTGTCGCATATGGGTAAGGTGTCGCTCTGTAAGATATGTTTGGTATCAGAGTTTCTTTAAAAAAAAAAGAATAACCTATAATATAACCAATAATAAGGTTCGGTTGTAGAGACCATTTAAAAGAAAAAGAGAAGAATATTGCTCTTTATTAATTGGTGTTGTTAGTGGAGATCTTGTTAGTGAAGAGATACCTCTTTCCCATTAGAGGTATTGTTAGCAATGGCTGCAATATTTTTGCGGATTTTGTTAAATTCTTTTCTTTTTTAACCAAACTGCTTTAAGATTCGATCAATTGAATAACATCACTGGGAGAAAAAAAACGATAAAAGTCAGAACTGGGAGGAAAACTAGGTTGTGTATAGGGTAATAATGCCAAAATAAATAATTCGGTATTTTATGTCATAAAGCTTGTAATTTTGACTAAATTAAAAATATAAATATTATATATATATATATATATGTGTGTGTGTGTATGTGTGTGTGTGTACAACATTTGACGATTGATATCGCGCACATTTTTGTATGCAAATATCTCGTGAAATATCAAATATATTCACGGGTTACTTTCGAATTTATTACGCTTAACGTAATATTACTAACAGTAATTTTTCATATCCCAGTCAACCTCAATCGATATTAATATTAACGATACTACATTGTGGGTTAACGGACTATAAAAGCTTTGCAGTATTAGATACTTACGTGGTGTACCTACAAGCTAAATTACTTATCGACTGTCACCATGCATACATACAAGAATTATCGATACTAATATTGTTCACAGTTCAAGTAACCTGCTGCACACTACAAAGCCTTCCAAAATGTAACTTACTAAAATGTTCGGATTTTATGTGGAGCAAACATAGGCTGCTGAGGTCTTCGTAAAGCGTCATAGCGGGTTGTGGCTGAATTGTTGCAACCAGGAGGATAATGCAGCCTAAAAGAAAAGAGTTTAAACAAAAATTTAACTTCGCAATCCACGCGATCGATCTGCGATTGCTTTGCGCGGAAATATCCCGAATTCGGACACAACATGGAAGATTTGAAGAAAGCGATGACAATTCACAATAATCATGCAATCGCGCAACATTAGCCTTTAAATAAACGGTCTAAATGTAGTTACAAATGTATATTCTTTTTCAATATTGTCATTCATATAATAATTATATGCATAATTATTTCTTCAATTATTTTTAATAAGCAAATTAGCTTGTAGGTACACCACGTAAGTATTAAATACTGCGAACTAAAAATACTTTAAAATACTTTAAAACTTTTACATACAACTTACGTGGTGTGCCTAGCTACCAGCTAATTTACTTATTGATGTCACCATGCAAACATACAAGAATATTATTTTTAAAACGGATGATCAGGAATTCTATGCACTGGAATTTAGAGCACTTACACAAGTTCCAAACAATGTTTCCCATTTCAATTTCCGTTTGATTAAGTTTGGATCACGCTAATCAGTTGTTATAAACCTGTTGGGTCTACAAAATGCACAAAAAGTGCTTTGGAGGTTTCCGCAGGAGTAGCAAGAGAGGGTTCTATTTAGCTCCATTAGAAATTAAAATGAAATATGTGGCAAGCACGACCAGGATTAAACATGCATGATGACACGACAAATAACTTCTGGTGGTAAAACACAAAAATCCCTAAACCAAAAGTACGGTAGACTAAACAGTATTAGCCGAAATTATACTAGGGACATGCAAGAAACTCAATTTCGACGGGAAAGTTGATTGTATTTAATTAAATACCCGTTTGAATCTGAATACAGAAATGGATAAATTTATAACGTATGGTATATAGGTCGGTTAATGCTAAAAAAGGTATCGTAATTATTTGCCAACGATAATGATCTGTAGGCTATCTTCAAGCAAAACTGGCTATTGTTGGGGTAAATTCTTGCATTATTGTCATCATTAGTTGTACAAAGTGTTGTGTACACGATTCTGTAGTGTTTCGATGCCTCGATTAATATAGTGTCCATAGTTTGCTCTGTCAATGATCTTGAGGTTGTTAAGATTAGTAATGTATGGGCCTGCAATATATGTTCTTTGATGTGAAATTTTTCACTCATTCTTTTTTCTTATGAGGAATTCTAGCTCACCCAATTTCTGCAGTGAGTAGCTTAAATTTGGCTAGTTTTAATATAAAATGGATTTTTAAGTTGTCTTTCGATAAAGGGAGAGGTTACGTAGCGGTTTAGTTACGAGTTACGACGCGAATCGCACGAGGGTTCGTGAAAACGCGTTTGCCAGAACATTTGATATCAATATTGTAGACTGTAGAGCTACATACAATTAATATATGACGAACAAAACACGGAAATTGTATAAAATTCTTAAATAAAAAAGTAACACTTGACTTTCTGCTGAGGGTAATAATTATGCATCATGCAGGTATTTTGAGTATTTCACCAATGCAGGCATTTATAAAGAGCTTTAGATTGCCGTTTACGACAAGCCCTGTTTCATATATGAACGTCGTCGTATAAATTACAAATTTAACGATTATTTGCAGTCATTTACATACAGAGTTGTTTCCCTCCTCAAGCTCAGTTCACATGAAATTTGATGAAAATTAATTAAACCTTCTCTGAGAAACGACATCTTCAAAAAACATGTAAGCTAAATGTTGCTTTTCAAAGCAATTTTATTTCATATTTTAATTAACGATTTGAATATGAAATAATTTGTCTTGAAAATGTTAAACAGACGCTTAATTTGAAATGTCGTATATTATATAAAACAATATTATCATAAGATAATTTAAGCTGATAATCGGATTAATTAATCTGAAGCCTGCTAATGTTCAAAGTCAACAAGTATAAATGGGTTGAATATTCCACTGAAACGCCAGCACAGAATACAACTAGCAATATTTGTAACTGGCATAAGACAAATATAGTCAACCTGCATTTGTTTCCAGTTATTTCGAATTCTTCACAATTTTATACAACTAATCGTCCTTATACCCATGCAGGAACTACTTAATTATGTTATTTAAATTTTTAAGGGAAGCGGTTATCGAACTTCCACGAAAATTTTTGGATATTTGTATAGGTATATACTATGCCTATGGTATGATAAAACATATATGGAGTATGACAAAGCAGCATTTCCGTAAGTCCGTATCTTATTTAAAGAAAATGAGTGCTTACGTCAAAATTCTTCACTTTGAATCATCAATTGAAAACGCTCCAACAATGCAGGTTCTCTTGTATTGAATCAGTGTTAACACCGCACGCCCCCTGAGATAATCATATTTCATTGTACAGGTTGTCTCAAACGAAAACTATTGAAGTCATGCACTCATTGTGAAAATTTGAATGCCGTGTTCACGAATTTCATGAGCCCGTGGAGATTTAATGCAACTTATAAAATGCGAATACGAAAAAGTTGAAGTTGTGAAAATGATTAAATTTAAATTATAGCCTTGTTGTTGCTTCGAAAGAAAATGGTACAGCTGACCGCGGAACAACGAGTGCTTATCTTGTGATATCATATCAACAGAGTGCTTAGGCATTCAAACTCTAACAATTACATTGTTATGGGTGATTTCAATTTTTTCATTTTTTTGAGACACCCTGTAGCCTATATTAATCACGTTAAAATCCCTACGAAATTATAATCCGTGAATGTTCACAATGCGAATATATTTCTTCACGGCGGAATATTATTTAACTTCCATGTTTATACTTACTTTGTACAAATACTTTTGTAGAATGGATAAATAATCTGTTGTTGATAATGAACTTCGTACTCTCTGTTGTTCAAAACCAGTCAGAATAAAGAGAGGTTTTTGTCTTCCGCTTTACTTCAACTTTTACACCGGATGTTGTAAAATAATATTGTCATAACAAGCACCCACGCAGCATACTGATATAAGCAGCATTCTCTCATCTAACGAAATTTCTTTAGAAAAGTTTGACTCTATCGAGGGAAGGTTGGAATAGTTAATATATTCTTTTCAAAAGTTCTTTGTCTCAGGTTATTGAAAACAAACTCCCTAACAGCTGAAGGTATGCATATTTAAATTGTGACAGCACAGGATGTAAGTGTATATTAAGTGCTATTCAGTAAAAAAAATTTACTTGTCAAGATCATCTGCAAGGTAGAACTTCCTGCCTGGCAAATATCAAAAACAGCAGGTAGTGCGAGGCAGCTGGTGTGCGTTTGGCTTTAATACAACCGTCCTCGTGCGACAATAAATTCAGTCAGAGTCTTCAAACAGGGGCGTTGGAAGCTTTCAAAGATTGGGGGGACACCAGCTTCCTGGGGCACTTTTGGTAAATAAAAGTGCGGCTAAAAACATACATATATATAATATATATATGACAAAGCTGCAAGGACACCACTATAGTGTAGTTTACATTTATGCTCTATCAAAATGATTTGGGCACGTGTAAGTATGCTAACGTAGGAAACAAAAAAGGCACCTTCGATTTTAAAATAGTATTTACAGCTACATAGCTTCTCCAAAAAGGCATATTTTGTCTACACTCATACAACAAGAAACATAAATCAGGAGAGTTTATTTGAGATTCTGCCAGTTGCTTGCGGTAAAAAATATATGTAGTGTCACGTTGAGAATGCAATATTTGTGATGATTTCTGCCAATATCTATATATTCCAATGGATATAGTTCAGGTATTGGATTTAGTTGAAATTCATGTTTTCATGTTTTTCCACTATGGCGCTATTTTTATATTATATCGATTTACAACAAATGCTTGTTTTGGCACAACTATATATATTTCGGTAAATTAAAAAACCACTGACAACATTTTTGGTGGCGAAGCTGATTTCTTTTTGTGAAATTTAGGCTTTTTTGGAGCATGGGAAAACAATGAGATATAACGACTTGTAAAATTATTTTACCATAAATTTTATTAGTGACGTAAAAATTGACTATTCGTAAAACATCCGACACAGTGGCTACTCAAAAGTTGTCGCCTAAAACAAAACTCCGACAATCAAAACAACGATGATTGTTAAAGTAAAGTTCCTTCCGTCTGTGTTAGTTCCTCCTTTATTACTAACTCCAGATGGCCCCTCACGATCTAAGAAAAGAAATTTTATCAGTAATATTACGTTAAATAATATACCACAAACACATGCCACGACGATGAATATGGCCAGATTTATTGAGACTTTATTCTTCAAAGGGTCTGTTGATTAAAAAAAAATGCTTTTCATGTTGTTATAATTTTTTATACCGAGTTGAAGAAAATGTCGTCGTGCGAAAGGCTAATTGTACGTTGTTGAGATGTTAAGCAACGTGATATAGCAGCAGCGGTGTCTCCGCAACAAATAACCTGATTCGATTCTAAAGGCTCGTTTGCGCTTGCAATTTTTGCAGCGATTTTATGTGCGAATTTCTTCTTTTAATATATGAGAACGAGTGAATTAGTTACTGATGTTGAAATAAGAGCTCTTATACATTACTACTCATTTACATCTATCAAAAGAGGTCGCCCGTTTACACTTGCGAATTTTGCTGCTATTTTACGTGCGATTTTCTTCTTTCAATAGATGTGAACGAGTTATACGTTGCGAATGCTCTGATGTAGTTTTAAGAGCTCTTATTTGAACATTAGTAACTAATTCACTCGTTCACCTCTGCATGAAACGTCAGTGAAAAAAAATGATGTAAAATCTTAACGAGACTTATGGGATAAGTGTAATTTGCAGTACATATATTCATGCAAATATACCGTAGGAACAACAGCGTACAAAAAAAAAGAAATCGGTCAGGTATAAGACGAATATATGAATTCCAACAATTCGCCAACCGTCCGCGATGTATTGTGGCCGATGACGAAGAAAATTAATTGGAAAGAACAAAACACTTCATTCATCAGTGATCACCGACAATAGCCATCGCCGACCGTCGGTGACAAACGAGAACCAGGCCTTACAAAAGTGTTATGATCACAACTCACCATTTATTTTAAAATGTATCCATTTGCTTGAAATTCCTTTTGTTCCATTACCAAAGCCGAAAACTGATACACTGTAATTTGCTTCGGGTAAAAGATGATTGAGAGCAACCGAATACGTGACACTTAAAGTGTCAACCTTGAAAGAATGTATTGCATTTCTCACAATAACTCTATAGCCAATAATTTCATCGTGTTTTTCTTTGTGTTGCTGAATGAGAGTCCATTGAACCCCAGCTGAATTTTTGGACAAGATAACAATCTGCACGTTCTTCGGTGCAGGAATTACATCTAAAACAATTCAAGCAATATTGTATAAAATCTTCGTGCATTGGGCTAAATCTACTCACGCGATTAGTCAAAATCAATCACGTGGTTTCTTGTTGCCTGGCGACAGATCATGGGAATAATCATTTATTCGCAATAACCCATGAAAATCATGGTTTATTAAAAAATGACAGACTGCAACGAAGCTTGGATCTTCAATGCAGCAATCAATAAACCCAGATTGTACCGTATATTAAAAGTGTTAGAGACTTTATGTTCGTATTTTGTTTACAGATAAACGCACTTTCTGAACATACATCTCGTGAATTCACTCGTTAGCGGAACCATACACCTCGTGCAATATTGAAATTTCTCGTTTATTGTATGGTCAGCGCGTGCGTTTATTTGTGAACAAACCACTCACAATAGTCTGTAACCCTTAATTGCACAAATATAGCATGATTCGGGGGTGTCAATCTATGCCAAAAATTGGTAGGTCCGAATTGAGGGCAAAACCTGAATTCCTTGCAGGTGTAAGCTATCAGAATGATTTAAAAAAAAAACGATCTCTTGTTATTAAGACACTCAGGGGTGAAGAACCCGCCGGTAGCGAGCGAATGAAGCTACTTTAACAGTATTTGGAGGGAAAAGAAATATCATTTGTATTCAATTAAGTTCATCTAAAGTGCCTATATCACTTGTGGGATCTTTACGGATTTGAGTAGAGCTTGAAAAATTAGTTTATAAGTTTTACAACCGTTTTTGACAGAATTAAATAGTTTCGGAAATACTTACATCTAAACATGACGATTTGCCTAAATTTCCGTCGTGCTCGGGCGCCTGGGACTCAGGAACCGAGTTCTTGTCAAACATAATATAATCAATTGTAATTTTACTTTGATCTTCCAATAACATAAAATATTTTAAGAAAAACTCGCCCAGTTGCTACAGCCATACACAACGCAGCGTTCCCGCATTTTTTTTTGAAAAGCGCAAACTATATCGCCAGTGAAACTCTTCATGTTTACATTATAAAAGACGGCGTGTTTGCAAATCATTCCTGAGTCCCAGTCCCCCCAACCGACGTATTTTCGAAACTATTTAATTATATCAAAACGGGTTGTAGAACTTATAAACTATTTTTTCAAGCTCTATTCAAATCCGTAAAGATCCCACAAGTGATATAGGCACTTTAACAGAAAATATTTTAAATTTCTACAGTTATGTAACGACTTGGTGTAGCTATGTTACTACACACAACATACCTAATGATGAAAAGTTGAAAAGCTCAATATATCCATCATCATACTGTGTGAATCCTCGTACTGAGAGGGTATAATTAGATCTCGGGGTTAGGTCATGTAACACTACGTGATTAGTGTGGTTTGCCAGAGTGAAATCTATTTCCCTTGTCTTGCCAATAAGCGTCAATTTATACCCCAGCAAAACGCCATGAATTTTTTGGTTTGCTGAAATCTTTTCCCATTTAACCACTGCTCTTTTGGAAGTAATCTTTGCAAGGTAGACATGACTTGGCCTGGGAAGTTTATCTAAGAAGGAAAATAATGTATCGCGGCTCCTTCAAAAGGGCTCTCTCAATGTATTGGTGTCGAAATGATGTTAATTCACCCCACCAAAAAAACATTAAGATGCGATTAGATCAACATTGAGTGCGATTACACGTTATACGCATTTTATGATACTATTTATGCAAATGAAAACAGCTAGGAATATTATTATACCAAAAAATACTTATCCAATCACAAAATTTGTTTCATATACCACATGACCACCGTGTCCTGAATAGCTCGCACCCGGGGTATTTTCCCTGAGGCATGGTATTCACTCAATAGAGCGGGGTTCTTATAAGGTCGGTATATTATTCTAGTTATAGATCTTGAACTCCGGGTATCCGCCCATGCAATGAAACGTCTCTCAAGTTAATTTCGTGGGCGGATACCCCCTCTTTTAAGGTCTTAAAACTAATAATAGATTGCTTCAATTCGATCATCCCGACTGAATCAGAATTAAGAAAGGGCCGACTTCATTTCAACACTGTTTACATGAGTAAGGTTGGTGTGGTGATGCAAAACAGGGAAGCTTTGTTAAAATTATCTTGGAAAGCAGCCCTCTGCATGCAACGCACGCATATTGTTAACAGAACGAATTTTACCCAAATGGCCACTTATACATAACTTACAGGAGTTATTGAAAATCCCGCACACGAAATAAAATACTCGGGGTAAATTCACATGCCCTTCCAAAATAAAGAATGAAATAATTTCCGAGTTTTCTATCGTTCAGGTGATGGAACATATTATATTTAATATTATAAAAAAGATCACCCCCAAAACTAAGGAAATCATACTTGCTCTGCTTTAAATTTTCTTGCGACAGTATGCCGATGTTTTATTCCAAAACTTCTTTTATTCGATTTTTATTCCAAAACGTCTTAGAAGCATGCACTATTGAATCACAGTGGTGGCAAATTGTGCGAACTAACTAGTAACTATGCTACTATCGTGATATTTGGTGATATTTGATCCATGAGGTATTGGGCTTTACTTGCATAGATATGTAGGGGAGTTAGTTCATAGTACCTGGTAGAAAAAGCTTTGCAGCTCCTAGGATTACATCATTTCTCTTCGTAAATGCTTCAACCTCTATGACATATTCTCTACCTCTCGTGAGATCTGTGAATATAACGCTTGACTTGTTGTATATTGTGATGGTTTTATTAAATTCCTTGCCACACTTCAAGGTAACGGTAAAAACAGAAACATTCATGAGACGTGTACCCAAAGCTGAAAGACCGAACCAGCGAACCATTGCGTTTGTCTGTTCCACGCCAACAACTTGAAAACATACATTTTTTAAAACATGTTAAATGTTGACATAAAAAATTCCTCAGAAATACGCCACTCTCTATAGATTTCTAAAGAATCTTCAAATCTATAAATCTACCAATCAGATTACAAATTGCAACTGTGGTAATTTTATTCTGCCTTTTCCTGGATCCACCACTTTCCTGTGTGGTACACGATACTCACCTTCAACGTGTAATACATACACAGTTCTCGAGTGAACTTTATATTTTCCATTTTGCACTACACAACGTATGCTCATCGGGAATTTTCTTCCACTAATGATGATTGTTGAATTCACGCGATACGCATTTTGGCCAATTTCACGTTTTCGTTTCGTATCATATTGAGTACTTGTGTGATTGATCATAGAGCCGTTTAATAACCATACCACATCAGGTTCAGGTATTCCAGTACCGATACAAGATACTTCAATTTTTCTTAAGTCGTTTCTGATTGTGGCATACGTAAGTGAAGCATTCAGAGAAGATAGTCCTAAAAAAAGGTGGATGCATGCATCTGTATTAGTTGAAGTAAAATCGATATATTGAATTTATTGTTTTATTATTAATCCTATGCGGTATATAGGTATATAAAAGAGCAGTTATTCAGCTTCCCAAAGATACCACCAATGAATAAGTGATCGAAATCAAACTTGCCCGATTGAAGGCAAGATGAAGTTGCTTGTTATTTATTATTAGCTTTGAGAAAAGAAATAAAATAGCTCTATTACTCTTTATTGCATTATATTACGGAAACTTACCTTCAACTTGAAAACTCAGGCGAGCGGCGTTGCATGGTGCCATTCCGCTTTTAATAATGCATGTAAATGTGTCGTTGCTGGTGAGTCCAGTGACGCTAATACTGCAGGATATTCTTGAAATACGCACCCCTTCTTTTCTACATTCGTGAAACATCTTATTATTCTTTTGGAACATAACCCTTATGTACCTAGCTGTGTCCTGTATCTGAACCTTGGCCTGCCCAGCACATGTCAGTGTTACATTCGTTTCGTTTGTTACAAACGGAAATGGCACCGCAACGTAGGATATATTCGGTTGAAGAGACTCTTTAAAAGAAACAAAGTTTAATCTTCGTTCACTAATAGTATACAAATTTAACGACGAGGCTTCAGGAAAAAAACTCCAAGCATATATTAATATAGGCTATTGACACGCGCATATATTAATTCTTGCATATTTAAGTGGTTGCGTTTTTTTTGAGACACCGTGTACACACAGGCTAAACTAGAAACCAGATTTTAAAAAAACGAACGTATCATTACAGGGCAGGCGGGAAATAATCTCTCTGCTGGAGAAAATAAGTAAGAGACTTAACTAACATTTCCCTCATGTTCCACCCAGATTTTAACGTTTCTCAAGTTATTGGAGGTTGATTGCAACCACCACCTCCTTGTCCCTCTTTCTCCCTTGTTTCGCCCGCGCGTTTCCACATATATATACTTATTCAAATACTTATTAAAATATACATACTTATACTTATTGATATAAAAACAAAACTATACTTATTTTATACATATTCGCCTTATACTATACTTATTAATATAAAAACAAAATATACTTATTCAAATAATCGATTATTGTACTCACTATAATATGTGTATATCTTTCTCCTAAACAAATCTCACTAAGGTCTTCATACAGTGCAATGACATGTGGCAATAAAATAATAAAAATAACAGTTCCTAAAATAAATAAAAAGTAATATTGCTAGCAATTCGAGACCGGGGACTTGGTGACAGATTTGTGAAATGGCGATTTGAATGCATCTGACTTCGCCATGTTACTAAGCAGCATGCAGTTAGAAGTTAGAACGAAAAATCCTTTTTACTATGACGACAAAGTTAGCTTTCTTAGCTTATCGTGATATTGTTCTAAAAGCGGCCTTTTTATAGTGTTATCAATAGTCCAGGTATCAGTATCCATAGTTGATCTTTAATCTAGGGTTGATCTTTTATCAAACCGAAATCCCAACACCTGTGGGGCTTCTGCAACAAAGGTTTGTTTTCCACTGTGACGTTTTTTGTACGTACGTACGTGCTAATAAGTTTAAAATCATTACTACGGTATATAGATGCATAGGGTGGATTCTGTTGATGATTTAGTGTGTTTTTTCTGGCATTAATCAGTATACAACAACTTAGAAGATTTTAAGATTTTACGTGCGAGTACGTAAGTGCAAAAAACGCGACAGTGGAAAGCAGCAGCCTAAAGGAATCGTGCATTCGAGATCGAAAATCAATAGAGCTAGGCGGTACTGAATAGATCACCATGTATAGCGACATGCATGCATCAGAATATTTGCAACGCTCCTCTGGAAATCCCAAGACTTTTAAGAGACTGATATTATATTGGGAGATAATTTTAAATATACCGTTAATTTAGACTTACTGATATTCCAAAGGGAGTGTTTCATTTCGAGGTTATCGTGAACTTGTATCTTGCGACCAACCTCTACACACTACAATCATAAACATGACCATAATTTTACTCGGCACGTTTACGCCATATTTATGTGCTTATATACTGGGGGATAAAAGAAAGGCAATCATCTAATATTAGAAAATACTCACTTTAATTTGTGAGCTACATTATTAGAAGTACTATTGTATGACTATAATTATTGTACTTATAATTAATAATATTCATATTGTTCTTAAGGTGGTCCACTACAGAAAATTTTTTTCTTTAATGATAAAAAATATATAAATCTCTTCATGCCAAGTTGCTCTGAGTGAAAAAATACTTGTAGGAGTCCTCATGCAATCACTATAGTTACAGGGACCGCCGAGCCTGTTTAAAAGCGGGTGGGGGAGGGGGTCTCGGAATAGCCCGAGAACATACCCTATGTGGGATGAAGCTAGCTATTAGGTGGGACTTTTTCTATTGGGTTTTTTCTATCAGAAAAGTGGGGGTCCTTGGCCTCGCGGCTGGCCCCTGCTCAGGGGTCTGTGAGTTACCATGACCAGACATAGCTACCAAATAGTGGTAAATGATTTTTGTAAACACGATAACAAACTAGGTTATAACTCTAGAATGACGGAATTGGTTTTATTTAGTTTTAAATATCTTTGCCTCAGAGCTGAACTAGAATAAAAAAAACTTGTCCAGTATTAAACGTTTTACATGCATGCTATACTAATATAAAACGTCCATGATATATCTGAAAAACCAGTCGCTATTTTACTTAGACTGAATGGAATACAAAACTTTTAATTCACCTCCGAGCCAATTGGCTTTAAAGTCAACCACGAGAATTTTATCAAGTTAGCTTTATTACTTTTCGAGTTATCGTGCACGAAAGTAAGGGGATTGAGAATTTTAGTTTGCTAAGAAAAGCGGTCTTTGTATATTTTTTGGAAAAACATTATTCAGGATCGCTTAGGGATACATTTAAGTCTGCATCCCTTGAAATTTTTAAAACAGGATAAATCATGATTTTTTGTAGTGGACCACCTTAAGTGATTGCCTTTTTTATACATCCTGTGCGTATCACATTAAATTTTAGCCTTATGACATAATATCTCATTACATTTCAACTGATACGGCTGAGACATAATATATATATAGTTATTAGCATTGTATGCATGTAGTTACATTACTACGTGCCGGTTATCATATGACCAGCGGCCGATTGTTCAAAAGCCGGTTAGCTTAGCCCTGGGTTA